AAATCATTAGAGTAGAGGTAGAACACTGCTCTTTTCATTCAAAAAGGGCTAAAAATGTCAACTTTTTAATGGTTAGAGTTTTTAACCTTAACTTTTGGCTTTATCCTCTCAAGCGGTTTAATAAAGGTTGGTTTGAAATTATGCACCCGGACATCGGGGAAGGTGGAGTAAGTTCGTAATGCATAACGCCTATCGTTTTATTTGTAATAAAGAAGTGCTCCCACTTTGTGAAAGGCACAAAGGCACTCAAATTTTTAATTCTAGAGATCTTGCCAAGGAAGCATCATAGAATACCGCGTCACCACCACGCTTATGCGAAGGCTTCAAAAAATTTTACCTGCCCGCCACCGTTATATAAGCCTTACGAGATAATTATTTGTAGTCTATTACGAGCTCAACATCGCGCAATGAGGACTTGGGCATTTAAGTTATAAATACCCTCTCTGTAACACCTTTTTTGTTTATTCGTCTCATTAACAATATGCAGCCAAGGTAAAAAATTATTTTTTGTGCTGTATCTTAAGTTACTCTCTCATATTGGTTTCTAAATTGCTATTTACCCAGAACTATTTATTTACGCGAGAGCGTTCTTGGCCTAGGATACTTAGTGTAGAACCCTTTTCATATATAATAGTAGATCTCACCAAAGGGGCTGGTGTGTTCACTAACCCTGTTAAAGGCAATTAGGGACCACGTTTTTATGTACTCTTTCACAGGTTCAATATACAAATCCCTGACGTTAAGCAAACGTTACCGCGGGGCATTAGTGAACATCCGAAACAGCTTAACTTTTAAAGTTGCTCGATTAGTTTTAAAAAGGCAGCAGCCCTATGCAGGGGAAGCATAGGTATAGTAGGACTAATTAAATGATACCTTATTTTTTAAACTTAATTTATTCTTCCGATTAAGGCAAAATAATAGCGTCGCAGTCAGCCTTTTCGCTTTATATAATATGTAATCTATTGTGTTCCGTCCATGTCAGTTTATAGTCCCTAATCACTAAGATATTTTATCTCAGAACATCTAGGAAGCTCAGTGCCAATAGCAACTTAAATTCGTAAGACAGTTTTTTTCGGTTTAGAGGTGAGGGGCACTTGGTCTTCTTTTTACGTAAATTTTTAACCACCAACTATCATACCTCTAATAGGACTTATTGTCTGAAGTATTCAGGCTTCGCAAAGTAGATTTGCTAATGGAAAATAAGACCACATCAATGACAAAAAGTGCAATTCTTGCGCTTTGATAGCGGGAAGGTTTGTCATATATATGGAAAAAAGTAAGTAAGACAGCTAGGGGTCTTGGGGTACCACTCCTCTATACTTTTGTGCACGCTAGATGGGGAATCGTCGTATTAGATTAAATTTGTTCAAAAAAAAACTCCCAATAAGCTTGAACATAACCAGAAGGCAGTTAGAAAGGTGAAGTTCGTACGAATGTCCGGCATTCCATACGTTATTAAAGGGGTCTTCCACTGTCGAAATACACGAGCCGGTTTCTTTTTAGAGCTTAGGTATCTTCTTCAACTATACGTAGTATTCGTAGTGTCGTAGAATGTTGCCCCCTAAAGCAATTCTGCTCGGGAGGCAGCACATTTTTGGAAGTACAAATTCTTTGTCTAAGCAAAATAAAACTTTTTTTAAAATTTTTCCGAGACAGCAGACAAACGAGACAATAACCACTAATTCATGTGATGGAAGAATACATTTTGATTGCAATAATTCCTCGGCGGTTTTCCAAACTGTAAAATACCCCAAAGTGACAGTCCAAATAGTTATATTGGTGATCCGCACCAATAAAGGATTTTAAAGCTTTGTTCGATGGCAGCTTTCCTGTTATTAAGGTCTTTTATAATCCCCTCTATTTCCTCAATGGTTACGACACTCATGGTGTTACACTTCTCTTTAATTTATAACACCAACAAACTTGAAAACTTTAATCATTTTCGTTTTCACCGAATATAGGTTTGTATTATTCTGCTAGAAATATAGCAAATGCAGTTCCTTTTCTTTATTTCCTTTAGCCGTAAAGGTAACAAAAAATATTCTTTATTCTTCTAAGATTTGACAGAAGGCTAAAATTTATGGATAATGTTTAAGTTTGTCCTCCCAAATAGAAAGATAAAAATTTACCAGAGCTTGTTAAGATTTCGATTAAGGGAAATGCATCTTTGTCTTGTGGACTAAGAGTTCTACTAGTATTTCTTTTTTAACTTGGCCTCTTCGCAGTAAACTCTTTTAGATTAAAAGAACATTTATTAAATTAAGGATTACTGAACACTCTTTTTTAGACTGCTTTAGAGCATGGTGTATAGTTATCTCCATCTTAAGGATGCTGTTTCCCAATTCTTCTACTTTTTTTTAAAAAAAAAATCATTCATCTTAACTCTTTTTATTTATAGTTCTTTCGTAATCGCCCCGATGCATCCTGGAAGGTTGTTTCAGTTGCAGCGAGAGCGTTAACGATTTTAAAACTACTAGGTTGTGATCTGATCACAGTTCGTAATAGTAAGTAAAATTGTAGTTAAAAGGTATATTCTTCAATACTGCTGCATATTTAATTCACCTGATGAGTTTCTAGTTGAACAATCTATAGGCTCCCAGGGCCCAGCTAAAGCTAAGTGATTTCTAACGCATATTCTCTAAAAACATCATTAGAATTTGCCCTTTTGCTATTCCAAGGGGGATGTTTTGAATTAAAAGTACTCCAGCAATAGCTGAGGCAGTATTTTCAAATATCATATCAAGGTTACTGACGCCTTAGTCGGGGATTGCAGCTTACAAGTGCCCCAGTGAGGTCTTCAAATCAAGTTTGCCACGAAAGTAACCCTGCATACGCTTGTTATATCGCACAAGTTCTTTACAAAGCCCTCAAATCGTTACTATGGAGCAGCGATTATCCTTTTCGTATTGACACTGCGCTGTCTAAGTCACGTTCGCTTGCCGTAAAGGCCCCAGCAAAATTTTGCTGCTCGTTAAGTAATCACTCATTAGCACGTGGTTTATGAACTGACTCCAACTTTAGTAATCGCGCCAATGACCGAATTACCATTAAATTTTAGTGACGTTTAGCGCACGTGGAAATAACGTTACTTGTGATCAATTATCACGTTAAAGGGAACAAATATATTTCAATAATTTTAATGGCAGCATATATATATATAGCTATTTTTGATAAAGAAAAAAAAAAGTTTTTTTTGCTTACTGCTTTTTGTCCCTTCATCTGTTGTTTTTGCCCCCGTCTATAGGCCCGTATTGACCCGTGTTATTATTGATAATTGTTATGAATTCTAATCTTTGGGAGTAGCACGTAAATATACATTGGTCATCTATAGGTTTATCTTCCTAGTAATTAATTAAATAATGTAGTTGTTAGTAAGCATCAAGTTAATTGGGAATATTTGCAATAGATAAAGTGTTTAATTTAACACCCTATGTCAGCCTTATAGTCTGCGCGTCGACGAAGCCGCCGAGGTTAAGACAGCATTCGCAGCGCTACTAAATTTTTCCTTAACACCTCTGAGGAATAAAAATTGTGGTAAAAAAACACATTGCGCTACAGGGTATCCCGTAAGCTTTCAAAGGCAAAATACTTGGTAATTGCTCTCGAAGACGACAAACTGCGCCTACGTTGTATTGAGTCCATTTTGTTACTTAGTGAAAAGATCTGACGAATTTAGAAACTCCAAATAGTACCCAACCCCTGTAGATTTATGATTAAAAAAAGAGTGTACTATCTTATTTTTTTAGTTATCCTTCAAAATTATGTGTGTATTGTAAAGGACACTCGGCCCTGCCATCGTTGGTGTTTTGTGGATACGAGTTATTTACTTGTATGTTGCGACTTGTTTCCTAAGGAACTTTTTTGTTAACAATGATGGAAAAGCAGTTACTTAGTAAAAAAAACTTTTAATCAAATACATACCATGAGGAATACGTGCATAAACTAATGGTTTTACTTTGTTCAGGAGGAAAGTATCATACTGTTGTTTTTGGAGGGGTCGTTAAATAAATTATCCACCCAGATTTTAGTTTTAAATTGTTTTAGGTTTATAAACCAATTTTTTATTACTATAATGCCCTTTAATAATGTTTTTCGTTCTTTTATTTATCTTCGCATCCGCTAATAAGAGCGATGACGTTATAGAGATCTTGAAAGTGAGTTTCTTTAGTGCCGCATGCTCCTAAACTTCTTGAGCTAAAGTAATCAACTCTATTAACATGCTGTGTAGGCTCTTCTTTTCTCAGTGTTTACTTTGGTTTAAAGTGGTAAAGTAGTTACTACTAATCGTGTTTTTTAACCAATTTAGTAACTGTTACGGGTTGAGATATAAGTGTTAACTGACTAGCTCAGGATGTTTTTATTTATATTCAGTATTACTCGAATGCCTATAGCTGAATTTGCAAGTTTGTATATCTCAATACCATTCTCCAGTTACGTTATTATTTTATAATTCTATTATATTATGGCAGCTATAGCAAGTTTGCGGTAATTTATTAAGTGAAGAGAATCTGCAAGGTAAATTTGAAGGTTACTTTATTAGTATTTTGCGCAAAAAGTAGATGTAATATTTAAGTTTAGGTGCAAGAAGACGTAAAGAAAACGATTACTTAGTAAATAGTTAATAATAGAGTCGAAAGCCCATATTAAAGTTAAAGTGCGTTTGATCATAATTGCACAAGAAGCGATAAGAAAAATAGGGACGAAGAGAACCACCTAGGAAAAACAAACAATACAAGAATTTCAAAAGGTGGAAGCCAACTTTAACTCTAACAAAGGGTGCAAAAATCGCTGAAAACCTCCTCTAATGCTTAACTTGTAAATTTTCTAAGTTTTTTTGATACCCGAGCGGGCAAACAAACACCAAGTTTATTACAATAAATAATAAGTTAATAAAGAAGAAAATTACTTTAATATAGGTATACTAATAAATAGACCTTTAGAATAAACTACGATAGACCAAATATCTTTTATTATATTAATAAAATACTAGATGTCTGTTTCTAAATTCCGAGTATTATGCATTGATATACCATAGAACTTAATCAAATTTCATTTCTCGGACGGTCATAAACTGTTCGACCAATTCATCTGTTACAGTTTTTCGCTTCTTTGTATATTTAATAATTATAAATAATAAAAGAGCAAAAAAATAAAAAATTATACCTGCTGAAAGTTAAGAAAAAATTCTTGAAGAACAGTGACGAGAATTTTTTTAAGCTCCATTTTAGAGATAAGCTTAGCACTGTAATCCTGACGTGTACGCTTATAATCTCTACTTTATTTCTATGGCAACATAAAAAACCGCTTTAATTTTATCAAGCATTTGATCATCCTCCATATAGAAAGTCAGATATGTAAAAACAACGTTATTAGTAACTTTCGTATCATCCTAAAAGATATTATATAATGAAGCATGCAACAGGAACGATTAAAAGGAGGGAAAGTACAGAGGTGTCGACATTCTCACACTGAGCACCTTCCATGATCTTTTTTTCAATCACTTCCATTGAGTCGTCACAGAAGATCGAAGAACTAGAAACACTAGCACTCATTTTTGTCTGCGCTCCCTATGTAAGATGCTCTTCAGCTAAACATTCCTTTGTATTATAATTGTCGATACCTGAAGGGCAGGAAAAAACTTTGAATGAAGGAGGGACGGTTTCTTGTACTTAAGCTGAGGCGCCACCACCCGGCGCAACAGTCGAAAGTAAACATCCTTATATAGGGCAGTTTGCAAAGGACGAAAGAGAGCCTTAAAAACGAATTGCCTGATCAATTGCGCATGGGATCAAACAGGGAACACTACTGCTGGCGCCAAAAATATGAGGAAAAGAGTCGCTGAAGCACGGCACCATCTGCACAGCGGGAAACCCAAACTTTCCGATGCAATCTCTACACGTAGTAAAAAAAACAAAAAAACAACTAAACAGAAAAATAAAAACTGGCTGAAGTGCACTAGTCACCAATGAAACTGTGAACTGTTTAACTCGAGCACACGCCCCTATAAACTATAAGCTTCTAACATCTTACCCCGTTAAAACTACCAGGGGCAAGTGAAAAAACAATAGTTCTAGCACAAAAATATAGTCGGAAGTTATAACCTACTCTTATGAAGCGCAAATTGAAAAATAGCATAGAAAATATTATAGTATAGTGCTGGTGAGTCCTCATACATAGAAGAAAGTATATAATGCTTATACTTACAGCTCGCTAAAGCCAAAAGCCTTATTGGAGTCATTGACGGTTAATCTTTTATTAACTTTTAAAATGTTGGGAAGAAGTCCACTGAAAAAAGATGTAAACCGTTAAAATGGCAGTTGATTTATATAACAATAAAAAGCAAAACCTATAATAACGAAAATTAGAAAATATAAAAGTTTTCTTTAAATCAAAGCCGCAAGCGATAATATCTTTGACGTTATTTTTCAAACAAAGCGCTCCTTTTAGAAAAAAAAAAGTTAACCCCTAGGTATAAAAAAAGGGGAGTAGACATACAACCTTCCTGCATTGTCATATTATTAACCAAAAACTTTTCGTCATCTAAAATTTTTAAATAATAAAAATTTCCTATAAACACCCTGAAATAAAAATGGGGGACCAGTCATCTGAATTACTATTGGCACGTCAAAAGCTTCCTGTAGATATCTAAGTACAAGAGATAAAATAGAACTGGCAACTTTAAAGTTTTAAAGTGTGCAATATTTTTTACTGGCAAAAAATAAATGGAATCATATGGCCGGCGTGCAAAGATTTACTACTAGGGCCACGCCCTGTGTAGAGGTAAAACTTCTTGCCTTGCTCGTAAAGATCAAGTATTTTGTCGAAATCCCTTTTTAATATATAAAAGTACGTAAAAATGTTATGGTGAAAGTTTAAATATAACCTGTGAGAATAAAATATGCCTCTACGCATGTAATGATGAGCTTTACGGCCAGTGAGCTTCTCGAATCTTTCAATTAAACGGGGAGTTAAAAGCTGTGAACCAAATTGAACCAAAATTTTTTCGTAATCAATTGCCTTTTGGTTATTTAAAAAATTGTAAAAAAAAGATTGATCCTTATTATAAACAAGAATAATAATAATTATAAAATAAAGATAATTATTAATTTAAAAAATTCCAAAAGATTATTTATTTCTTTCCAAAGTACAAGTTTAATTTAACAGATGCAGAGTGTTTAACCTGTACAACTCCGTTCACGACAGCTCCCTTAACATTCCAAGCTGTGATCTGCTGTTGCTCCATAAAACTTTGGGGCCGAAGAGAAAAACAGTTGATAAAACCCAAGGATTAGGGTTTATGAGGGCGGTGCGCAATTATGGAATCGAACTTGACTTTGAGAGTCGTTGCAAATAAAACCGCTGAGCTGTGATGAATGAAAGAATCTGTAGCCCGAAAAATTGCTTCATGTTAGATTTTTTTTATTGATCACAATTTAGTTCCGTACTAAAAAGCAGTGATTTGTAACCTACTAACCTTTGCCGTAAGAGGATCTTATGCTTTAAAATTATATTAGTTTAAACGGTAAGTAGTTATTTTTGAATATGACATAGCCTTTATGGTATGTAAACACAGTTTTTTTAAGTTAGTGAGTATAAAGTGGCAACTGTAAGGCCCTATATGCGTAACAAAAAATTATTTTATTTTGTAAATAGTTTCTTGGTAAATTTTAATAGTACAGGGGAGTAAAACAGGGTAATATACGCAAAGTCAGAACACCGGAATTGAGAGTTTTGGTCGTAAACTGAAGCTTGAGGGTTTCGATTTCCACCAGCTCGACTCCCCTTTTCGGTTTTTTATAATTCGTAATAAACCTCGCCCTCGTAAATTCTACTAGGGAACAGTGGATTTCCGCCCTAACCACCTGCCTTATGAATTGAAGGTCTTTATCTGCTAGTGGCGACGCTTTGTTAGAACGACTACGGTGTTACAACGCCCTGAAGATAATTATTTGCGCTTAATAGACTACACCGGCGCATTATAACCGATTGTGGGAGATAAAGTTAAGTAATATATCGGAAGATAAAGGTAACGGTCGTGTCTCATTCTGGGAGTTTATTAGGCAATAGAAAAACCGAGTGCGTTTCCCATTACCTATATGCGAGACGGCAATTTTGTGGCGAAAAATGATGCTGAGAAAGCGATACTTCGCTACTTAGTGTGTGCCACCTGCTTATTTAGTTGGCAATAAAGTGCTTTGTGAATCAAACTTTCCTGCTAATGCTGGAGAACCGCTTGAGACAATCACCAGAAATCGTAAAGGTTATTAACGCTTTACTAAGACAAAAGGCTCCTGGTCCCGGCGGTATCACCAATGCTATATTAAAGCAATTGCCAATGGCGGCGGTAGAACGCCTATACTGCCTCATCAACTCTACGATGACTCTAGGCACCTTCCCAGTATGCTGGAAGACGGCAACTGTTGTGATGCCCCCGAAGAAACCACGACCCGGCATCCCCGTCAAGCAAATACAGGCCTATCAGCCTTTTGTCAGCTGTTGGCAAAGTAGCTGAGGCGACCATACTGCGCCACTTGAAAGTATTTGTTGACGCAGCCACACCCTGCCTGAGTTCCAATTTCAATTTCGATAAGGACACTTTACGACTCAACAACTCCGCTTTAGAGAGTGAACAACCCACGCCTTCTATTAAAGAAGGCAACAGGCGCCGTCTTTCATGATGTCGAAAACGCGTTTGATCTAGTTCTGCATGAGGACTTGCTTTTGAAACTGCGCGCCATAAGGCTTCCTAATAATTTTCTTAATGAGATTAAATCTTACCCTAAGGAACGCGTCCTTGGTATGCGTGCGGGTAGTACGCGCTCACCCCTAAGGCCACTAACAGCTAGAATCCCGGAGGATCTCTTTTATTACCCTTACTCTTTGCACTTTAAGTACGCAACGTGCCATAGCCTGACGACCCCCTCACCCGGATTGCTTTATATGCGGATGACACGGTAATTTTCTGCTCGTCAAAGTCACCTGCCCTATTCCACCAACATCTGCAGTACTACCTAGTGACGCTGGTCAGCTGCTCTCGTCGTTTGAATATTATTATCAATGCGGAAATGAGAAAGCCCTTTTTATCACAAAGAAGCACATTACACCTCTACCGCCTCTGACCTTTAAAAATAAGGTAATTCCTTGGTATCCTCAGGCGAAATATCTGGGGTCCTTATTGATATCAAGCTCTCGAGGCAGCCGCACGTAAACTATATCGCGGCGAAGGTCAAGGCGGTGGTTGAAACTCTTCACTCTTTACTTTGTGCCTGAGGCAAACTCGCTACATAAAGTCGCTAAAATTTTTTGTGCATTCGACCGATAATAACATAGGCGTTTACTGCCTGGGCCTGAGGACTCACCGGCAATATTCTCTTCGCCCCAAGTGAGACAAAACAAGCTGGCGCGCCGTGGTTTTGTTAGCGACGGTGACTTACATAAAGACCTCCGGATTGGCTCTCTTGGCAACTTTTTGAAGTCATACTATCGCCACCTACAGTCAGCTTAATCAGCAAATAATCAGCGTACCAATCGACTATCGACAAATGAGATCAACTACGAAATCTAGGCGGGCGCACGCTATCGCGACCGCGCAATGGGCTCTATATATATAATATGGGTTAGGAAAAGAATTATTTATAAATTATATATATAAAAGATTGCTTTGACACAAGCTTAAAGCTAATGTGTACGCTATCACCCTGTTGAGAGCTCGTAAATTCGGTGTTTTCTTTTACGACCCGATAGAGAACCAGGAAATATCATTAATAATAATCTATTTGAGTACAGTTTTTTTGATATTAGCTGTCATGTTTTGAAATAAAAATTTTCTCTAAAAAAAAAAACGGTAATTTGGGCACTATACAACCTTGATGTTTTGCACTGATTCTGGTTCTTCTGTAGCTGCTTCCATATATCCAATGCGATGGTTAGAAAGTTTTGCTTCTTTAAAATTAGATGTGAAAATTCTATTATGCATTTTGAAAATTAACCTTTAATTCTTTTTCAGAAGAATTGTTTTTAGTGTAAACGTACTTTATAAAAGTTTTGAAGCTGTGCCTATTTGTTTGTCTATGACATTCTTTGATAATGCTAATGCCGACAGTTGTTTGGTCACTTAAGGTTGTTAGTCCTTTTTTCATTATTCTTTATGTGGCTAGGTGATTTAATTTTATCAGAAGTATCCTTAAGGACTGTATTGCATTTTAAGTTCAGTAATAATGAAACTAATTAGTATGTTATTTAAATCATCATAAAAGCTTCATAATAATTCCTTTTTCAAGCGAAAATTTTTAATTTGTCTAGTAAAAGAGTATTTTTTTCTTCAGTTTATCTGAGTAAAAAGAAAAATCATGGGTTTGGTAACAAAGTTTTATATATATAAGCTATTATTTAGGTCTGCAAAGCCTGAAAGTAGTTTACCCATGTGCACAAAGTTTGTTTTTTAGTGGCTGATGCCATTAAAAGTAGTAAGAAGACCAGGTAATTAAATTAACATGTTAAAGAATAAGCATTCTCTTTACTTTTGTTTACCTTACCAAGACATCTATATTCAACTATTTAAACTGGTAAAAATTTGATTATATATTTTTAAATGAGATTATAAATAATTTGTTTCCCTCACTGATGAATCCCTAAAAAAATTAATAACCGCAACACAATATACTTAAAAAACATGTTACATTTCCGATAATATAACAACAATTTTTAATACAAAAGCATACTTGCTGGGGACAAATTAAATAAATTTAAGCAAATATGGAATTTTTTTAACTTGAAAATTATTATAAGGAAAAATGATCATAAATAACGTGGTGGCCAACAAGAACCGATATAATCTTTGTGTATATATAGTGAAAATTTCCATTAATGGATTAGGCGGTAACAGAACATATTTACAGAACCCCCAATTCAATTTGAACTTCCATTTCAGAACTGACATGGCAACACACTACCCTCCTGAGATGGTGGCAAAGTTATTAGGTACCACTGAAGAACTAACCACAATAGATTTTGACTTCAACAAATCTCCGAAATTAAAAGTAAAGTAAACAACTCGGTAATGCTAAAATAACGCGAAAAGGCGGTTCTTTAACTCTAAAACATACTAATATTAATTAGTTTCAGGGTTAATGCCAGTAGAGGAAGCAGATTTTTCTACATCAATTAATAAAAAGGATATATAGTAAGTATAACTCCATTAAAAATATTGGTAAGGGCCATAATAGGGCCATGATAATAATAATAATAGTTATATCCCTATTATTACTAGCACTAACCATAGTGATAACCCCTAAAAATAATATTGAAGTTACCACCAGCTACAACGCTAGTACTAAAAAAAAAATTCTATTTTAGTTATAAATAAAAACATAAAAGGTGTGGGACACGGTTTATTGGAACGGCATAAAAGTTTTATTCTCAATTTCCGACCACCTTTCAGAAAGCCCGAAAGCTTCTCATTGAAAACAATTATGAATTTTACTTTTATCACCTGCCTGAAGAGCGAGCACTTAAGGTAATCAGATCAAAGATCTCCGACAACAGGAATTTCACCCAATAAAAGTCGCTCGACAATGAAGCTTTAAAGAAGAAAAGACTTTCACTTGTTCTAGTGCATCTCTCCATCACTGTGGAAAACCTGAAAAAACAGCACTAGGATGGATCAATGCCATCGCTGTCATCTTTTCGGCTACAACTTTAATTACTGCACCTCAACTTTCAATGTTCAGTGTGGTGAGAATTATGAAACCATATGTTGCAAAAAAACACCGGAAGAACCCCCAAATTGTGCTAGCTGTCATGACAATCACACTGCAAATTATATGGAATTTTTTATCCAAAACGTATACCTAAGAAAGATCAACCTACACCCATTACTACTTCCCCTGAACCGGAAGCACGTCTTAAATAGAATATTTCCACCTCCTTTAAGAAGGAAATGGCCCGCACTGTAAAAAAATTATGAGGAACCAATTAATATAGCCTAATTGCTCAATAAGCTCTTCGAATTATTATGATTGTCCTTCAAAGTTCATTGAAGTAAAATTGTAATTTTATCTGGAACGTCGATAGTCTGCAAAGCAAAAGAGAGGTGTTAGATGAACTTCGGATAAGAAAACAAAAATCGATATAGTTTTTGGGAGCAAAACGTCCTAAAACTCGGGAATATCTTAAAATTGTCCAACTACATAATATATCGTAAAATCTAACTTGACTCTCGAATAGGGGGTGTAGCGGCACTGGTCAATTGACGCCTTGCCCGCTCTGAGATTTTATCTTTACCAGTTAACTTTCAAACGGGGCAATGCCTTTACAGTCAAGGCGATGTAACACTCATCTCAAGTTTTTAGCAATAATGAAAGGGACACATTTATGAGCTGTCAAACCACTGTGTTCCCATATGACTCTCTGAACTGGAAAAATTTTTTTATGAAATAGCAGAATGGGAACCTAATAGAGAAGTTCTCAATAATAAGCCGAATGTAAGAGGTTAATTTTTTTGAATCCAACCAACCCAATACATATTTCTAAGCAGGGTACTTCTGGTGTATTAGACTTTGCAGTTATTAAAAACTTTTTTCTCGAATTTAAGCAGACTATTTTTCATGAGCTTTCGATAGATTTGTCTTTATGATGTAAATTCACCAATTAGAAATTTTTTCAAGAACGTTATAGATGAAAGTCTTAAAAAACCCTTTGAAACCTAACCCGTCCGTGCTTCTCAATTATTCAATAGATAACTTTAAAAATACAATCATTAAATTATACCTAAGACCTCTACCACTATAAAAAGTTAAATTTAATCTCGCATTTGCCGACAGAGGTTTTCTTTAATATAGAAAACCACAAATGAAGAAGTTTGAGATATCTCGAGCCTCTGAAGATAAACACAATATATAACCCGGACAAAAAGGCCAAAAAACCCTTCCCACGATTCACAAAGGAGAAGGGGAGAAATTAGTTTAGAAAATAACAATGGCCCTCGTTCATATTGGCAATCTATTAAATCCGTGAAAAACCACCAAAAACAGCACATCTTCCCATTAAACTGATGAGGAAAAGATAGATCCCAGGCCATAAGTTTTGACGCAAATTACCATTTTTAGGCAATTTTATGATTATTATGGATTATTCCATTGCTTAGTTGTTAGTTATATAACAAAGGTCCACGAAAAATAAATCGGCAGTCGTGTAAATTTTTTTTAGTGTTTTTTTTGTTTTAGTCACATCTGTACATCTATATATATATTTATACATTTTTTTAAAATTAATTTTCAGGGGCTTAAAGGTTTAGATACCGGTCAGTAAAGGTTTAAACACCCTAGCATAAAGTCTTAACCGGGACTGTTTATGACGATAAAGACTAAGCGGACATTGTTTTCTTTCTCATTAAACACTCATAATAATTGCCTATAATAAGCAACACTCATTCTTTTTTTTTTCGCCTTCTCCGTAGTTAGTGTCATTAAACTATGCTATACCATACCAATGATATTTATTATGCTAATTTTTTAGCTCTCTCTGGGAATATACTTAAATTTAAACTGCAGCGCCTATAGCTAGGAGGTTATAATAGAAGCGGAAAATTTTTCCCACTCCCACAACTAAGAACATACGTAAATATGGACCAAAGGTGTCGCTTTACAAACTGTTGTTATTCTTATTGTGTGCTTATAAAGTCTAAATTAGCTTTTGTAATTGGCAAACATAATTATAATTTAAGAGTCTTTGGCATCTTAAAGTTTCCATTTAATAAATGTTATTTATCTAGCCAGGAGTTCAACATATTTTATATTATTAATGGAGTTTTTAGATAAGCTATCAGGTACCAGTTGACGCAATAATAAAAGCGAAAACTTTGATTAATAATATCATTGGTGCATATATACTTGATATTATTGCTCATTTAGCTTCTTGCTTATTTTCGTAATGGTAATATTATTTGTATTGTGTTAATTGATTCTTTTTTCTTACTACTAATGATGCTTAATAGGTGTGCTCGATACAAATTTTGCATCTCCAGGTTCATCATTACCATAAGACTATCTTGAGACCTTATTAATTATCTAATAAAGCTAGACACAATGCAGTGTGTATACTTATTTCTTGAAGCATTAAAATTGTTTACTTTAACAATATGTCACTTATGTTTGGAAAGCAGTCTACCCTTTACTTAACTAGTGTTTAAAAAATTTATGTGCTTTTTTTCTTATTACAAACTAATATCAATACTTACTCTGAAGTCCATGAAGGTGGCTTTAGTTACCCAAAAATTATATTTTGTAAATTTAAAAATTTCTTGTCGGTTCTGCTAAGGAGTGTTACGAAGTAGCACTATTGGCATTGTATCTAGGTGCTAATAAACTGGTAAACTGGTGGTGCTATGTCTGTATATCGCCTCACCAATTGTTAGCAGCCCCAGCGGCCACATGCTCATTTCGTACGTCCGCCTGAAGCTTACCAAACTCAGTGCTTGACTTTTACCAAGTGCGAAAATGGGCTTCGAACGCCTTCAAATCAGATAAAATGTCTAATTTAGAGTTGTCATCAAAATTTTCTTCGCCTTGTGAAAATAAAAGTGTATCGCTGACTGGAAAATTAAGTTTAACTAAAAAGAGCTCTAAAGGAGCCATTGTTAACAGGGGTTTTCTTTTTTAACTTTTTTTTAGTTACTTTGGTAAATACACATTTCACTTGAATATAATCATTATATTTCAAATCAATAATAATTTCACTTTGTATATTACAGAAAAAAAAAATTTTCAAGAATTTTTGGCGAAGTACGAGTGCTACGCTATAATGCCCGTCAGTAGTAAAATGGTTGTGTTTGACACCTCTTTACTTGTAAATAGAGCTTTTTTTGCGCTTTTACAAAACGGTACATATTATTAAATAACGTATTGTAATTCCAGCGAGGTAACTGTTCTATGTTAATAACTGTTAAAGGAGTGAGATCGGCGCCAGTTTGGGATACAGAATTACAAAAGTTTGTTGGAATGGTAACCATAACAGACTTTATCAATATACTACTGAAGTATTATCGTACACCAAATACAAGAATGGACGAACTAGAAGACCATAAAATTCAAACATGGCGAGGTTATTGTAGCGTCATTCTACTCATTAAAGAAAGGAATTTTTTTTATGTATAAACATAGAAATGATGAATCATTCTGGGTCTTTAGTTCATATTGAACCCAAAGATTCTCTTTTGAAAGCTGTAAGATATCTTTTGGATAATAAAATTCACCGACTTCCAGTTATCGATCCTTCTACTGGAAATGCTTTGTACATATTAACTCATAAACGGATCTTATCTTTTATACACCAAAATGTATTTTTTTTATTGCATAATAATTATTTTATTATTTAAATTTAAAATTAATAGTTTTTTCACTTAAATATGTAAGTAAACTGAAACTTTTGGCTTACTAGCTTTATGACAAAAAACCATAACCTTTATTAATACATAACTTGTTTTTCAAATTCATTTTTAATCACTTATTTATTTGGTGTTCTTAAGTTTAATTTAGATGATGTGAAGTGTCTGGATTTTACTTTACAAGAGCTTGGCGTTGGAACACACGAAAATATCGCCACCGTCAAACCGAATACACCTTTAATAGAAGTTTTGAATCTTTTTTCGAAAAGACGAATCTCTGCGCTTCCTATTGTAGACGAAAACAGTTAAACCTTTAGTAATATTTAATAAGATTTTGTGTTTTTATAGCACTTTTTCCACAGATGTGGTTGTGAATATATATGCGAAGTGCGATGTGATTGTAAGTATGTTTAGTAGATGCTTTTAATTTAAGATTTTTTTTTGTCTTGGTTAATTGCTATTAATATTTATTTAGAATCTTGCCAGGGAACGCGCTTATAACAATTTGAATACTCCTGTTAGTGAAGCCTTGAAACACAGAGCCGACACTTTTGAAGGTGTCTAAATTGTATATAATTGGTTGAGAGTGACCACGTGCTTTGCGTCACTAAAGCTTCTTGGTTGAGTTTGGATCTCTTAATAGAGATACAACTTTTTAGAATTAATTAGTTTATTTTTACTTTTTTAATTTTATTGCTTTATTTTTATAATTTTCTTTGTGTTTACTTTTTTGTTATAAATTATAATCACGAATTTTATTTTTTTATTTTTTATTATAAATATTCAAGACAGTAATAGCTTTATTAAGGAAGTTAGGTAATTTCTACATTGTTACTATGAATTCAGAAATTTGGAAATAGTTTGTTACTTGTTTTTCGTCGGTTTATATATTCAATTTTTTATACTTATATTATCAAGAATAACTTAATTAACGGTACAGAATGATGCCTGATGTATATTTAGAGCTATTTCGCGTGCATCTGTTAGGAATGAAGTTCTTTTGACTCTTTTTTTGATAACTTTGTGAACTTCTCACTTTTTATATAAGATGACTCAGCTATAGTAAACTGCGTAGTTTTTTGCTTTTAACTAGAAGTATTATATTTGATTCAAACTCTTCGCACAGATTGACTTGTATGGTTATCTCGATTCACAGTAAGATTCTTATTCTCCCCTTCAGTTTTGGGGATTCTGATCTTTTTCTGTAGAACTTCATTTTTATATAATACAAATTAACTTTTTAAGCGTTCTAAAGGCTTTAATTTTAAATAATCAACTGCTAGATTTTGAGCGAAGTAATTATTAATAAACCTTCGAGAGCTTTGTTTTACTAGAAAGAAGTGGAAATATTCTATCACTTAGCGAGATGCGCGCTTAAACTTGGGCCTAACGATTATTATTAAAATGTTTTTTCAGAAATAGAAGTTTGTATCATTGAGTTTACTTAAAGTTATAAAGATAATACAAAAAGCAACTGTGGGGCAACATACTTGTGATAGATAAGTTTATTGATTGTTTATTTTGTTTTTATTATTACCTTTAAACAATTTAATGATAATAACGACGTGTAATGCTTCTACTAGCTTTGGTAACCTTTAATATATATTTTTATTGACAGGCGTGCACACGTGTAAACTGACAGATTCCATGCGAAGTATAATTAATCAAATTGTAAAAGCGCGTGTGCATAGACTTATTGTAGTTTGCGATAACAATACAGTCATCAGCGTTGTTTCTCTTTCCGACGTTCTTTCTTTTTTGCTTAATAACTAACGGTCAAAGTCGTATAATAAATTAATTTTTTTTTTTGTTTTTAGGTTAATTTATTTATTTTATATACCTTAAGTAACTTTTTTGTTTTGAATTATTTATTAATATTGCAAACTGTTCGGTTATAGGTCAAGTACAGCTTCAATCTTTATGGAGTTTTTTACTAATTTTTTTTTTTAAAATAAACAATTCAAGTTCATTACTATATATTAATTTTTTCTTATACATATGAATAGTAGGTTAAAAACTACAAAAGAGTAATTTAATAAAAAAAAATAAATTTATTAGGCATTAGTGGAGAACCGTAAAATGTATGCAAAGTAAACCAGTTCCCATTTCCAATTGTTTCTTATAGAACAATAACTTCGTAAAAACAGTTCCATAGTTAGTAAACTTAATATACAAGGAAATAAGCTTCTATTAAAAGAGCATCATTTGAAGACGCCCGCCTGTAATAAGCCATGACAACACGTAAACCATCTAAAAGCTTTACCATATAATTTTATGTGTGTGTTATATTATCCTTCGTCTATATATTTTTGTTGTAAATTGAAAAGTATATATACATTAACAGAACCAATAATTTAATTCTTAGAAATTTAAGTACTGGTGAAGGTGTTTTGTTAGTTTAAGTATTTAGGACTCCTGCGCGTTGTTTACGATCTTTTAACCTTGTGACTCTCGCTACAGTCGATAGTACTGAGCAGCTCGTGGGTGGGAGATGTTAATTTATACTGAAATTACGTTTATTAAAATGCTTTAAAGAAACCATTAAAGTTAAATTATTAGAAATGCTGGATTACACTATACTCCAGTTAAAATTTATTATTATTAGCTGGTAAAACTTTTGACTCGGATATGACCATTTTTCTCTAACGAACTCTTTTTTCCCTTCTGCAAAAGCTTTGGTGAAAAGAGCCCTTTCATTTTTCAATTATGACTAACGTTTTTATTATTAATGGTATTTCCTGGTGCTCGACCTGGTTGCAGAAAACAAAAAAAGACACTAAATTTGAGTGTTCTTAAATGAATGGTAGCGTACACATTAGCTTAAGCTTATGTTAAAAAGATTTCATACATATATATAAACATCTATTTTAAAAAAAGTTTTTGTAGCCCTAACCCATATTATTTGTTTAGAACCCTTTGCGCGGTCGGCGATAGCTTACGCCGTCCCAAATTTCGTAATTGACCTTATCTGCCAGTTATCGATTGATGTGCTAAGCCGTCCGTAGGTGGCGTTACTCATTGCATCGAAAAACATTACCCAGAGGTTAAGTCTAGAGGTCTTGACTAATGGCGTCTTTGCGAAGGAACCATGGCGCGCCCGTCGCTAACCGTAGCAGCATTTTTATCTCACTTGAAGCAAAAAGCCTATAGCTGGTGAGTAGTAGGCCCAATGCATACGTCACAATTTGGCGGATACACATTCCATACAAGATCGTTTGTCGTTTCAAAAGAGTTTGTTATGGGCACAAAGTAAAGGATCAAAAGTTTCGTGTTTTCTGTATTTGTGTTTTATTGTTGGTAATTTTATACTTTATGGTATTACAATTATTTTGAGTTTATGTTCTATTTTCTTTTTGTTTTTCTTGTGTTTAGTGTTTTCCGTAAATTATGCTTTTGCTTTATGTGTTTTTAATTGTGTCTTAGGTCTTTTTGCGTACTGTGCGTTAGAGGCTAGTGAGGTGTCCAGTGTTTTTGTTATAATTAAAACTAGTTTTTTAAAGGACATGGGAAACGTTGACAATTACTTTTAAGCGGCCCGGTCACCCCTTCGCTGACCGATATCAAGCCGCAAATGGGTCAGTATTCGCTTAACAGAGATGCAGGTTACAGTTTCTTCGGCATCACATCAGTCGCTGCCTTCAAGCACATTGAAAAGGTTCAAAGCACCAATAACAAATAAATCAGCAATACAGAGTGTTCATCCCCAATTTTGGGGTTCTCGACGATGATACCGACAGGGCCGAGCGCTTTTTGCCTAATTAAAGTTCTGGCAATCGTCAAAATCGACTTTGCGGATGGTTATATTAAAGGTTCATTGGCTCTAGATGAAGAAACCTTAGCCCAAGAGGCGTTACATTGTTTGTGCATAGCCCACGATGCCCTTGCCGCGATAGCACAGTTGTTTAAGATGAACCTAAAATTCGTTTTTAAGAACTTTATTTAACTGCACTGGAATCATAACTTTTTAGTTAGTAATTTTTATTTACTGACAAAATTTTTGAGGTACTCAGATATTAAGCTCCAAGGGAAAACAATAACAACCTCTACTTATTTAAAGATCTCTAAGGTCACTGTAACGATAAATCTTTATGTTATTATAAATATTAACTATATTACTATTTTATTAAGGCAACTGATCATAAACTGCGTGCAAAGTATAATGGTTATGTTCATTGTTGAGCTCCTCAAACGTGATTTTTTAGTTTCTTACTACTTAATATTCGCTGGTAAACGTAATAGTGCCCCTGCAACTAAGTTATAAATATATTTATTGCTGGGTTAATACAAGTAAATGAAACATAGATGTAAAATTAATTTAACTAGCTTAGACCACTTTTGCACACTCGCAAAAAAAAAAAAATAATATCTCAAAGTCTTGGCCCCTTGACTTTTTGCTCTTAATTATCAACGAAGTGGCACTTTTGATCAACAAACCATAATTAAGTAAAATATATTTTCATTTTTTTAATTTTACCAGTCGGGAGTCTTTTACCTAATATGTAATCGAAGAACTGAAAGCGCAGTAGAAATTTATTTGATTATACTGGACTCTCGAAGAGCGTCAAACAAACCTTACAAATAGTAGGAGCAAGAGGATAAAAAAATTGTACCAGCGCATGCACATGCAGCCCTAGCTCCCCCTACGCTGTAAACACAAAACTAAAACAACTAAAACAGACTCCTGATTATGTGATTTCGGTTTATAAAATATGGGTTCGTACACTTGTATTTATATAAGACAAGTTGAAATTATAAATTAGCCATTTCAATATTCTTAAAATGCTGAGTACTCAAGGAAAATAAAAACTTTTTCTTTCGAATTGATATTATTTTACTAGCTTTCCCACCATGCCAGAAAGTGAATCCCCCTTGAAAGGATAAAATATATTTTAATATACTAGTTACACTGCACTTATGTTTTCTAACCGAAAGGGTTTCATAAATAGAACCAAACTTTTCTTTGAATTTAATTGTAAAGCTGAAATTTTCTACGACTTCTGGCCCAACTAAAATAACTAGATGGAGTTCTTTCATTGTTAATTACTTATCTTCAAGTTCACTCAAAAAACACTCCTTTAAAATATTTAATATAAAGCTGCCAACTAAAATAACTAAATGGACATCTAACATAATTACCAATTTTTTTTAGATTACATAGAGATTTCAAGTATTAAAGTTAAAATATTGTTCTTCCATGTATTTTTTTTTATTAAATCACTGGTTTGCTAAAGGTGTGATTTATAATCAGTGGCAACTTCATCTACCTTCCCTCTATTAATTGAAGGCGCGGAAGCAACAACAACTTCCATAACGAAAAGGACGGATGCCCTTTTATCTTCACAGCTACATAGTATACGTTAATAAATACGTAATAGCAAAGTAATAGCAATATTGCATGTAATAAAATAGTTAAGTTTTAATACCGTTATATTATTAGAAATATATATATATTAATAAATTAATACAATAAACTATAATTTTGGCCGCGAGTACTTGGTGTACCCACGAGAGTCATAATCAAGAACCTGCCTAATTAGTATGTTGTGGTAAATACTGGCTCTAGTAAGCCGGCTCCGTGTTAAGTTTATAAAATATTCTTGAATAGGCTCGAGGTTACACTGTGTAGTTGGCTGTTGCGCACAATCCAAGGGGCGTGGACTACCATTCTCAGAACGCGATTCTGTAGTATTTGTCGTCGATGAATATGTTTATTCGAGGGATAGGTTAATGCAATGGGGGCATCAACCATCAGTGGGCGCGTAATCTTATTGTATAACAGAAGCATGTTTTTTAAATACAATTTGCTTTTCTTGCAAGGGATATAGAACAGCTATAGCTTGTCTGATTTAGATAAGACCCAAGAAAGACGCAGAGTCCAGCTTAGTCTGTCGTTAAGCATAATTCCAAGATATTTAACCTTTTTCTTTCGAGGAACGGTAGTTTGCTTTAGTAAAAAACTAGGGGTCAGAGGAAGTAATCTCCTTCTTGTCATAAGCATAAAGCCACTTTTCGACTCATCAAGTATTAACTTCTATGTCGCAGACCATGCCTCAAGTACTGTCGAATAAGACTGTAAGTTTTTAAACACCAGCCAGACAGATTTTGAACTATAATATAAGGTTGTGTCATCAGCGTACTGGCCTAAGATTATTTTTGACGATGGTGGCATATCGGACACGTAGATTGGAAAGTGGGAGTAAAGGGGTTAGTAAGAAGTCTTGTGGAACACCCATTTTTAATTGTCAAATAGCGGGCTTCAACGGACTTACTCAAGCAGTAAAGGTTCTACCCTTTAGGTATGAGTACTGCCGCAGGTAAGTAAAAAGCTAAGCTGGCGGTAATCATTTTGAAGACTAGACCATCGTGCGTATTTTATAAAAAGTCTTCCATGATCTAAGAAACCCACACCTGTTGCTTTCCTATTGTTAAAAGCTTTCGTAGTTTCTTTGGCAAGCCTGTGTATCTGGTTAGTGGTGAAGTAATTTTTTCGGAAAACCAACTTGAAAATTTGGTAAAACCCATTACTATCCACAAATTCTTGTAACCTATAAAGAATTAATCGCTTCTGCCACCAATTCTTGGCAGGACAACAAGGTTATTGGGCGGTAGTCATTAATAAAACGACTAGAGGACCTAGTTTTAATTATAAAATTACTTCTGTTAATTTCCACCGTTTCATTCAGCGTATTTTTATTTTAATTTTTTTCATTAAAGAATTGTGCATGCTCGGTAATATCGAGCGCAGACTGCTTAATCTCGCAAGATAATTTATATTATTAGGTTAGACGGTATTCAGGTTCGGCAGGTCATTTCACAATAAACTTTTTACATATGTGTTAAAGGTATAACAAAACTGTAGTTGTGCGCTTAAAGCGAATCTCGGGGCCTTCAAAAGCGTGAGCCTTTCCAGGGTTCGTATGTAAATTCTTGGATCCACTGGTGATTAGGAGGGCTACTAACAGGTACAAAAGAAACTGAAGTTGCATTTCGGAAAAAGACTTCAAGTCGTTCCAAACCCAGGTTGTCATGTAACGCATCATTCCGCAGAAATAAGGTGCACCGGTCATTAGACGTAGGAGCTAGTTTTCCTGCGAGTGGAGGCGTGCAATCGTTGACGGTTTATCATATTATTAAGCAACAGACGCGTAGCCCATAATAAGCGCATGCACACTTTATAAAGGCACGGTTTATTGCACAGGGGCATTGTGCTTTTAGCACAGCAGCGGGTAGAGTGCGTGAATTGCTGCTTTGACCTTATTTGTAACGAAGTCTACGTGATGCCTGCAATTTAACCGCTTATCGAGGATGACACCCAAGTATTTGGCTTGGGAGCTCCATGGGATCTTAACATTACTGAAGGTCAGAAATCGGGTGTAGCTTGGTGCATCTTCCTGAGATGAGGGTTGCTTCGCTCTTCGTTCCATTAATATTTACTCCCCACCGTCCAGTTGGAAAATGTGTCCAATAACGCTGCAAGAGTTGCCCTAAGGAGGGGCTCTTTGAGGGAGCGTAAACTGCAGTGTCATCTGCATAGAGTGTAACGCGGGTGTGATGGTTCGCAAGTGATAAATTATTTTGCATGTGTAATGCGAAGAGTAGGGGCAAGAGCAGAGCGCTTTGCGGAACGCCAGGTGTCAGTCGGCGGTATGGCGACAGTCAGTCCCAACTCTCACTCAAAAAGCGCGCCCGCGTAAAAAAGACGCAAGTATGCCGTAGAGGTTCAGCGGAGTACCTAATGTGCGTAGTGTGCGTAGGCAATTTGCGCTCAAAGACCTTTTTAACATCGACGCCCGTGGATTTTTTAAAAAGTTCTTGTGTCGCCGAGTGGCTTCACCAAATTGGGATTCTGGAAGCGCTTTGTGTGTTCCTACAAACTCTTCCAACCTGTGAAGAAGAACTACCTCCACGGTTCTGCCCACCGCTGAAAGAAGGCTAACGGGGCGATATTTGCGGGGTCCGCTAAAGCCCTGGGGGTCTTAAGTAGCACCAGTGGTCGTTTTCCATCGCGTTGGGAACTAGCCAAGCGACATTGCAGCAGTTGCAAGGCAGGAAAGATGTTAATCGCCACCAGTAACAGTTTTTTTAGTATTTCGTTAGTAAAACTATCGGGGCGGGTGCTTTCAGTCTTGAAAGTGCAGAAACTATATTAGAGTTTTCCTCAAGTGAGCTCGGTTTATTAAGTCCGTCAACAACAATAGGAGTCTTGCCATCGTCCTCAAAGGTTGCCTAAGTTGAAGATACATACTGAGCAGCTAGCCTGGCAAAGAGAGTCTCCTTGTCTTCGTTGCTTCCGCCGCTATCCTGCCATTAAGTGGCAGAGTAGTGTGTGACAACGGTTTTTAATACGTTTGTCGACGCGCAAAAAGATGGCCGTCCTTCTCGGGCCGCTACAAACATGGTCTGCAGTTTTGCCTCCCAGCAATTATTGAGAAAGGCGGCCAGCTCCTTTCTACCGTGTCAGTGAAACGGTTTGGAATCAGTTTGTTATCGAGGTTTTGCGTAGCAGCGGCCAGGCGTATTAACCGGCGCCGTTGACGAATAAGGATCATTCAAATAATCCGGTAGACGGCCAGAGCGATACGCGACTTCCCGGCTGGTTGTCGCAACAGATTGGATTGCTGTCAGTGCTCCCTCAAAACTATCAACTGCATCTTTTAATAAAAGAGAGCCAGAGGAAGAGATGGTCGGGGAATAGCGATGCTTCAACTGCAGCTGTAATTTTGACCAATCCATGGATGACCATAGGGAATATCGCTGTAACCTTGCTTTCGCCTAACGCCAGTAAGACGGGCAGGTAATCTGATGAAAGATTATGCAGCTCTGCAATTAACACCGAAGGGAAATGCCTTTCAAAATGACTATTTGAAGGGCTTCTGGATCAAAGGTTGAGATGCCAGCATCCAAATGTTGATAATCTGCGCATTTTTCAAGAATTTTTCCGTTCGAATTTTTTAACTCGACTTTTTCAAGCTGCGTGTTTGCAGTTTAAGTCACCACAAAGAAAGAAAGACCGGCAAGCCACGTTGTAGCAGCCTATCCGGATCACTGGTAAGCAGCACCTTGTAGGGAGGTTTATAGGCGGATCACGCCAGTCAGCTCTTGTCAACCAAATTGAGACGGACGGATCCCCATGCCCTCTGCGCCTTTTAGGTTTGGGAGTGGACTCGGGTGGTGTGGCAGCTTTAGCTGCACCAGAATAGCTACTCCGTCGCGTTTGTCAAGACGGTCAAAATGGTACGCTACAAGTCGATCGCCCGCTGTCAAGTGCGATGCTTAACAACGCGACGCCCCGCATTTTCACTCTTAAACAGCTTCAGCAGTTCGTCCTTTTTGCAATGCACACCGTTGGCATTCACTACAAGAGTTTTCAGGTGGGGTAATGGACGGGTTTTAACGATTATTTGCGGTAGTCTGGTCGCTAATCGCTCGAACAAATATTTCGAGAGCAGTTGTGAGTGGTATCATTATCTTGCCAATGGGTTTTCGGTGTCTTTTAGAATTAACTTTTAAAAAATTAGTAAAATACTATCAGGATAAAGTGGTAAGTCTTAAACGTGAGTAAGAGACTATAAATTAATTATTCAATTTTTTCCTTACTGAAGTTGTTGAGTTCGGTTGTTTTGTTTTTTTGTTAGCCCGAAAAAAGTCATTTGATTTAGTACTTTACATCTCGGACAATGACCTAAAAAAAATAAAAGTTTTTAAAAATTGAGTTTTAGTGCCTTATAAAATATTGACGAAGATACGCTCTTGTAGCGCTGCTCCTTTTTTTAGAAGCAACTACATGAAGTGCAGACTAGTTTAAGTAACTCTATAAATTATCTTAACTGTAATTAACTCGGATACAGCTTAGCGACACGAGCTGGATTAAAGCACACTGAACTCTGCGTCATTATTGATAAGGTTGGTTTTTTTAATATTATAGGAAAGAGATCTATAATTCTAGTAAAAAATAATATTTTGTTGAAAATAATTTACTTTTCGCTATTACACTCTTTTTATGACCAAGAAAATGGGTGGGTTTACGTGCGCACTTAAATATTTGTTGAATAATAAAAGTTTAACCATAGCGATTGTATACATATAAAAACCCGATTTACGGAAAAAAGATACTTAAAAATTATTTCAATACGAAATTTCATTATTTTTACAATATTATGAAAGTAAAAAAGTATTTAAAAAAAAATAATAATTTTGTTCGGCCCAGAAGCTTACTTTAATGGGCACCACCTAATTCTTCGACAGTAAGTAAAGCAAACCTTCTCATTTTGTATATGCAAGAGCCTGTTATCACAGGCCAAAGATACATACTAAAAAATATTACGTACTTTTTCAAATGTCAAAAAGTTTTACTTTTTTAAGGGTCATTAACAATATGTTAACAAAAATTTCCGTACAGTTCAGTTGAGGTAGTGTCTGTCAGGAGTTTTTTTTGTTCATTGGCTATGACAAGGGGTGTTACACTTTACTAAAATGAAAATACCACTGTATACTCCAACATTTTAACTTAAAGTTCTACTTAAATGCAGTAACCCAGCTTACCATGTTACTTTTTAATATAAGTTTAATGCTTTGTCGCTTTCGGATTGATAAAATAATATATTTTTCTACTATAAAGTTTTAAAAAGCTTTTTTTGCAGTGAAGAGGAAGAAAAAAACTCGTATAATGGTACTTAGGCCCTTTTTCTCCTTGTATTTTTCCACTCTGGCGGTGGTACATAGCTTCCAAACCAAAAAAGTCAAAGTATGCTTTTTAGACTTCTCTAGAAGATTTTTTAAAGTAGACGTTTAGTAAATCTATGAATTATTCTTTTATGGCAGTTGATGTAGTAACTAATATATAACTTTTTTTGCATTTAGCAATAACTCTGTGATAATAGCTTTAATTGTTTGTATATAATATAGTGAACTATACATAGGAGCTGAAACTTAGTCTAAAGCTTATCTTTTAGAAGTTATGCGAAATATGCCTTGTTTGAAGCGTAAGGAAGTTTTTAACGACTTTAACAGTGATCCTAATGACTTAGAGCCGGATGAATATATTTTCTATATACCATTCACAAAAGAAAAATTTCGAAATTACAAGTACCTTTTACCATTGTTTTTGTTTATTTTAAATTGTTAACTATTATGTAGTGAATTCTATAAAAAAATGGCTTTTTATCAAAGCAAGCATTGGCAGTGCAAGGTCACAGGAAAAACGGTTAAAATCTCAACTATATAAATTTTCTTTCTTATTTATACGTAAATTCAATAAAGGGTCTCACATATCTGGAGGCCCTAAACAGTGAAAAGTCCGCCGAACAGAAACTTTTACTTCTACCGGAAGTATACTTCAAGCCTTTATTAGCAATAATACAATACAGTTACTTTTTCTTTACCTATAAAGTTACTTAAGTATGCCTATTATAATAAAGTAATAAAATACTAGTGAAACTCATAGATTTCTTTTGTTAAAATTCATTTAAATAGTCCCTTTCCCTTTCCCTTTTCCTTTTTGTATTATTGCGTTTTATAGATTTCGTTACTCCCAATACTATATATATATTATACCTTATGGGACTTGCTTTAATACTTGTTTTCTAATTTTATATTTGTTACAGTTTGATTATATTTTTGATTATGAAGCTTTTGTTTATGCATATGTTTAGACTTTTATTTATTTAATAGATTCTCTAACCTTTGAGCATCTTGTAGAAGAAATTTGGCGAGTTTTTCAAAATTGTTATTTTGTTGGTGAAAAAGTTATATATCACGAAGAGGGCTCAAGGTTGTTCTTTATTATTTGGTGGATTATTTATTATACCTAATAAAGTTTCAGTTTTTTTAGTCTTATTAATTTTTTTTTTTAGTTGTCTATGTGAAGTTGTCGCTGCGAGAAAAGAACACGCTTCGGAATTTATAGAAGAATTTTCAATAAAATTAGGAAAGCATATATTTAATTATGCTGTAGTTTTTAAAAAGAAAAGTTGAAAATTGTTCCTTTACATGCTGTGCGATCTTGTTTAACTCTAAATTGTTATATTAATACATGAAGGGAATTTTGCAGAAGTACACATTTAATGTTTATTTTTTTCCTTTTATAAGAAATACTGGTTTTACTGCATTTCCCGTGTAGATTTCGCACGCTTTCGACTTTATTTATTTACTTACTAGCAAGATGTTTTAAGGGCCATAAAAAGATCGTCTATTTAAAGCTTTTCTAAAATCACTTTCACCGCCAAGCGTTTTTTAATTATTATGTTATGTTGGTATATTTAGAAACAGAAGAAATCAAACAACATAAATATGACGTAGTGCGCTGCAGTGACCAAAAGTTTTACAGAAATATTAATGGAACACAACTTAAGTTCAGAATAATAATTTTTATTTATATTATTTATTATTGTAATAAATCTTTTTATAGTCGCCAGAAAAATCCACTTACGAAAAATATTATACGACAATTTATACGAGAAGTTGCATATAAAGACCGCTATGTGGGGGCCCCGTGGATAGTCAGTGTACCTTTATATTACGGCTGCATCTTTCACTTTTTCCAAAGAAACGCTTCTTGCTATATTCTTTTGATTTTTTTTTATTGTTTATTAAGCTACCATGCAGAATTTATCTTATTTATATATTTTTAGAGTAAACTTGTAGATAAATACGATCTTCTGAAAGAAGTTCCAGCGAAATATTTGGTTGCCATGAATAAAAATATGAAAAAAGTTCAACTTCAACGAGTAAATTTCTCATAGACGTTTACATTAATATTTATAAAGCTTATTCTAAATATGTTTTTAAAATGCTTTATTTAATAAAATACTACAGGAGAGGGAGAGAGAAAAACTTGAAAATAGAAATAACGAGAAATATAAGCAACATAAAGAGAGTAACTTTTTTGAAATATTTATTAAATTAAAGAATTATCATATTATAGAGCAAACTTTATGACTATTTTTATATCCTCTCATTATATGTAACAGAAGTCGTCTACCCTATTGAAGATTCTGAACTTCCCGTTGATCCTCGCTTGAACAAGTTTCCCATTCCGTCCTTTTGTATGACCGGTAATAAGAAATACTGTTACTATACAAACTTTTATTTTAAAAAAGTATATCTAATCAAAATTTATTTTTTAACAATATTAGTTAATTTTTTTATGGAGGGTTTTTTATCTTTTATATAACGTATATTTATTGAGAATATATTTTCTTTTTACACTGTTATTAGTTTTTCTTTATTGAAAGTATTTTATTTTTTATAAAAATATTATTTTTATTGAGAATATATGTTTTATTACAATATTATTAGTTAATTATATTATAAGAAGTTTTTTTTTTATTTTTTATATACACAATATATTCATTGAAAAAATATATTTTTTACAATATTATTAGCTCATTATTTATTGAAAGTTTTCTATTGTATATATAAATAATATATTTATTAAACATATATTATTTATTATGACATTACTTTTATTAAATGTTTTTTATTTTGTACAATAAAACATTCGAATTCAAGATTTTTCGCCGGAACAATTTAGCACGCTTTTGTTTACGTGGCATTTTTTGTGGTATTTCCAGAAGCCTTTAAAATTGCTGTCTTTCCACGTGGAAGATTATGAAGGTTTTTTTTAGTTCTTTCAGGGTGTAATACTGTCGTCCTATTTTTTAATATGCACTACTATAATAATAAATAATAACAATTATAATAATACCTAGTAATGATTGCTATTCATCAATAATTACGTCATATATGATAAACATATTTACTTTTAAGTTTATTAAGAAAAACATTAAAGTCTTATAACTAGCGCATTAACATTTACTTAAGATGCACTTTTGGCTGAGGGATTTTCGCCTCTTCTGTTGAACATCTATTGCTCTCTTCTAAGTATTTTATTGCTGAAGGTTTTATTTTTCTTTCTCATATTATTTGAACCTTTAACTAATAAGAAATTGCTTTTAGCATAGCATCCAGCAAGCACTAAACGAGCACAACTGGGATAATACTATAAAAGTTTACATGAATCCATTATTATTTTATGCTTTTAAAAAAGCTCTTCGCTATAGTATATAAATCTTCTAAAGCTAAATATATAAATAACTTTTTGTTAGGTGTATTTAAAAGCGCGAGCGCAAGAGACTTTCTATGAAACTGATGTTCCTAAGGAACTAAAAAAACTTGAGGATTTTAAGAGTTTGAGCAGCTCACAACGTCTTTTGTTAATAAAAATGTTTATTGACGATGCCGTTTGTAGCGAGCCCATTCGGTAATATTCTTATAATAAATATTATTACTGGCTATTGCTGTGATTCCGCAAAAGTTTAAAGGATTTTTATCAATTTAAAACTTTGTTTTATTTTCGCTGTATTTTTACTATGTAATAATTATTTAGCGGCTTCATTCAAAGCGCGATGGATACGTGCTGTGAGGCTACAAAAGAAAGGAGAGTTGAACGGGCCTCTTATAGAAAATCGTATATATATCCCTTTCAATATTTATTGAAATATTAGACTTTCCATTGTACAACTTTTCAAATTTTCTATTATTTCTTTTATATTCATGACTGAAGATTTTAAATAAAGTAACATTATTATAAAAGATGCGCTGAAAGAGAAAGGATGCGTAAAGCTTCTCTGGCGTACGCATATCTATAAAATTTGCATAAAATAGTGATTCTTGCTTTTCACTATTTTTAGTGATGCCAGAAACACCGCATCGACTTCTGAGGAATCCAACGACGAGGATTTCAAGGATACTAAAAACTTTACTGATTCGCTTTTGTACTTTGAGATCAGAATTATTACTATTTTTAAATAAATTGGATGTGCATTATAAACAGAGCTACAACGAACAAAGCACCGCGAAGGGCAGTGCTACAGTATAAAAAAATGTTAGAAGTGAGTTTCTGTATTATTATTACTTCGTATATAAATTATTCTAATGGAGGTTGAGGAGTTAAGGATACAGCAAGCCCTTGAAGGAAAAAAAAGAGAAGAAACCTTAAAAAAGGCTAAACGACGGCGGGAAGAGGAGGTATACGAAATAAATTTTTATTAGAGGCTATTTTTCCTTTTTTTTTTTGGTGTAATATTATTTACTACTTTACCACTAGGATTTTAAAAAAAGTCTTGAAGAAGAAAAGGAAGATCAAGAAAGAGAATATAAATATCGTGAACTTCTGTATATTTTATTATTACTAATGTTTTATTATTTTATGTACATTTTATTAATGTAAAAGTGCGTAGCTTGTGCACAACCTTTTATATATATTTATTGATTCTGTTTAAACGCGCAAACCTTATTAGTATAAAAGCTTTTTTTTTTTATACATCTACTTTAATTATTTCCATATACTTTTAAAGCCGATCTTATTATCGTTTTAAATATTATATTTTTATAAATTCTAGTTAGTGTTCAGGTTTTTGTGATTGAGTTATTTTTCAAAACATTTATGAATGCTTTATCTAATTATTACCGCCTCTAACTCTTTTAATGCAATCGTGTTCAACTAGTTTAAAACTTGGGGGGTACCGCTGCAAGCCGTTGGGCGCAGATCGTAGACGATCTTTGTATTATCTTTTTGATAGCCGAATTTATGTCGAAGATGTTGAGGGTAAGTGGGGCTATTATGCACTTCCTAGTGAGGTTTGTTTACCCATGACTTTTTATTCTATTTCCTTTATTTTTTTAATCCTTATAAGTTGGAACAGTTGTTGGGTTACTTAAACACAAAAGGCAAAAGAGAACTTAAATTTCATCAAACCCTTATGGAGAACTTTTCAGTGCTGCAAACTTGCATCAAAGAAAGACAAGAAGTTTACTTCCTTCTTCAGCTTAACTTTTTTTTTTTAAATTTTTCATCGTACTCAAAAGGAATTTGAGGGAGATAATCAAATTCGTCATAGTGCCAGAATTCAGAAAAAATACTTAAAAGAAACTTCTAAGTAGAAACTCATATATGTGAGTATCTCTTCCATAATAATACAACTTGGCAAATTTAAGTTTTACTAAATAGAAAATTTTGGCTGGAATATTTGCAATATAGATTGAAAGAAGAGTCCTACTATTATTATGACTGTTATTATAATAAATAAGATAACGAAGTTTTATTTTTATAAGCAATATTTACTAGCTTCTGCGCATCGAGTGAGGCTAATTAAGTGTTTTCGTGTTTAGCTTTTATAAATTCACTTAAAAGTTATATGCTTATGCAAGAATTTGTTTGCTAGTAAAGTCTCTTTGGAGTATTGTTATTCTTTAATAATCTGTTAAAGGAATTCGGAGCCTAACGAGTGTAAGTTACCTTTTTTAAGAATAGGGTTCCAGCAAATAACTTATAAAATTTAGAAAATGGAAGGCGACTGAAGTAGTTGAGTTCTGTAGTAAGTATTTATTTTTGCTCTTCAAAGGAATTTAAACGTATAGAGCCTTAATATTATGACGCGGAGCTTATTTTTAATATATATTTTAGTGTTGTAGATTCGTTGTAGACTCGTCAATGTCTGCCACCCGTTTGCACATCTAGATTTTATTATTTAAAGTTTTTTAAAAGTTTTCTATAATAAAGAATTTCTAGAGACTCTCCAAAGAAATTATCTAATAACATACGTTTGCATAGTATTCCTTGACAAAGTTAAATAGAGCAAACAAACAATATTACTTTCATGTAAGCTAATTTTACAGTTAATTATTAAAACTAGAAGATATTTTGTTGTATCGCTTTGCTTACGGCTTACTTTGGCAATTTTATTTCTTTTATTTTCTTTTTTATTAAAAGTTTTTATATTTAAGTCCTGAGTTTTGAGTGGACTGCTACTTCTTTCTCTTCCCTTTAACTCCAAGTTTTGGTTTTTTATTACTTATAGCTGATCATAATCTAATTTAAACTTCGTTTTTTGTGAGTGGTAAGATCATTCTTGTAAAAATAACATAAGTTTTACTTTTCACGTAACTTTAGAGGATAAACTATAGTTTTATATGTTCAGAGACTACTTATGAGCTATAAAAAAGTATAAGAGCTCTGATGTTAGTAGTCAAACTGTTGGCATTCACAGACAATATTTACTTAATTTCAAAAGTAGCATGAAGCTATTAAGTCACTATAAACCTCTCTCATAATATCTAACCTAAATAACTTTTTATCTCAATTATATTTCGTTCTAAGTTAAAACACCTGTAAAATTCGATTTACTACCGCCACCATAAAAAGGAACAACCTTCTTGTGCTGTTAAGTTTATAAATAGCTATCATAGAGTATTTAGGCGCAGTAGTTGGGTAAAAAAGAAGTGTAAGAATGATAAAGCACTTCGTTCAAATACAATTAACGCAGCTTCGAGTGATAGAATGCTAAGCATTTAGTGCTTTCCCTAATCTAAACTCTTCAAAACTTCTAAGCAATTTCCTTAATTACTCTTTTAATTAAATTTATTAAACTAATATGGAAGTCAGAACTTGATAAAAAAAAACCTTTAAAAAATTAAACTATAACTATTTTTGGGTGGTAGTATGTTAAAAAACAATCCAGAATTCTATATATTTAAAATATTTTAAAAAACTTATGAAACCAATTACGGCCTATACTCCTTTTACTTTTCCTATATTTATAAAAATTCTCAGGTTTATCAGGCTACCCTTGCATAGAACCTTAGTGTGAGTCTTAAACAGTATTTCCAGACTAAACTACAAACTCGGAAGGTGAACAACAACGGATATATTTAGGAGCAACAGCCCAGCTGCCTTTTTCCTTGCCTCTAATACACAACGGGAGGTGGTTGGTGCATTGCTAAGATTTTTTAAGCTATATTATTGTAATTCTAATACTTTACAATTGCTGGTAACAGGGATCAACATGGAAAACTCGATAAAATTAAGAAAACTTAGGGAACTTCTTGCTAAAAATGATATTTCTGCTTATATTGTTGGACATGAGGACCCCCATCAAGTTATATGCTATTTTTTTAAGTATTTTGTGTTTCACTATTTATTTCTTCAATAAGAGTGAGTACACTGCAAGTTATTATAAACGCTTAGAATTTATCTCCGGCTTTACGGGTTCCTGGGGCTCCGTTATTGTTACGACTAAAGAAGCTGCGCTCTGGACTGATGGCCGCTATTTTACTCAAGTACTCCTTTTTTTTTTAAATGTGCAAACTTTGGATTGTCAATATTATTTTTCTTCTCGGCTTTATAACAAATAATAAGGCCAGTAAGCAACTTACAGATGATTGGATCTTAATGAAAATGGACTTGGAAGATACGCCATCACCAGAGGATTGGTTAGTGAAGGTATACTGATAACCTTTCTCAACTTCTAATTTTTTTATAATGTATGTTTATATATATATGCCTACAGATTTTGCCAAAATTTAGAAAAGTAGGAGTTGATCCTTTTTCAATACGTTATAGTAATAAACGTTTATTTTTTTTTGTTTAAGGTTTTATTTATTAAAAACAACTATCTTCTGTTTATAAATAGAAAATTTTGAAGTGTTAAGGAAGAGTTTAAGAAGAGACTCCCTTGAACTCGTTCCAATCGATCAAAATCTGGTAGATGTAATCTGGGAAGAAACGGGAACCCGACCAGATTTACCAAAAGAAAAAATATTTGTGCATCCCATTTGTTATTCGGGTCACCTTATATATTTATAATTTAATTTTTTTTTTGACTAATTATTTTTTTTACTTTAGAGTAATATATATATTTACATCATTTTTTTAATTATTTTATATGAAAATGGTTTTTTGCTCTATTTTCATATTTAGTAATAAAAGTATTTTTTATCTTTTTTTTCAATAACAATGAAATTTTGAAGTTATCTCTAATAATAATCAACCACTTTGTGCGCTATTCTCATATATTTTGGGTTTCTTATAAGCTTCATTTAAGTATATAATTATTTATATTATTATCAAAACCTCTTTCAATATTATTTAATCCAGTTGCTTTATTTTTATTATTTACGACGCAATTTTGCAGGGTAAAAATAATCTTATTCATAAAATTTATAATTGGTTGCCTTTGAAGTTATTATAAATCCACCACTTCAGATTTTGACTTTGTGTTATATTTTTTAATTAAGGAATGGAAATTTCCCAAAAATTATTTTGTGTTCGAGAAAAGATCCGGAAATTACGGCGAGAGTGCTTAATTCTTTCAGAATTAGATCAGATTGCTTGTATGCTCTCCACCGTTTACCTTTTATTCGTTTTCTTTACAAAAATTAAATGTCAAAAAAAAACGTGTAAAGAAAATTTAAATAAACTTTTGAATTGACGAAAAATTGTTTATTTTTTATTTGTGAATTATTTTTTTTTAATTTTATGAATTTATAAATTAAACTTTTTACTGAGTAATTTTTTTAATTTTTAAATTCTAATAATAACATATAGCTTTAGACACGCAAAGTAAAAATAATATAAAAATATTTTATAAAAAATTTACTTTTGCCTTTTTAAATTAATTTTTTGGTCATCTCAGGGCTTTTCAATTTACGAGGGAAAGACATACCTTTTAATCCTGTTTTTATTGCATATGCGATAGTCACGCTGAACGAAGTGTTTCTTTTTATCGATAATGTTAAGCTGGACGAGCAGGTTATTAATTTATTTATTTTTTTCAATTTTTTTTTTAAAAGTATGATTTTAAATGATAATTTCGATTTTTTTATTTTTAAAAATATTTATTAAAAATTTATAACTTAATAATTTTTAATGTTTATAAACTTATAAATTAATTCTTAGTCTTTAATTATTACAAACGTAAAAGTTCCTTTTATATATCCTTGTATTCAATTTTAAATTTAACAAAACTTATATATTTATTAGTTTTTTTTTTTCTATTAGTGTTTTTAATTAATGATAACTTAAATTTATATTTTTTTACATAATAAAAAAGATATTTATTCACATATTAAAAGGTAAAAGCCCACTTACAAGACGTTATTATCAAGTCTTATTCTGAAATTTCTGTAGAGTTGGCCACTCGTTCCGCTAATAATGAAGTATTTTTATTTGTTTATTTATTGGTTCTTCACTAATCTTTATTTTTTTTTTAGGCCTTTCTGGCCAGCAATAAAGTGACTTACGGGTTAATAAAAGCTATTAATGAAGTTATTATTTATAAAAGTTTCATAGCTTTTATTGTTGTAAAGTTTTATAGATTAGAAAATTTATTCAGACTATTTTATATTTTATAACAGGAATTTTAATAAATTTCTGTTTATAATATTAAGTTACTTTTGACTTTAATCGCAGAACCAAATTCTGCTGGCAGTTACGCCCGTGGAAAGCTTGAAGGCAGTCAAAAACGAAACAGAAGTGAAAGGTTTTAATGCTTATTGGCCCTGTGATACAACAGAAAAAATATTATCTAATAGGAATGAAGGCTTGTCATATCCGGGACGGCGCTGCTTTGGTTCATTGCTATTTCGATTGGCCAGAATCGCTCACTTGTAATATTGTGCGTTTTTCCTGTGCAAAGTGCTTATTCTATTGGTGGCTCGAGAAGCAAATAGAAGAGGGCAAAGAAGTTTCAGAGTGCTACGCGGCTGACGAACTGGAACGTCTTCAAAGGTATACTTATTATTGTGATTATCGGTTCTACTTTTATTATTACTATTATATGCTTAATAGAAAGCAGACCGACTTTGTTTCTCTTTCTTTTACAACAATATCTGCTTCTGGGCCGAATGCAGGTTCTTATTATACCATCTTTCGTATAATACATATTTTAATAAGAGCAGCCATCATTCATTATTCTCCTGGAAGGGAAACATGCTCTATTATTGGAAAAAACACACTTTACCTCTGCGATTCTGGCGCACACTACCGGTTTATGAAATGTACATGTGCTAAACAGCAAAGCGATAAATAAAAGTATATAAGGGACGGCACAACTGACGTGACGCGAACTGTCCACTTTGGAGAACCGACGGCGCACCAGAAGTTGTGTTACACGAATGTTTTAAGAGGGCAGATGAACTTAAGCACGACCGTTTTTCCAGAGAATCTTGCGGGTCGTATCAGACATTTATTTAGTTTTTACTTACACCTGTATGGAATATTATTGTCTACATTATCTACTTGTAATTATTATGGCAATATCTTGTCGATATTGAAATATGGAGGTTTTATTTAAATATATAAAACGGAGTTAGGTAGCAACTTGGACGCTTTTGCAAGAACCCATTTGTGGAAACTTGGATTGGACTATAGACACGGCACCGGCCATGGGGTTGGCTCCTTTTTGAATGTCCACGAGGGTTCTTTTTCGTTATTATTGTTACTATTATCATTATTATTATTGTTACTCATTATTGTTACTATTATCATTATTATTATTAGGTCCGATTGGAATAACTCTCCGCGCTGGAAAAGAAAACTCCCCGCTGGAAGAAGGCAATATTTTAAGTAATGGTATTACTTTTTCTATATAAAACTTGCTACTGCTGTTCTTTATTATTTTCTTTGACACGTGGTAGAGCCCGGCTATTATGAAGAAGGAAACTTCGGCATCCGGTTAGAAAACTTGATGGTGGTTGTCAGAGCCACAACGCCGTTCTCTTTTGAAAATAAAAAGTTCTTGACCTTCGAAACTATCACAAAAGTACGTTTTTGTTAATTCTAATTGGCTGGTTGGCCACAAAAAACATAACTTTTGTTTTGCTTCCGCCTCTCTGTATTCTGCTTTTTAGGTCCCGTATGATCGAAAGTTAATCGACATCACTATTTTAACTGATGAGGAAATACATCACGTGGATGCCTACCATCAGAGGGTTTGGGAATCCGTCTCGCCCCTTCTAAAAGCTCAAGTGCGTATTGAAAATCTTTTTAATACATTATGACTGGGTGTTTTAACGGGGTCGGATTGGCTAATTACTTTACTGAAAAGAATATAAACTGTGAAACTCAACATTTTTAATAACTTTTTAGGGCGAGGACGATGCGTGCGCTTGGTTATATCAAGCCACGAGGCCGTTGCGAGATTACAATAAAGTTTATTAAAGCCCGTCTTCATTTTTTTGGGGGTTTAATAATTCCTTCATTAAATAAATTGTGATTTAGATAACCATAATGAAAAGCAATATTATAACCCGCAAAGTTTGTCTTATTTTTGCCAACTTCTTAGTGTTTGCTGCTGGTAACTTGAGTGTATGTTGGCGGAGAAGGTACTTTTCCAAACTCTTTATTCTTTCTACCTGTTTTTCAAGTCCGTTTACGTGCTGTGTATTATAAACCAGTAAATTACATGCAAAAAAGTATTATATACTATAAAAAAACCGAAAACGCGGTCTTTACTTTAGACATGTTGATAAGTATATTGCAGATGTTTTCGAATATTTTGTTTTGGTCTCTGAAGTACTTTTATATTCATACGTATAAAAAAGAGTCAATATTTTCTGTTTCTTTATTGTTGGCTACACACGTAAGTACGAAAAAAACAAAAAAAAACCTGAAGATAGTCAACTAACTCTGCAACGCATTCTTTGTGCTCAAAAACGGTATGAGCAGTGGCGCTGTTCTCGCAGATGTTGAGAAGTATTTCAGTAGAAATGCTGAGAATCTCAATATGCGGCTAGTCAAGTGTGATATACATATTAAAAAACAGACACTAAGAAGAACACCAGCGGAACTGTTTGCATATACTTTGCTTCTATTGCATGTCCTCATAGACTTGAGCACGACAGACGCAACGCACTGCCGGGAAAACTCAGCTTGGCACAACTTTGCTAAAGAGGTCAATCGAACTGCAGAGAAATTAATGTTTATGTAAAAGGTTGTACAAAACAACGATTCCGTCTATAAGAAAACATTCACGGAAGTTCACTATTTTTTATGCATACAATTTGATGAAGTTTACCCAATTCTTCGCACGCGTGGCGGATGGCACACACTTTATTAGTGCTCAGCATTGAGTGGATGGCACTATCAAATAGGGCGCACATGCGCAAAGCGGGGGACTCAAAGGCGTTAATATTGGCTCTCTAAATATTTTAAGTTTAGTAAAATGAAGCATAAATTTAAGAAAACACTTAAAATGCTGTACGCAACGCAATTTACTTTGATTCTGTTTCTTGCCGCACAAATTTCAGGCGGACAGTCGGCCCTCACAAGGCAGGCCCGCCATTTTCCTTGTAGACGTTTTATTCCCTTCAAAACAACTAAAAACTTTCTGTTGAGAAATTATATTTAGTTTAACAGCTAATTAAAAAGGGAGAAGCCTTGGATAGACCAATAACAAAGAACAAAACCTTCTCAGAAAAAAGGTTCGCAGTCTTGATTGTATGATGTGGGTGGCGAAGTAAATACACTTATCGTTAAAGCTTGTGACCATTTTGTACCTGAAGAGTTTTAATAATTATTTTAAACGTTTTGAAAAACCGAAGAAAAAAACGATAAAAAAGTGTGTAAATTATATTTTTTTAGAAGCATTTCTCGTTTGCTGGTTTACATTATTTATAATTAAAAGAATATATATTTCACTACATTTTCTTCTTAAAAGTAGAGTAAATTTAGAGATAAAAGTAAAGCGCTTTCATGAAAAAATTACTGGAAGACAAAAATATTATAAAAAAATTGATTGGCAAACATTGAAAAGTAAAAAAATTAGTAAATATTATGAAAAAATATTTTTTAGTGAAAGTTATAAATGCGCGGGTACTGGCTCATAAAGACACCCACCAACACTTAATATCTACCAGTTTATACGGCGAAATTTGTTAAAAGCAGGCTATTTACTGACAGCTGCGCAACGGCTGCCCGTTTCGGAAATAAAAAAAAGCGCTATGAAGGATACTACTGGCTCTGACACCGCGGAAAAAACCGACTTTAAATTTATATAATATTTTATTTACTATAAGATAATAATAATAAAAGATCCATAAAAGAAGTATTAAAAAAAAAAACTACAACTGCTCGCTAAAAGTACACTTAAAAAAATGCTACCACTTTCTTACTAGTGTCCCAGCCCCTTTTATCTTCATGTATTTGTTCCGGAGGAGAACCATTTTCAAAAAAGCTGCCATGTGGGAGATCGCCATGGAGTTTCGATAAAACCGTTGAACAAGGATTGCTGAGAGGTGTTCATTGGCCACAGCTAATCGATAATAATTACCAGTGGCTTAAAAAAAAGAGAAACAGAAAATATACTGGAAAAGACGAGGAAATTTTGGGCGCGCGTAGCTATAAGCCGCCGAAAAAGTCTTTGAAAGTTGATTACCGGAACGACCAATTTAAAAAGTTCTAAAAAATAGAATAAATACGAAAAAAATTCCTTATTTTTGATGTCAGACCTCCAAATGCGCATATTTTCTGTTTTTTCAGTAAAAGACGCCAATAATATTCACGAAAAAGCGACTGAATAACAACAGACGACCGGCGTAGTAATACAAACCTGAAAAAATAGTTTTTTATAAAAATATTAAAGAGTTCAGAAAATATAATTCTTGAAAATAAAAAATTATTATAAAAATTATAAATATAAAAAATATTTTTTTTCTGCCGTGTGCCACTGAAAATGCGCGCAGAAATAGATTAGCGTCTAACCTTTTAGTGAATCTTCTCTGATAACAACATTTTCGGTAAACAGACTGAAGTATAAGCGCAGCTTCCTGTTTTAAAAATACAATAAACAATGATAATAATAAAAGTTATACAAACTAAATGAAGATCAACTTTTTTTCTCGAAATTTTCTTATAGTTCACAAACTTCATTATTGTAATACATATCCTCAACTTCGCCACAGCAATAGCAAAAGCTTCACGACGAGCGCGATAACTGAAAGTATATTTTATTTTTTGTTCTTAATGTTGGTAACTTTACAAATTTTTTTTCACTAAACCTTTTTCATTTTCGTTATAGTATAATAATTATAAATACATCAAATAAACTTTTTAAGGTCATGTGTCGCACGAAAGAAGGTCTGAAAAGTTATACTTCCGTAAATTTGAAGATTCCGGCGGAAAAAAAATAGACAAACTCTCATAAAACGCTATTATCGGGTAATTATTTTTATTATATAAAGAAAAAACGGGGACTTCATTTTATTTGCTTTTTAAAAAAAAAGTAAAGTTAAAGTTTATTAATATTCTTAAAAGAGTTTATATAAATTTATATTTATATATATGAAAGCAGATCAAAAGAAAAATTATTGATATTTTTATATAACAATAAAAAATTATATAATGAAAAAGTTTAGTTAAAATATTTTAAGCAACAAACTTGAATAAAAGTGACGCATGAAACTTTCTTCAAGTAATTTCTTTTAACGATGAACATTTTAAAAACTCTTTGAAGTACGACGCATGAAAAGTTCCTTTATGGTATTAAAAAAAAGTAAAATTAAAACGTAAAAGTGAACTTTTTGTACCTCAAATTTTGCATTCGTTTATTTTTTAAACGAACGCACGTCATTTTTATAAAAATAGAAATTTCTTTTGCACTTTTTTGCTGTAATATTTATAAAAAATACATAAATGTTGCATATTGGCCGATTTTTTTTTAATAACTAGTAAAGAATAAATAACTTTCTTGTTTAGAAAAAATGTTTCACTGCGGAGCAAACCGGAACGGAAGCTTTTTAAAAACGTAAACAAATGTTAAGTTATGAATTATTATTATAATAATTATATGCAAGTAATAAATAGTTGCAAAATTTATATTATATTTACACTAAATAGTAGTATAAAAAAATGAATAATAATTTTTTTATTGAATAAGTAATAAATACATACAAAATTAGCATTCGCAATAAAAAACCCGAAAGCTGTAGTAAAAGTTATCAAAGTTTTCTGCAATAAATATGATACCATTTTTGGATAGCACTGGCGGCTCGTATAAAGGGACCCAAATAGGACAATCGGCCGCAAAGATAAGACATGTAAGACATAATTTGTAACTCATTACCGCTTTTAAAGCCAATAGGCGCAATAATATCAACTTCACTCGCCTATAGAAGTTGTGTAAATTATATATGATAATAATTTTTCTTACATAATCGAAATCTTTTACTTGTTTTATATTGTTCACTAATATATTTTTTTTAATTTTTACATGCTTTTTTACTGGTATATCTTCATAATTTTTATTTCAAAATATAATATTAAAAAAAGTTTTAATAATTAAAAGTAAATGCTTAACCTTTTCTGAAAAAACAATGAAGTTTTGTCTTTTTTGTTGAAGTGTCAATTTGCTCTGATCTAGAAAGTATGGAGAAATATAATAATGAATCTTAATAAATTATATTATAATTAACCGAAACCGCTTATTAGCGAGAGCGGTAAAAGTGTTGGGTAATAAAAGTTAAGTGCGGCACACAAAAGTCGTCCGTCTTCCCAAGAGGAAGTGAAATTTTTGCACTAAAAAAGTAGTGTTACTTTTTCATATAAAAAAAAAAACCTAATTTTCATAAAAAAGTGTGAAAGCTAAAGGTTATAGTTATAGGACACACAACTAATAACTAGTAAAAAAAACTTTATTACTAAAAGTTCTATTTATATTAATATTATAGAGAAAGCGAAAATATAGTAAAGGGTACAATACCTCCAAATAATAATGACCAGCAACTGCTCTGCACCAATTAAGAACAATATTATCTTCGTTCACACTCAACTTTTTTTTTAAAAAAAATTCAAAAATAATTATGAAAAGGTTATAAAGCATTAATTTTGTGAAAGCACCAAGAAAGCTATTAATAAAAAATATACACAACTTTGCGATTAAATCCCTATAACAAAAAAGTAAAGAGTACGCTGGAACCAATCGAATGAAGCTCTTTGGCCACCATCGCCTCGTTTAGATGGAAAGTTGCGCCAAAATAAATAACAATAGCCCATAAAAGTTGAAGAGTTCTTTCTCTGTGTCTAGATATAACAAAAGCAGTTTGTAAAAAGTTTACTTCGTGATTATTATGGAGGTATGAATTAAAAGTCTCAATAGAGATCTTTACTATATAAATAAATATAAAGGAGCAAACTTTACCCGTTAGCAACGGCGTAGGCCAATAATGATTCGCTCTCAAAGACCATACCACGTGACGTAAAACCTCCCAAGACAAGCTGAATGTTCGACATGCTCTACATAAATTCATAATGAGTTCGAAACTATAAGGATAATAATAATAAATAAAAATATAAGAAAAAAAAACCTCATCAACGTTATTATTTAAAATCGGTTTCAACTTAGAAACCAGCGAATCACCGGTTAAAAGTTCATATAAACGAGCCAACCGAATGCCGTCGCGCAAGTCCATGGATATTCTTGATATCTATTCGAATTTATTATTTTTATTGTAATCATAAAAAATATTTTTAGAAAATATTATAGTGAATGAAAATATTTACAAAAGTAAATATAAAATAAACACTATTTATGATAACTATTATAATATAAAAAATGATGTAATAGAAAATTAAAAAAAATTTCTTTCTGAGAAAATTTTATGTTTTCTAATCTCATTCATAATTAAATTTTTTATATTACAGAAGTTCAACTAATACTTATATTTTGCTTTACGGAATGCTCCTAGTAATACCAAAAAAAATTGTTTTATTCGCTTTTTGTATAACAACATTACGTTGTTTTTTATTTATACATAAAGTGAAGCTAAATAAAGCTTTTATTTACTGAATTTATCTTAATTTGAATTAAATTTTTAACTTCGTGATTTGTTAGTATTTATTAGTAATTTTATAATTCTTATTATAAAGTTTACAATTTTTTTATTTACTTTTATCGCATGTAACTTAATTTTCTTATACTTATTATTCCTATTATTATGTGACTTTAAACGTCATGATTTTTTTATTAACTCAATTTTTACTATAATTTATTAAAGTAAATTAAATGAATAAAACTTTATTTACTATATTAAATTAAAATTTTATTTACAGAAATACTGGATCTGCTTGCTACAATTATTATATACATTAAACATAATAAAAGTAAGAAATCCAGAAGTAAAAAATTTACGAACTTCATATTCATACTCCATAAAAAAGTTTTGTTCCCATTGAACGTCGAAGCCTAAAAAAAAGTTAAGAATAAATAATGATGAATAAAATTTATAAAAAAAATACAAAAATTACTATAATAATGCAAACGTTTAGAAAAACTCGATTCGCCTATTAAAAGTGAGCGTCCTAAAAAGTCTAAAACTTCACGACTTTTTTTACATAAGGAAATCTACAGTATAAGTATATTTTTACTGAATTTTATATTATAAGTATAATAATAATAATAATAATAATAATTATTATTATTAATAGTAATAGAAAAAGTTGTTAAAGCATAACTTTTTTAAAGAGACAAGTATCCGGTAGTAAAGTTTTATGTACTTTGGCTTCATCCAAAAATAAAATCTTTATTTTATAAAAAAATAATCTTTTTCAGTTCATATAAAAGAAGATAAACTAAAAAAAATTTTAAAAAAAAATTTCAGAAGTTAAAAAATATAAATTTATCAGCACTCTCAATATATTATGCGCTAATACTAAGCCATTTAAATAATAACAAAATCTTAAAAAAAAATTTATAAAATAATAAAAATTTAATATTCAGTTTTTGTAAATTGCTAATGAATTTGATAAAAAAAAATTTATATAGTAAAGTAAATTATAAAAGTCTTTCTAAAAACTACTTGAATGGTGTATATAACAGCTTCTTATACTTAAAGTTAATGGATTTATAAATTAGCGAACGAAAATAAAAAAATAGTTAACGAAAAAAGTTTTAATATTAAACAAAAGATTAAAATACCTCTGAAAAATTCAAGATTAAAATCAATTACTTCTAAATAAAAGCTATAAAAGCAAAAAGATAGAAATTATATATATCTTTATAAAAGTGTTGCAAAGAAGAAGTTAATGTTAACTAAGAAAGAATGTATACAGGAAAAACTAAAAAAGATTTGCAATTAAAAATTTAAACTACACTACTCAGTCATTAGAAAACGGAGTAACCAAATTATTAAAAAATTTAAAAGGTTTTACTTTAAAATGATAAAAAGAGAATAAAGATAACAACGCAGAAAGTATGCGAAAGCCCGCTAGTTCGAGATCTATCGCGTGACTCACAAATGAACGTAAATTTAATTACATAATGTCCATCATAATTCTTAAAAACCCACTACTTACTGTAATGATTTAATAATGAGTATATACATATAGTATAGAAAATTATTATAAAAATTAATATAATTTAAGGTATTAAAATTACTGCCTAACTTCTTTGAATATATAAACAAGTTAATGTGTTAATAATATTAAAGATGAAAAAAAATAAAATAAAATCAAAGATAAAAAGTTGAGCTTTTTACTATAGTTCAAGTTATTTGATTAACTACTTTATTTTTTGGTTAAAATAAAAAAGTTAATGTAATAAAAAACAAAGAAAATAATGAAATCAAATTGAAAGATGTACTTTTTACTATAAAATACGTTATTTAATTTACTGCTTAATTTCATTAATGTATTGATATAAAAGACGAAGAAGAAATCGAAGGTGGAAAGATTTACTTAAAACAGATTTTAATAGCTTACAAAAACGAGTAGAAATGCCAAAAGTAATTTTGTATCCATTTTTGCTTCTGAGAAAAGATTGTTTACTGCAAAATCTTCAAGACTGCACATGGAGGACTACATAGACAAAGTTTGTTTATGGTTAATATTTACAATGAAATTTATAATTCCAATAAGCAAAGATTTATTATATTTAATTTCATAGTTTGTAAATAATTAAAAAAATAAATTGTATAAAACTGTTTAAGGATGATGTATCATCTAAATTTAATATAATTATAACAATAAAAAGATCCAATTATATGTTTAGAAAAGTTTTTGTACTGATTAAATTTAGCTCAAGAGTTACTTTAAAGTAAATTATATAAACAAGTTCAGCATAAATCAATTTATAAATAATATAAAAAAGTTTTTAAATAAGTAAAGTTTTAGCTTAAAAAAGTGCCGTATAAAAAATTAGATATTTTGTATTTGAATGAAAAAATTTTTTGAAATATTGAAATTTAGCTCAACAGATTTTATATTTAAATGAAAGGATTTAGCGCAAGAGTTATAAATTAATTAATTAAAAAAAAACTTTAAGTTCTTCTATATAAAAATTATAAACTATTAAATATACCGTAGAAAATTCTTTATCAAGCATAACTTCAAGAGCATATCTTGTCCACTTTTTATTGTACATGCTCACAATGTCTTTTATTATCTAATAGAAATAATTAAAATGTAAACAAAAAGAAGATAAACACATTCTAAAAATATTTAAACTTTTTTGTAAAAGAAGAAGGAAGCAGAATTATCTTCTTTTATATAAAACTTTTGGCTTTTCAGAGCTGCGTATATCTGGAGAATTCATATCGTATTTCTAATAATAAATATAGAGAAAAAAACATGTCAAATATTGTTACATTTCTAAAAGAGTTCTTCAACTTTTGAGAGTTATAAAGATGTCTCATTTGCTCCAACTGAGAATAATAATAAAATTTTTTGTCAGACGAAAATAAATGTTCCACCTATAAAAAATATTATCGTAATGAAACTGTAATTCGAATATAAGAAAATTATTGATATAAAGTAAACTTTTGCTACTGGATACTTAATTATGGAGTTAAACCACTTGACAAGAACCTCTTCGTCAAGTTCTAAAATTACTTCTAGTAAAAATAAAATATTTTTAACTTAAAAAAAACTTTTTTTACTCTCACATGAAATTCTTTCTTTAAAGGTGTCATCTTGAAAGTCATACATGTAAACGCATCCGCTATATTGATCTATTGATGACTCTGCAACTTAACACAGTCAATCCTTAAACAAGTTTAATAAAGATACCAACCAGTTTTTAAAATTTGATTTGCTTTTAAATTATTTATAGACTGAAAAGATTGACATTTAGCCTGGACGTTATTTAGAAGCTTTGTCTTATCCCAAAAAACTTTTGAATCATTAACTTCAAAAATAAACTTATTGCTAAAAGAATTCATACTGTTCAACAAAAGTGAAATATATTCTAAACTTTTAATAAACGGTATTAATTATTTTAAATTAAAAGTACACTAGTAAGACGTCGTAATTAAGAACATTATACTAAGAAAAAGGACATTTCAGTATGATAGTAACAAAGTTCAAAACAAAACCGCTGAAGCTGCACTTATTTAGAGCTTCCTCCACGTCATACTCTTGGCAGCGGTGAGCTTTGGAGTAAAGTACCAGGCAGGTCATTTATCGTATGAAAAACTTAGAAGAATAAATTTTTTATTATAATTAATATATTTATTGCTAGAAGGACATTTTTTTATTGATATCCGTTAACCACCCACTTTTTTATATATTTGCTTTTATTGCTATGATTAGATTGTGCTTTCATATTATTAGGACTTTTAGGGTAGTGATCCTTACACATCATTTTTCGTCAGTCTAAATAGTTTTGACACTCCCTATAGCTTCAATTTTTTTAAAATTGCTTAAATTCTTCTTTAAAAAGTTCAGTTAAACTCTTTAAAATATGATATAGTGTCTAGTTTATAACTATTATACACCTCTCTTTTTTACTTCTCTATCTAGGCATTAATGTAGATTTTATTTTAAAAATGTTAAACATAATGAAGGCCTAACATTCATTTCCGACATTACATTTTTTTATCGCAGTGTTTAACTACTTTATGTTTCAACCCATTGAATTTATTTATCATTTTTAGTATAACGTTGTCAAGCGTGCTATTTTTTTTGTTCCTAATTTCATGTTCTCAATAAGCGTTCATAGTCTTAAGCAGGCTTTGTATTCTTAGTTGTTCATAAACATAATTCTACATTGCTGTCTATTTATACTGTCTAATCTATATAATCTCAGTTTATAATTAACTTTACGGTAGTCGCAGGGAGTCTCACAGATCTGGATGTCCTAAATTCAGATATATCTCAGGAATCATAGGATATTACACTCTGCCGTTTTCGGTACCTTCCGATAAAGTACTCTCAAAGACTGATACTCGTTCGCATCAGTTTATGTATGTTACTTGGGGAATTAGCTGCACTGAAAGTCTGAGAGGCCCTTTGCGACATCTAACGGTGTAATTGTGTAACTAATGTTGTATTTTTTGGTATTAGTTTATGTGTTAAGAATGTAAAAGTTTTGTATAGTTTTTTTGCGATTTTCAATTTTTTTCTGTAGAAAATGATAGTGGAGTTATGTAGCAGAACAAGCTCTTCTTTTACTTTTGTGAGAGGAAGTTCAGACAGACGAATCAAAGTTACCATAGATAATTAGATTACCAGTGTTAAATTAGTTGATGTCAAGTTACTGAACCACTGAATAACTATTCTGGGTACAGTTAGAAAGAATAAACTGTAAATACCATCGCTATTTCTCAATGGTAAAATCCGTTTCACCATTTTGATGTTTGGATACCGAAATAAATTCAAACTAGTTTCGAACATCCCAAAAAAGGTAAGGTTTTATTAAGTCTGTATAAAACTGACAGCACTGATAAGATTACTGGGAGAAAACAGAAACCTTAATTGATAACAAGCTATAGCCAAATCAAGGGAGAGGTGAAGATATGGTCGATAAATTATGTGCTTTGTATAATTGCGTCCGCGACACAAGGCGGTGGTCAACGGTAGTATTCTTTAGTATGCTGGAGCGGTTGGGAAAATTTCTAAACTTATATTTAAAGGAAATGTTGACTCCTAGAATTAACCAACAACACGACTGGGACCATGGGCAGCTTTTAGCAGCCAAGCCCGGGCTAGAACATGCTTCTGAAGAAGATTTACGGAGAGAGCTCGAGAGCTACAAGAGGGTGTGACGACTTAAAGGGCTTGAATGAACAGTGTGTCGTTAAGCAGTATAACGTTCCTAATGAAAAGTTAGTGAATGTGAAGGCTAGAAATAGTAAATACTTTACCACTCTGGATAACGCTAAGGGATTCTACAAAAGAGCATTAGCTGAAGAAAGCAGAAAGTTCTTTGCCTTCACAATGCCAGATGGTCGTAGAGTGTAATGAATTTTCTTACCATGTGGGTATATAAATGGTTTGTTTGAAAACCAAGAAGGTATAGATATTATAACTTCTGTACTGCCTGATACATATACTTATGTAGATGACTGACTAATGTGTAGTGAAAATATTTGGATTACTGCAACTCTCTATGTTGACTGATGGTCAGACATATGGCAGATATAATGTTGTTAGATAAGAAAAATGTAAATTCGTAAAGTCTTTAGTGAAGTGACTGATGGGGGACTCAGTGACAATAATTCAAGAATTAGCCCAGAGCGAGTCCAGGCATTCAAAGAAATAAAAACTCCGGAATATAAGATGGAATTGAGTAGCCTTCTGAAAATGTTAAACTTCTGGAGTATGTATATTACTAATAGGGCCATCATTAGAGAGCCCCTCAGAGGACTATTAAAAAAAAATAACGTGAAGTTTCAGTGGGGCGATGAGCAGCAGATGGCATGGATGAAGGTATGAAAATATTAGAGTTTGCGTGGTACAAGTTCAAGTAGATCATTAATTAATTTTGCAGACTGATGCAAGCAGGTCCGAATGAGGGGAGCCCTGTTGCAACGTTATGGTGGAAGGACTAATTACGTTGCCTTCGTTAGTTCGGAAATGAGTAAAGCGTAGAAAAATTATAGCACTACTGATCGAAAAGCAATAGTGATAGTCTAGTATGCTAATAAATTAATGGACTTGGTTAAGATGAGTGGAAACACACCTGAGTTGATTCAGTCCATAGAAGTTTACTGGGATTATTTAAAAAGCACAGAGAAAATTTATTGGATGGAAGTAGAATATGAATTCGTTTACCTGGACTCTGCGCTATCTTTCTGCCTCTAAAAATGCAATAACAGACACCCCTGTTGTTTAGATTAGTATTAATTGACGACAATCTGTTGCTTCTAGGGTAACAGAAAATTTTGTTATTACGTGTGAAAGTATAAGCATGGATCCGAATAATAGTTTATGTACTTAACCTGTTATCTTGCTTTTCATGAGGTTCAACCTTATGCCAGATTGGTATTTTCTTTATTACTATGAGCACTGTACTAAATACTGAGGGGAGCACGAACTTTGAAGTGTTCCGCTAACTCTGCAACAGTCACCATGTTCCTCTTCATCAGCATTAAATATTTTTAAAAATTCTATATATGCTCTTCTGTTATTTTTTTAACACCTGTGTTTTGCTTTCTAAGTTTTTTTTTAAATTCTGTTTATAAAGTTTAAATAATCTAAACACTGTTACTGCTTTATTAATTTTAGGCTTTTATGGTTATGTCTAGCTTACTTGTGTTTCTAAGCTTTTGTTACTTCGGTATTCTTAACTTAATTCAATTATATTATATTTATACTTACCGTTTAACCCTTTCTTATATTAAAAAAACATTGCAGCTTTTTAACAACTACAAAGAATGTAGAGTTTTAAACAAGTACGTCCCCGAAAGCTTCCAAAAGTTGTGTTGTTTTGGAACATGTGCACGAGTTAGGGAGTATGAATAAGCTAATGCAAAGGGCTTCACACCATTCTACTTTGAAACGCTTGTGCTTGTGTGAGAGTTATTGCGTAATTGCAGCTTTATGGTTACTTGTTAATAAGGCAAAAAATGCAATTAAATTTTTAACTTTATTTCCTACTAATTAATGTTGCCACAATACTACCTTAGTGATCATTAGCAATTTTATAAGAAATCTCTAAATAAATACTTTACAACGACGCGAATCTTAGGTTAAAAGAGAGAGGCTAAAAAGAAAACGGTTCAGTAAACTATACTGGGGTTTTTTTTCTCTTGTGGTTTGTGCCCTTGATTAATAAAAACATTAGGAGTGTTTTAAAACTAAGTTAAAATGGTATTAAGTGCGCACAGCTACAGGGATAAAACAAAAGGAGCTTTAAGAACTAGGAACTTTGAAATTGGTTAGCATTGCCTTCAGCACTTGCGAAAAGTCAAGAAAAAAGGATGTATAAAAATTATACTAAGTTAGAGTAATTTTAAAGAGAAAAAAAATAAAAAGAAAAGCAAAGTAAAAGGATGCTAAAAAAATGTTACTCCATTAATATTATCAACAGTTTTAGCATAAAACCCATTTTTATGTTCTTTTTAATTATGAATTGTCTATAATAAATGTTAATAAAAATAATTCAATTATTTTTTTAAAAAACTTAAAAATAATAAATAGCGTAAAAAAATAGTTTCAAGTTAAATTATATTATTAGGCCTCAATGTATTTTGCAGTTTAATAGTCTGTTTGTTTTAAAAAGATGAGAGAAAGAGTAAAAGAGGATATCACGTGCCAAAGTTTTCAATTTTTAGTGGCTTATTCCAAACTTACAGAGCGCATTGCATGTTATGTGATACGCTATCCTCTCTGTGTGATAACTTTTTGAGGCACGTAATTTTTGTTGGAGTTTGGACTTTTGATGTAAAGTACCTCATGTCTTCATCAGAAGGCGCCATACTTGTAGACTCTGAAGGTGAAAATGAAAAGGAAAATACAAATTGTTTGAAAACTGAATCTAAAAAAGTTCGTGAAATTAAAAGTCGTAGTAGAGCCACATCCTCACGACGTAGTTTAAATTCTCGTTCAAGCACTTTGCAAAAAAAAAAAATAAAGGAAAGTGTTAAGGTTAGTAAAGATGTTTCGGATTCTCCTGTGGAAGAAACAGTGAGCGGCAGCGGTGATGACTTTGCTCCTGAGTTAATTAATATGAATATATTATTATTTTGTCCTTTTTAAAACATTGTTATTTATTAATTAATCGAAACAGTGCCATTTCGAAGCGAAAATCTAAGGGCGTTACTATAAGTCAACGGAGAGAGGTTTTTTAAATCTAAATTAATGGTTTTATATTCCCTCTGTAAGATTACTTGAAATTTTTTGTTATAATTTTTTTTAAATAAACTATTTTTTAACTACTTTTTTTATATAGTTTTTTATATATCAATATAAGGTTAACGAAAATATAATTATTATATTATTATAGTTTTCTTTTACTTGGAAAGTTGACTTATTAAGACTGCTCTCTTTGTAAATATTCAAGTTTAGTATTTTTGATAGTTAGTGTGTACAAGCAGTTAAAGTATTTTGACACATTCTAAATAGAATTTGTGTATTTTAGCTAAAATTATTAGAACATCATCCCGAAATTAAGACTGAATTTGAAGGGGTTAATCTTGATGAATTTGGTACCAATTATGATAAGTATAAAAGTAAGTTATAGTTAATATATATATTAATAGCTGGAAAAAAACACGATAAAAACATTTCCGTTTGCTCAACTCCCCCGCAGTTACGTTTGAAACTTCTTCCGTTCCAGGCTGAGGCGCTGCAGTGGTTCAAGAGCCAAGAAGATGGACGTTTTAAGGGCGGAATTCTGGCGGACGAAATGGGAATGGGTTCAATAATTTCCATAAAGTTTTATTTCTATTAGCGATTTATAGAATTTGATAAAGTTATTATATTAAAAAATTGCAAAATTAATTTTACAAATCGTTAATTGTAACTTCTAAAATATTTGTTCTGTTTTTAATAAAAAAATTTCAATAATCTTTTATTATTTTTTACTTTTTATTTTTGAAAAGTTTTATTGTAGTGTTGTATACATAATTTTTACTAATATATATGAATAAATTAGAAAAATTAGTAATGAAAATAAATAGATGTATATTTTAATAGTTTAAAATATTTAACAAATATTTACAAAGTAGTGTTGAATTAAGTAAATAGCAAGACTCCAAATATTTTGTCTTTGTGGTTTTATTTTTATATTTATTATAACATTTAATTTATAAACTTTAACTTAAAAAAATATTAACTATTCTATAGGAAAAACGATTCAGATGATCTCATTATTACTCACTGATTTGCCAGCCAAGATGCATACTCTAGTTATAACACCTACCGTATTATTATTATTATTAATTTTATTATTATTATTTATTGTGCAATAAAGGTAGCTCTTTTGCAATGGAAGTCAGAATTATTTTTGCACACTGAGAAAAATTCCCTTTCTGTGTTTATTTATTACGGCTCGGCGTGTTCTGATTTGACTATAGAAGACTTGAAAAAGTTCAATACTATATTTTTCATTTGCTTTTGTTTATCCTCGTGTATTCTTAAGGTATAATGTTGTTCTAACGACGTATTCATCCATTGAAAGTGCTTATAGAAGGCAGCATTTAGGCTTTCGAGTACATTTGTGCTTTATTTAAAATGATTTTGTTATATAATTATTATTAGAGAAACGGAAAGTACGTTAAGAAAAGCTCCCTTTTACACTCTTTTCACTGGGATCGGATTATTCTAGATGAAGGTAGTATAAAAATAATATTTAGAAGTATTACGGAGTTTAATGCATTTCAGCGCATCATATCAAAGAAAAAAATACGTCTACCGCTCAGTCTGCTTATAAACTGGAGGCGACTTTTCGTTGGGGATTGTCCGGTTTTTTATAATTATCATTGTTATATTTATTTGGTTAATTTTATTAACAAGAAACAGCAAATATATAATAATTTGCTTCTTTTTGTTGCGATGCTGAAAGCTGATTTTGATTTGTTAGGAACGCCACTTCAGAATCGGCTGGGCGAATTGTATTCTTTGATAAAATTTCTCAGGATTGATCCATACGCTTATTATTATTGGTTCTTTTTTTTTGCGTAGTTCATGCCTATGAGTTTTTTCTTTTTGCACTAAGTTTTATTATATGCGCTTATTAATAGTCGGTTAGAGCGAAAACTCTCGACGGTCTTTAAATATGAGCTCGGCGCGTTTTACTAAGCTAAGTGGTTACTAGAGTAGAAAAGAGACATTGAGCGAACTCTAATGGGTAGCCTTTAAACCGCGTTCGAATCATATATAATCTAAAAGAAGCACAATGCTTACTTGCAGTTATTGACATTTTTTGTGAATAGTTATACTTGTAGCTGTAAATCGCTTACTTGGAACTTTTCAGATCACAGTTATTGCGATCTTTGTGGCCACTACAGGATGCAGTATGCCTTCTGCTTTTGCTCTATTGGATTTGTTATTATCATAATATCTACCGAAAAGGCACTTTTGCTTTTGGAATAAAGAAATAATGCGTCCTATTCAGAAGTTTGGCAATTTCAGTTCTGGCCTTACTGCTTTTGGAAAAGTATATTTGTTTAATATCTACTATTTTTGTTGTTTTTTGGTAATTTATCTTTATTAGCTTGGTTGGTTGCTCCATAACATAATGATTCGCAGAACTAAAATTGAAAAAGCTGCTGATTTAGGTATATTTTTAGTACGGGGAAACAATTTTATATATAACAATTGGCATTGAAAGGGCTTCCTCCCCGCCTGATTTACCGAAGAAGCTGTTACTTTAATGACGAGGAACTTGACTTCTATGAATCTTTGTATTCCGAGTCCCGTACAACAATGCAGGTTTTCACGTTATATATCATAATATTAAATTATATTTTATTTTTTCTTGATTGAAAGGCTTACGTCGAGGCGGGAACACTATTAAACAATTACGCACACATTTTTGATCTTCTGACTAAAATGCGGCAGGCGGCTGACCATCCTTTCTTGGTGGTCTTTGGTAAGATCGCGCTAATAGCATCGAAGGGGTTTATAAGAATAATTCTTCGCTGGAAGGCAATAGACTGTCAAATTCCCTTTCTTGCAGTGATGTGTGTGGCATTTGCCAGGGAGAAGCAGAAGACCCAATTATCTCTAAAGTATTATCATTAATATTTTTATTAAACTTTATATATCATATCAGCATATTGATGTTTTTTTGTTTGTAATATTGTACTATGTTTTTTTTAGTGTCATCACGTGTTTTGCCGTGAGGATGTTAAAGAATTCATTGATACGTGTCCTGAGCCTTCTCCTGTTTGCCCAAAATGGTAGTATTGTCAGCCATTCAACTACATGATTGGTTGAAGCTTTCGTTATTTTTTCTAATAGATCTTATACTATTATGTACATTAAGTAGTTATACGTATAACTATTTCACCATTATTTATTTGTAGATATTAGTGTTATAAATATTTTATTTATGAAATATTATTTATTGCTAATTCTAATATTTTTATGTTATTTTAATACTTATTAGCTACATACCTTTAACCATTGACCTTGAGCAACCTACTCTTGCGCCCTCGGAAAAAGTAACCTCGAAAGCCGCTCTACGAAATCGGACGAGTATTTTAAACCGCATGGATATAGGCGGTTGGAAGTCCAGGTCGTTATATTTTTTGAACTTTTGGCTTACGGTGAGCGGAACATGTGATGCTTTATTTAATAACTGTATTATTTTGTTCGACTTCTGGTAAAATATTTGTTAGTATAAACTTTTTTAAAAAAAAGAAGTCAGTGGCGGATGTGTAAGAGCAGATTATATTATGGCACTATTTAGTCTGGATTTTGTTATGGTAATATTTTTATGTAGCGAAGTTACTAAATAAAGGAAAAACGGTCTTTTGTTATTGATTTTTGTTGTCTTTATATTTACTTGTTTCCCATTATGTGCTGCCTTCTTCTTTACTTAATCTTTATGTACGTTTTTGCTGAATAATTTTGTTTTATAGTACCAAAATTGAAGCGCTTTTAGAAGAGTTAAGCAACCTTCGAAACCGTAACTGTACTATTAAAAGTATTGTCTTCAGCCAATATTGTAGTTTTTTGGATCTTATTGAGTGGCGGGTCTTTATTTTTCCGACTTTTTAATGATAACTTGCATTAAAGCTGAACATTTTAATAGCTTTTGCGGTGCGGCTTTAATGCTGTTAAACTTGATGGCCGGATGACGCCGGAGCAAAGAGCTTCGGTCATTGACCGGTTCTCGAAGGATCCTAATATAGCCGTTTTTCTTATTTCCCTTAAGGTTGTATTGCTGGTTGCGCTTATTCACTTTTAGGTAAGGTCTGATTTCTTACTAGGCGGGGGGTGTTGCGCTAAACTTGACGGAGGCGAGTCGTGTTTTTCTTATGGACTGCTGGTGGAATCCTGGTTCATACAGTTATACATACATTGATATACTTTTTTTTATATATTATTGTATATATAGCCGTGGAATACCAAGCAATGGACCGAATTCATAGGTAAACTTAGATATTATAGTAAGAAAATTGCATCAATTATAGGGATATGTAGGTTGGGACAGTTACGGCCCATCGAAGTCATCAGGATAATTGTTGAAAATAGTATAGAAAGCAGAATTCTGCAACTTCAAGTATTTCGTTATCATTATTATTATCAGTGTTATTACAAAACTATATTTTTATATTTTTTTATACTTTTGAATAAAATCATTAAAGTTTTCAGTGTGATATTCTTAAAAAGTAGTTGCTACTATAACACCAAACCTTTTTTAGTTAGCTTGAAATAATTGGCTGCGTGTTGTAAAATATTTTTTATTATTTTTTTGTTTCAGGAAAAAAAACTGTTACTCTTTGAAAGTACTATTGGGTTGGACGCAAATTCCATGAATCGACTAGTGCCGGAGGACTTGGCATTTCTGTTTAGTACTTAAAGGAAAGGAGTGAGTTAGTTTGGTTCGTAAAGTCTAAGAAGCTTCACTTAAAGGTGCGCTATTATTTTTTCGTTGCTTATGTAAATCAAAATCTTATATAAAGAAGTACCTCTTTTGCACTTCCTCGAGCCTCTTGAACACCTTTTTTTATGAAGTGGATTACCAATATAACTATTTTTTAAAAAAACTCACCTCTGCCATGGAAGGCCGTCTGCTTGGTCTTGGTTTCACGCATTCTAGCGCCAATTTAATTATTAGTTTCTTTTTAATGTTCAATATTTTAGTAGAAATTTCATTGGTAAAACTTTTATATACCGCTTTGGCTATCGGCCAGTTTTGAGCATTGGGGTCTAGGAGTTCTTGTAAAGATGTTTCAGTTGGCCACTTTTTTTGTGCAGAGTTCACACTTTTAAAAGGGACAGTATTATCTTTCGGGTGGCGGAACCACGTGGCATTCCCTTTTAGGTAGTCTTTGACTCTCAAGCACAGTTGTGGGGGTGTAAATTCCGGTAGCACAGCTGGAAATCCTGTGATTTTCACGAATGCAAGTGAGCCAAACGAGTACATGAGGCTTTTAAAAGCACACTTTTTACAGTATGCCCCAAGCAACTAATCGCTTGCTATTATACCATTTACACCAATATATGAGTAATATTTTATGCTTCGGATCAGTATGGTCTAACACTAATGAATTTATTAGGCTAATACACTAATAAGTAATCACATAAAAAAGTGAATTTTTTTTTAGTCAAAGCGCCTTCAGTGAGGTGAAGGTGCGTAGCTGTAAACAATGGAGACCCGTAATGAGCTCCAAGAGGACAACACCGAAGCTGTAGACGTCCGCCCTGTTTGTTATGCGCCCGGTGGAGGCGTACTCTGGGCAGATATACCCATGTGTCCCGCTTAGCCTCTTGGTAGTCACGTGAGTCCTAAATTAAAATATAACCATCCTTATTTGTTATTAAAATATGAACGTACCTCCCCGTCGCTTCAGGCGTGGGTCTTATCAGTCCAAAGTCAGCAACTTTTGCTGCCGGTTGATAAAATATTATCAGCAAAAGTTATTTTTTGTAATTTTTTGTTTAAAAATGGATCGCAAGTTTAAATAAGCGTGTAAGTAGTAATCTGGATTCTGTACAACATTGTTGGGGGCTACGATTGTGCGCCTTAGTAAATTTATTGAGATGTTTACATTTTCTTAACAAACAAGATCTAAATTACAGTTACGTTCTTGTTTGTAATAAGTATTTGTTAAATATCATTAGTATATAATGGTATTACCTACAAAATTTTTGTCAAGTAAAATATTCATTGACTTGACGTCCAAATGAAGAACGGGGGGAGTAATTCCGCAGTGCAAGTACAGAAGACCCTGTCAGCATACCAATTATGTGTTAATGACAGTTTTTTAGTGAAATGAAAGAAGGAGTAACTCGGGCAGACTCCAACGCAATTTGTACCCGTGTGTTCCATTCTAGCGGGGGGGTGCTGTGGCGGCAGTCGAGCCTGATATCGAGGATACATTATAATATTTAATGAAATTCTCTTGAATGCTTCGAAGCGTCCCGTTTAAAAAATGCATTAGTTCACTTCATATTTTTTTTTGGGGGGAGGGGGGGGGGGGGAAGAAAAGAGTGGTCAAAGAAATCTGGTACGTGCGTTGCAAAGTGTTTAAGACCAACCACATTGTACTCTACCACAGAGTGTTTCATCTTTGTAGTCTTAAAAGAACTTAAAAACGGGTCGTGTACGTATATGATAGGTGCAAGACCCTAGCATGAAGCTGTCCAACACTCACATAGTAATATGTGTATGACTTTTATCCGCCAGTTAGAAATTGCGAAAGTAACTTTTTATTGTAAAATTTAAAGGAATTGGTTTAAATAAATTTATTATTTGCATGTACCCAATAAAAAAAGGATGAGCTTATAATTTAAATCTTAGATAAATATATGTATTATGTTGATATCAAATATTCAATAAAATGGAATATTGTTGTCGTCATTACAAAAAAAGATTAAAAAAAATTTTAAAACGATTTTTTCTATCTAGTAATTATTATAATAGTGTGTATCAAGTGTATGTTTAGTGTAAATACGAGCATGTATGCATCTAGAAATATTTTTTGTTAATGATGCGACTTATTATACGAAGTGCTTTACATCCTTGATCATTTTTACATTAAATATAACGATAAAATAGGAAGCGTTAGGACCTGTCTCTGAGGGATCCATGCGGCATGTATTCATAAATCTTAAAAAAATTAATATTACGTATTTTAGCCAGCAATAAATTATAAAACCAGTCAATGGAAATAATCAAAGCATGTTAATATAATTATGATTATAAAATTACTGATCAGTAAAAAAATAGAAAACTAGTTGTTATATATAAAGATGGGAAGAATAATTACCAAACAAAGTTTGTTATCTTCCTTGCATATGCCTGTTAAAGATACAAGATTTCTATGCCTACACTTACTAATTATTAAATAAGCCAATTAGATAACGAAAATTATAAGAAATAGCAATTGGGAATGCGCGCTGGCGAATCGGTCAAAATGTAACGCCGATGTTATAATGAAATAAACTAAATAATCTATGCAACAAGTTTCTAGGGGTTTTTCAAAAGAGCACAGAAAATTTTCATTGGTTAAGTCTAGTCCCTGTGGAGTCAAAGTCGTTGCTAAGCGAAGAATGGGATGATACTCCATCCAATAACGTAAACAAGAGGAACAGAAAAGTAACGATTAATACAGAACCCCAAAATTTGTATTTCTCTAGAAAATTCCGCTAATCCTTGAGAACTTTCTGGAGATAAAATTTTTATAGCAACTTCGGTCCCCTTCAAGGTGCCTGTCAAGTTTTAATATAAATAAGCAAAAAAATTTATCAGACTTTATAATATATGTAGTATCGAGAAAATGGATATATTGTAAAGAAATGAAAAATTTTTAGTAGAAATAAAGAATTGAGAATCAAAGAACCGCGGAAAACAGAGCCAAACCCGCCTTTACCAATCAAATTTTCTGTAGAAAAATTGTTGGTAGCGATCAAACAATCTTGGTAGGACAAGTTTGCACAAGACTCTGTATATAAATTTATACGTTATGATAAATATTTATAATTATATTTATGAGTAACTACAAAAGTTTTTTTTAAATAAATAAAATACTTTCAGCTTGAATATTTTTTAGCTCCTTTTCTAAAAAGGAAACACGCGTTTGTAAGTCCCTATTCTTTTCCAGAAGATTACTTTTTATACATTCGAAACTTGTCATTTGGGTTTTATATTCTTCTCGCTTTTAAGATAAAAATTTCAATAAGTAATGATAATAATGTGGCAATAAGTAATAATAATAATAATAATAAAAAAGAATAACGTTATGTAATAAAGTTACCATTGCAATTATTGTTACGATTAAACTTTTGATCAAAGAACCCCCCCTTTCATGATTGGATGATTTAAAAACTTTTTGAGGGCTTCCTAAAAAGTCATGTTTATAAGAAAATACAAAAAGTCCATACGCACACGCTAACAAATATTTAATCATCGACTTTGCTAGTTGTAACGTGCTTATTATTATAGAAAAAAGTTTAATAAGAGAATATCACGTGGGTATGCCACCGCGAAGTTAAAAGGCTTTTCTTAACATAAAAAATGCGAGTGACTATGTATTATTTAGCTAAATTTAAGTATTTCAAAACAATACTTTTCTAAAGTAAACAAATAATATTATTAGTGTATATTTATTATAAAAGGCTTTAAAAATGAACTTTTCTTATTATCGGTATAAATAGTCGAAAAGGCGTAATGTTCATTATATTTATCAACTACCGCTCAAAAGATCAGGGGACAAAGGGCTTTCGGTTTCTTCAACTGTTTGCTAACAATTAATTAAAACTATTAATTATTAGTAAATAAAGTTATTAAGTTATGAATTCTAACCTTTTGAAACTCTTGAAAAGTAGGCCTTCAGTTTTATTAGTTTATTATAAAAAAAAAGTTAGTTTAAGTATTTAATAAATAAAAAAGTACGCCTTTTTACTTCAAAATACAATTTATTCTTTATAAAAATAACTTTATTTGTAAACGAAAATATTTATAAAAATCATTAAAATAACGTAATTTTGCAAAAGTTTGTTTATTGTTTTGAGGAAACTTTTATATTAAAAGTACTACGAAAACTTTTCACAAAAAAGTTAATAAGTCATAACCGTAACGTGTGCAAGCAACTGCGCATCACATTTTATAGCTCTTTTTTTAATGGAAAATTATACAGATAAAAACTGCCCAACAGATGGTTTATAAATATTTTGCATTCCAAAAATAAAGTATAATAAGGAAATGCATATCTTTATACTTGTTTTTTTGTTTTTAATATTAATTTTTAAGAGCGTTTAAGGAGAAAAAATATAAAAAAAATTAATGCACAAAAGAATTCCAAGAAATATACCAAACTTCAATCTTAACCCAAAAAACATTATTTATAAAATAAATATTAAGCCGGACTCGTCATCTACGAGAGTAAAGGAGAAGAAAGAAAGAAATATTAAAAAAAAGGTAAAAAGTAAAATCACTTTACAAATAAAATACTTTTATTAAATTACATTTTTTTAATATATAATAAATAATAAATAAATGAGTTATTAAAAGTAAGAAATAGCAACTTTGCAGATTTCTTACGGAATGCTTGCATACGGAATTGGAGGAAAGTCAGTAGTAACAGTTTTTATATTATTAACAAAAATATAAAAACATTAAGTGAAAAAGCAACGTAAGAAAAAAAAGAGTAGGAAGTAAAAATAAAATAAATTATTTTTTTTTATTTATAATAATAAAGATAATATTAATTATAAGAATAGCAATATTAATCATATTAACTCTTCTTGTTCAGCCAAAGTTTGCAATTCTCTGTCTTTAGCAGAACTTCTAAAATAAATGTTTTCAGGTAACATAACAAAAACAGGATGAATTGTTTTACTATTCCGTAAAAAGATAAGAAAATAATAAATTAAATTAAATTAAAGGCTAACAATTTTTTTTCCGCTTCCGTTAAAAGAAAAATTATTTCCTCCGAATCCACAGCTTGCTAATAAAAATATTACTTATTTAATCTGAAGTCCAGTAGTAAAATAATGTATAAACAGTTATATCTTATCCCTAATACAAAAAATAAAATATATATTTTTTAATAAAAATCTATAGAAAAAAATTCTAAAGGAGGTCTAATTAAAAATTAATTTACAATAGTTTACTAATAAAAACGAGTTTATACAACCTTATATACATAATTAGAACGCCTTTCACGCACACTTTAAAATGAATTATATGAAAAGCAAAGCAGTTATGAGGGGGAAGTCAAACGTGTACTTAAAATATGTACGAGCAGACCCGTTTGAAAAAAAAAGAGACCGATTTTAACATAAATCCGCTTAGATTGGTTATTCGTAAATTGTAATGCAAAAGAAATGCAGCATAAAACCAAAAATATTTAATAATAATTAATAAAAGAATAAGAGAAATTGAAAATAGCAACGATCAAATCCTTTTCTTATGTAAACCGATTTACATAATATAATATAATTTCGAGAACATTTGCACAGCAATTGGCTACTCTTTTGCACCGGAATCTACCAATAAACTACTTAATCACGGCGCAAGAAGCCAGTCGTTATAAAGTTAACTGTAAAACTTGGAAAATTCAGTTAAAAGCGGTAAACAGATTTTGTCGTTAGTGCATAGTAGCGTAAAGTTTAAAGTTTTGTTAAATTTAAAGATCTTGAAACGAAAAATTAAAAATAACTTTTATAAGAAAGCATACTTAAAAAAAGAGAGATCAAAATTGATAATATAAAAATATAATTATTATAAGAAAAAAAACTGTTCAATTGAAAACCTCCGAGGCCCAAATTCGGGGAGTTCGTCCAAGCCTGTCCTGTAAAAAAGGATTCGCTCCACTTTCAATGAGAGCCTGCAGACACTAAAACGTTTTTACATTAAGAAAACTTTATTTAAAAACATTTTATAATATGAGTGGAATTGTGGAAGTAAATAATATAAAAATGTTTCGAGCTGCTCTTTAGATGTAACGAGATTTTATAAAAAAAATTTATAGTTGTGAAAAGTAAAAGAGTACTTCTTTTCTCAAAGTATAAGCGGCCCAGTGAAGAGGCGATAAGGAAGCGGCATCCACCGCATCTGGGTTAGCCTTATAGCTGAGCAAAGCCTTGACACAATCAATTTTGTTGTTGATCACAGCCAAGTGAAGTGGCTAAAACAAACAATTATGTTCAGCAAAGAAATTGAAATAAACATAACAATTAATAAAAGTAAACGTATAATGATTTCAATAACACAGCAAATAATTGGCTGTTTAAACCGTGTCGCCTAAAGAATTTCTTAAGTTTGGATTGTGGCCCCAAGTAAGCAAAAGAGTAAGAAACTCAGAAGAGCCGGTAGTAGCCGAGATGTGTAATAGTGTTGTTCTAATTAAACCTAAAACCAGATAAAATAGTTATAGATTACTATTGAGAGCGCTACTATATTTAACTTAAAATGAGACGAAACATGAAACAAATACCAGTAGAGACGAACACGTCCAAACAACTAAGATTTTTTAGAAAGTTGGGCAAGGTAAATTTGCCACCAAAAGCCGCATCTAAATAAAAGCTTTTTGTACAGTCTAAAAATAAAGTATTGCATCTAGTTTGTAACTTAGAAATCTACTTAAAAAACCTGAGAGTATGCGAATATGTTCTAATTCCTCTGCCCCATATAAATCAGCCATTGTTAACAATTGTATGTAGTATCGTTAGAAGTATTTTTTTACTACAAGCTACTAACCAATAACTATTTTAAAAAAATTCAACTGCACTATTCCTCCAAAGTATGAACTTTATAGAAGGAAGTACAACTTGAGGTAACTTTTCAAAGGCAAAAGAGACCATTTTCTTATAGTTATTTTATTAAAATAAATATACCAACTTTAAAAAAATTTATTATGCCTACTTTTTGACTTATTGAAATATAATTATATGCGCTTTTGTGGATAAAAACATCTTTGTGAGGTGCTTTGTAAATACAGTTTATGTAGTTTTTTTTGTTAATAGCGAAAATATTATTTTCGCTAGTTGAATGCTTTGCTCTTAAAACAAAATTTTTAAATTTTGTTATGTAATTGCTTTGAAAGGGGAATTCTAGCCAAGAATTATACCATAATTCTGTAGAGTGAGTAAATTTCACATAGCGGGATTTGTAAGTAAAAAATTATCCTCATACTCTACAATCGCTACCCAAATTTAAACTGCGTTATCGAATAAGAGGTCGTGTTTACTTTTGGATTCACTTTGACAAAACGTATTTTATAAATTCCAGTTAATTTAACTAAGTATTTTTAAGTTTATAGGGTCATAAAATTACTCTTCCTTAAAATGTATTTAAACAAAAGCTGGTTAACCATATAAGCACGCAATAAGATTAATACTTTACAGTTCGACGCAACTGGTTAGTTTGTAAGCAGATCTACTTTCCTATTGCTGCGGTTGCGAGATAAAGCATTTCTTAAACTAACTTAACTCTCTCCTGTATGAAGTTTTAGCTATAAGCGCTATAGTCTACCGCAGAGATTGTTAGGATTAAGACAATTTAAAGGCTTCAAACCAACTTTTTTTATACGCATGCTTTATATCAACTATTAGAAAACTTCGCAGTATAGTTGCAATTACAATCTATCCCCCTTATAGAATTGTGCATAGATGCAAATTTCTGTTGTTTACAGCCTAATAAAAGTTACTCTCCCATCTCTCATTTTTCTCTCTCTTTATTTCGTGGTCTATTCTTTTTTGTTTATAAACTTACAGGATATGTAAGAGTCGAACGTTAAATAATACTTAAAATTATCTTAAAATAATAAAGTAACAATAGCTTATAAACGAAAGTAAACCAAAAAAAAAAAGGAAAAATCTAAATAGAGAGTAGAGAGAAGAGGCGAGTAAAGACTACGAGTAAATGAATATTGAATGGAATTAAACGACACTTAATTCTTTATGTAACAGAATTTGAAAGATCAAATAAAAGGGCCCGTCTTTTAAATTAATTAACAACAAGGGAGTCCTGAAATCGTAACGTTGCGCGATAATACCTCTTAAAGTTTCTATAATTGAATATAAAATTTCGAATGAGCAAAATTATTTAAACGCAATAAAATAATTCTCTACTCCTGATGTGTTCCTCAATATTACAAACTTTTTGAATCTGCTAAAAAATTACTTATTAGAAAAATTGTCCACGCAAACAATAAACACAATAGTTTTTAACTATTAAGTTAAAAGATAATGTAAAGCACCTAGCAGAACTTTCTTAATAGTTAAATTTAAGATTTTTTTTTAATCACATAATTAAGTTGTTCCGTGCATAAAAACAATCGATAAAAAATCTTCATAAGTCAGTGTTGCGATTCCTCTCTTAAATTTTTTTTAATAAAATTTTAAAAGGGAATAGTTGCTATATATTTCAGGATATACTCGTTGAACATCTTTAGCGGCGAATCCTGAGGTAAAGCCCTTAAGCATAACGCAGCATTGAATAAAACTACCAAAATTCATAACATGTGGCACTAATAAAGAGATTTAGAAAATTTAAAATTTAAAAAAAAATAACCTGAAATAAAAGTAAAATTACTTCTGATCTTAAAGATGTTTAAATTTAAAAATAAATTATACTATAAGCTTTGTGAAAAACTGCGTTAAACTTTATGAACTAAATTAATAAATTTATAAAAAGCATTATGAAAAGGTTTTCTTAAAATATAAACGTTTAACTTAAGTAAAAAGTTACTAGCTAACAAACTAAAAAAAAACATAATTACTGTGCGATCGAAATTTTGAAACGAGCGACTGGCAAAAAGGATATGACAGACGGTAACCAAATTGGTTTAAAGCCTTTAAGATTTTATGCTTTTTTTAAATGAAATTATAAAAGTCGAGTATCTTAAACGTACTTGATGGAGCTCTGAGGCATCGATAACGCCGTTACGATCTTAATAACAAAGTAGTTAAGTATATAAAAATACTAAAAAGGCATATAATAGTATATTTTACTTTAGTTTTTAACCTTTATCAAAGTTTTGAAAACATTCCCTCCATTTTTGGACGTATCCCCAAAGTGACTTAAATTCTAGAGAGATGAAAATTTAAAAAACAATTTAATAACAAAAAAAACCTTCAAAAGAAATCTGTCCATCTTTGTTGGTATCATAAAGACTTAATAGTAATCTTAAATTGAAAAATACGTATTACATATATAAATGTCTTATTATTGCTAGCAAACTACAACAAATATGATTGAAAACCTGCATGTTTCTTGATTTATAATATCGTCCCCTAGAGCAACTCTTAATTCTTCATAAGAAATAAAACCATTTCGGTCCCTAAGAATAAATTAATAAAATTTAACCGCAAATTTATGAGTAAATTTTTTCAAAGGTAACGACCTATCCACTCGATAAAATGCTTGTCTTAAATCTTCTTCACTTAAGTTCCCTTTAGGTAAAAGGCCTTATATATAAAAACATTGAAAAAGTAAAGTTAGAATAAATTTATTAAGTTAAACCCTGCCCGTACTGGTATGGAGTATAACTTAAGGTATTTCCGTAAGAAGAGTGCATCTTAATTTCGTAGTTGTATTAAAAAAAAATTTTTTTATTTCGAGTAAAGGAAACTTAAGTTAAAAAGAAATTTGGACGTTTTATTTTATTTTTATAATATCATATTTAATTACGAGCTAACCTTAAACTAAAATTAGATAGCTTCCTTAATTCCTGTTACACTACTTCTAAGAGGTTTTCCAGTTCGTATATAAGGTGCTTTTCCCTCTCCCTCCGTGAGGGTTAGGTTGCGGTATACCATGCCTACGCCGGTGCCGCGGTGCCTGCGTGGGCTTTTTAAAAGTAGCAAATGATTTTTTGCAATATTGTAACGACTGAGAGGAGTAAGGCTAAATAACTTATGTTGGTGTACCAAAACAAAAGTAAATTGTGTAACATTGGATGTAAAAGTAATGTTTGAATTACCCTTTATAAAATGTTTTACGTAATAAGTTTTGTATAAAAACGTAAAACTACACATGTACTAAATACTAATTTAATCAATATTAACTATTAATTTTTTTTTTAACTTTTAATATTGCACGGATATAACTTTTCCCCTTTTATAAGACCTGCTCTCAGGATTCTTGGTGATTATTCTCTCTCTCCAGTTATTATTTATTGGTCCTTTGCAAAAAGAGTGTGTTGAGTAATAATTCTAGAGCCAACTTTATAAAAGTTTATTTATAAACATTATTTTAATAATTGGACGAATTGTACTTTTTTATATATAACGTTGAACTCGGTTTTACGCGTCTGGTTTATACTCAAATCCGTGCTAGAGGGAGATTAAAAATGAATACTCTGTAGATCCCTTACAGCATTATATTTATCTTATTAGAAACTATATCTATCACCCTATCCAATAAATTTCTCCCCACATAAAACCTTAGCTGATGTGCGGTATGAGGGATATTCCCCTCTATCAGATATCAACTTATATATCGAGACAATTTCTTCCATTTATGTCCTTAGCATTGAGTATTGCTAGCTGTTTAATAGTCACTATACGCGATCTCCCGACGGTATATTAGAGTTCACTTATTAAAACGTAAAACCAATTAACAACCTGGTGTTTTCTTAATAATATTTTTAGAAAAAGTTAAACTTCTAGTAAAAATGTAATTCTATTTATAATTTGTGTTACTTCATATTTATCAAAACCTGAAATGAAGTTTGAGGATAACAAACTTTAGTACATAAATAGAAATTTACGCTCATAGCTATAATCGCAAAGATAATACCCCTTTAAAAATTGGTGTAAGAATATATGTAACGCTTAATTTTTTATTGTCAAAAATCAGTTCAGTTTTTTTTGAAGGTAATAAATTTCCTCTAAATTTTAAATTCTTTTTTTTTAAAGCTATTCTCTTAAAATAAATTAATGCTTACGAGAATTATTTTCATCATAATATATGCTCAAATACTGACCTGTCATAATGTCCTTACACACTTTGACCGCGCGGATTTTTGATGTATAAAAAAGATCTCTTACAAAGTTTGTATAAATAACTTATAGTCATTAAATTTCTTACTTTCTAAATAAATAATATAATAATTATTCAAATAATAGGAGGTTATTTTTATAATGTAATAAACCACAATTAAGATTTATGAAGTAACTTGCTAGGAGGGCAGCTTTTTACAGCCACTCAAGGGAAGAAATTTTGATTTTTTTTAAGTTAAATAAATAATTTGAACTTTTTAGTTAAACTTTTATTTATTAATTATTAGAATAATAAAATAACTTTCTAGATGTTTAAATCTTATAAAAAGAATTTTTTCATAGTAAAAATACTATAACAACTCTACTATAGATGTTTCCGCGCAAAAACTTTTACACCTCGTCTCTTTATTTTTAAGGGAACTATTCTCTTCATTTTTTTTTAAGTAATTTTGCTCGCGCAGAATATCGACGGAGGTCGGGTTAAACACGAGTCTTGCAAATTTGTATAACACTACAGGAAAAAGGCATGTCCATGTGGTGAGCACCAAAGTGGCCCAAAAGGCGAGAGTTCCTAGAGATCCTTGAATGCACGTGGCATAATATTAATGAAACAGTATGAACTCACCCTGCGTGGCGTGCATAACCCCAAAGAAATCTGTGTTTGGTATGAATGCAGGAATCGAGTAGATATACCTATTGTTATTAATATCATAAAGGCAGCTGAGTAAAGTATAAAACTATCTTTTTTTCTTCATTATTTCATATTAGTAATTTTTTAATCCAAAAATTAAAACAAAAGGAAACTTACCATCCAAATATAAACCACGATAGTAGTGAGATCCACACAACGCAATGGTTGACTACGGTCCAGCCGAGGATATCCAGCGCCAATGTACAGGTAACAACGATAACCTTTGTTAAGTAAAAAAATGTGCTTATTATAAAGAAGTGAAAAAAACTCCTTAAATTTATAAATAAGTTGTATTAGTTATAAACTAACAAAACGGAGAATAATAGTTCTAATAAACAATAAAATTTTAACTACCAATGAGGCTGAAACCAAAGCAGAAAACCAATTAAATCCCGCCATTTTCCCGTCTGGAAGTACTAAATCAGCAGCTGCTCCGAAAGGCAGAAAAAACAACAGTATCGAATGAAAAAAACCTGGAACGTGCCAATGTTACTAAATAATAATATCAACAACATAATAATAAAATAGAATACCGAGCAAAAAACAATAATTGAAGAACATGGCTTTGTTAAAAAGCAAATTTCCCTGGCCCACACAGTATATATCTGGATTGGCAAGGGAATATTTGGTGCCAGTGTCTTTTTCAAAAACAGCCACGGCCATAACAGGCATTGAGGTGAAGACAATATTGTACAAAGTCACAAACCTTCGCAGGTAAAGAATAATTAGTGTGAGGAGAAAGCTAAATTCATAAAAAAAAACGCAGTATATTAAAAAAAAAAAAAAATAAATATAATGAGGCCAATAACTAATTAACACCGGCCTTTAACACCAATATCTTTTCTTTGCTGCATGCATGAAAAATAAACGTGCCATGGATCGTAAATGGTAGCGCCGCTCCATCCGGTGTAAATTTGGTACCAGAACTGCACGAGGGTAAAGGCAAAGTTTTTATAGAAAAAATACCTTCAAAGCAAAACATAAAAGAAATATAAAGTTAACAATAGCTAGCAAGAACCGTAAAAACTTTGACATGCGCATGTACGAGAGGCGCCCGTGGACCAATAACAGACGCTCCAGAAATCGAAATTGGGCAATACTGTGGATGTTATTAAAATAAAGAGCGTTATATAAATAAAAAATGGCGGGCCTGTAGTCTGCCGCTAGAACAGCCTGTCTGCCCTCTAGACCCGAAATTCCCACGCCAATGTGGGCAGCTTGGATCATGCTAACGTCGTTAGCGCCATCTCCAATGGCCAAAGTAATGGCATCGCAGTTCTCTTTAACGAGCTCGACCACCATTGCCTTCTCCGAGTTGGATATTCATAAACATATAACGAAGTTATGCTAAACCAACTTTTTGCAGTGGTGTGACTCTGCAGCAAATCACAGCCTTGCACGCCTTCGCCACCTCGAGAAGTTCCAACTTTATATTATCCTCGAGGGCACACGACAGACAAACCCCGTCGATCACGAGGGCCTTCTCACCTGAGCCAGGCGAGAAGATACGATAACCACGAAAAGTCGAAAAGCTTCAAAAAGCGGTCGTATACAGTCTTCGCTAAGTTGCTCGAACTGCTGCTGCACGCCGTATATAGTCTCCAGAACGCGACCCTTGGCGTTTCCCGAGAGCACAAAGATATGTTGGTCGTTACGAAGCAGCTGGCACGCAAAGCCTATATTAATGGCCGTCTCTTGCTTGTCGCCGGTTAGAACCCACACGTGCAAGTCTGCTTTTCTCAGATTGGCGATGGTATCGGGCACGCCTTCTTGCAAGCGATCCTTGTTATAAAGTACTTCACTGTTATTTATCGAAATCCAAAAGGAATAAGGAAACTTCAATGGCAGTGAGCCCGAGTAGCTCCAGGTTATGTTCAATTTTATTATTTATTTCTTCCACTAGTAAAAAAAATGAGCAGTTTATATTACTATCTCCCTTAAAAAGCACAAGAACAGTATTTCGTGCGGTCGTGAAGCTCCAAAGTAGCCTTCTGTTGTCTCTCGAACCAGGCGTTAAACTCGCTCTCAGCAAGCACTCTGCAGCAGCCATTTCTTATATGAAGCCCTCTAAACACGTGCACACATGGCTACCTTTCCGCGAGGGTGAGGATACGGAGGCCATCAGTGGCGTACTGCTCCAGATGGGCGTTTGTCTCTTTTAATACTTGACTATCAGAAACGCAGAGAGGAAGAATGACATTATCAGCACCTAAAAATCATTAAAAAAAATGCTCGCTTTCTTTTATTGTATTCGCTAGAATGCCACCCAATTAAATTCATTCTTAGTTATACTAACAATTTTTTCAATGACTCGTGCATTGCGGTTGTACCTTTTGTCAGCAGACGAATACGATTATCGGGGCATCGTACGATAACAGACATGCGTTTTCTTTCGCTACTGAATTCTAAGGTACTTAGCACAACGTACTCTTCTTCTTTGCCTTGCACCTGAAAATATCAGAAATATTTTGCTCAACAAAAAGTTATAATAGTGAAAGTAACTCCACAAAAAGGGGGACACCTCGATAACAACTTTGCCACATTTTCTAGATTTAAAAACAAAGCCAAAGTTTCTTGCGGCAGAAACCAATGCGCCTTCGTCAGGAGACTGCGCCGCATACACGAGATTTCCTTTTTCCCCTGAAAAACCTCAATAGTAATTAAGAAGAAAAGTAAAATATTTTAAAGTTTATACATTTTCCCCAACCCTCGCACTAACCCTAATTTTAACCCCTAAGTTGCCATTCACTATATAGTTTGCCACACTAAAAGGGATCTACAATTTTTCTTCGCTTATAATTATTAATATAAACAAAAAAACACGGAAAATAAATGTGAGGTTGTCAAGAAACAAAAAGGTTTTTTAACACCCAAACTTGAATTCTTAACTAATAAAGTTCTTAAAACAAAAAAAAAAATGCTTTCATCAGCTTTTACAATCAATTAACTATTAATAATAAAATATTGGAGAAGAGAAGTGTCTAACACTCAATTTGGACGGAGTGGCACAAAGCAAGAAGCCGGAAAAAACGGTAAACGTGTTCGTTGGATGGGTCTTTAACTAGTTTATACTGTTTTAATAATAATTATATTCATAATCATAATAATAACAGTAACAATAGACCAATATTGTATCAGCAAAAAGAAAATTTGGATCAGCCCATTTGTTATCTGAGAAATCAATGTTGGGAACAGCAACGCCAATTTCCTAATAATTAACAATAGAAGTTAGAAAAATATAAAAATAGTAAAAATTTACTATAGAAAACTCTACTAAAAGAGTAAATATATAACGTAGAAAGAAGACCTGTCTCATGCGCTTTTTATAAGCACGTGACGCTTCCGTCTCTCCGTGTCCGTAGCTTACGCCTTTATATGTATATATACATATTATTTAAATATAAAAGAGTCGATATCTATAGGTAACACCTTTGATGCTACACTTGATAAACCTCATTATATTTCTTGTTAACGTGCCCGTCTTATCCGTAAATATATAATTCACTTGTCCAAGCTCTTATGAAATCGTGGTAACAAATAAATAAAATATACGAGAAAGAAAAAGAACATTTGTAAAATTATAATGAAATACTCAAATTCTATAAATGCCGACCTTCATTCAGAGTGGTGGTCCTGGCAGCACCCGGCGTGTCCGTTTCAGAACAGTAAAGCTGGAGGTCCGAGTCGATAAACCAAGACTGAACAAGTCTATATAATAGTAAAAATAATGATAACTATAATAATTATAACTGTTTACCGAATAAGCTCGACGGAGACATATAAAGAGATGGGGATCAGGCCATTATATAGGCCAATGGAAATGAACATCCCCAAAATAACAACGAGTACTGAGTCTTTAGGCTTGTCCTTGAGCGATAGAAACAAGAGAAACTTCTTACCAGTTCCTATAAAGGAAAAAAGTGTAAATAAAAGTATGCATTAAGTTTGCTTCATTATATAGTAGCAAAAATTTTGATAGAAGTATGCATCATTATACTATTAGCATACCTCCTTCCCACACACAACGAGATATAGAACTTATTAAGCTCAGAAGAAGGAGAAGCAAAAAAATATAGATGATAAGCGTGTTTGTTAACTTTTCCAGCTGTTTAAAGAAATATTATAAAACATTTCAATAATTATAAAGAGCGTAAAAGAAATTAATAATCTTTTTTATAATAAAATAAAATAAATGCAACAAAACGTAAATAAAAATTACTATTATTCTGATAGAAATTAATAAACATCAACGAAAAAGTATATTTCAAAAAAATATATAACCTTTATAATAAATAAAAATATAATCGGGAAATAAACTATTATAGTAAAATAATAAAAAGCAAAGAGAAAAAATTAAAAAAATTTATTACAATGAAATATATTTTTAAAGCGTTTGTTATAAGAAAAGTTATCATTTATTTTTTACGTTCTAAGAAACATTATTTCCTTCACTTTTTTTGATTCACTTTTATGGGGTTGTGATATCCAATATATATATAAATATTATTAGTTATTATTTTTGTGTTTCACACATCTCTTTATTATGTTTAAGCAACGCAACCTAGGATAAATTACGTATTAATGTTTTTGTAATTGTATTAACATTACCCAAAAAAACTTTTTAAACCTTCTTATATATTTTTTTGCTAGTAAAAAAAAATCATCACAAAAAAAAATAAATAACTTTTGTTCTCTTGAGTCGAGGGCCTCCAGCGTTCATCATGAGTTTTGTATCGTGCCCACAATAGATGCACACGCCATAAATATACGCACAGTTGCGTAGCTTCATGCCCTTAACAATATAATGAAGAAATGTGCGTTAATAAATAAAATAACATACTATATATTTATAATAAAACTTAAAAAAAACGAAGTTTTACAAAATAATACATAAAAATACACAATAACTTTTAAAATGAAAAAAAGTACCACAAGTCCATAAAACTTATAAATAAAAAAATAATAAATATATAAAAATGATCATTAAAATAATATATAAAATGAGAAACAACATCGCAAGTTCATAAAACTTAAAAATAAAAAAATGTAAATATTATGAAACAATTCATAAATTAAAATATAATATTAATGATTATTACAACATAATATTAATGATAAAATATACACAATAATCATTTAAAAAATAAAGTAAAGGAAATCTAATATCTAAAAATTTATGATAATATTAAAATTATTGTATAAATAAACAATAGTCATTAAAAAAAAAAGGAGAAAAAGAACACAAAATCACAAAATTTGTAAATGTTTTTAAAAATTATTATAAAAAATGTGGTAGTTTTATATAATCAATATAAAATATAAAAATTGGAATATTACATATTTAATGACATTTTAAATTATAATAAAACATTTATTTATAAAATGTTAGGGTTAATAAAATGAATAATAATATAAAAAATTAGTTAATAAGTATGAAAAAAAAGGAATCTAAAAATAAAAGAATTTTAGAAAATGAAATAACTAGTAAAAAGTTTGTAAAACTACATACTGAAAAAGTTTTCTAAAAATAAAAAAAAATATAAAAAAAGGAAAAAAAATTGTACAAAATATATAAATAGTCATAATAAACAAAACGCATCAATGTATAAATACTGACTCGTAAAAGTAATTGTTCGATGCTCACTGAAAAACTGTGAGGCTCGTTGTGGATTCGAACTTTTCCGTTAAACTTGTGCAAATTATCATCCGGAGGCTCAGAAGTAATAGTTGCTATAAAAATAATAATAGTAATGATAAGTAAAATGTACGTATTTATAGATTATATATATAATTAAAAAAAAAAGAAATTTTAACTTAAAAAAACTACAAATAATAATTGAAAACTTCAATTAAGGATATTTATGAAACAAATTAAAAAAAATAGAAAAAAAAAATAAATTAATAAAGAACAGTTTAGTAAATATAATAATAAACAAAAACAATAAAAAGTAAACTAAAAGCTAGCATTATAAAGAAAATAATATAGACTTCTATTCACCCTTAAACTGAGATAACTTTTCCTCGTTCGTTAAAAATGAAGTTCGCATGGAGACTGTTTTAAATTTCAGATTCGTTTCTCTTTTAATTATAAAATTTTTTAAAAAAATAATATTTTTTTAAGAATGAAAGGTTTTATATAATTTATAAATAAAAATATTAATACTAATAAAAAATTTATAAGAAAAGTTTTGATGTATTATTTGAAAATTATTAAATAATAAACATGATAATATTTATATAACGATAACAATGTAATATCAAATAAAAATAATAAAAGTAAAATTTATTACTTTATTATAACATGTAAAAATATGGCAAAAAAGTTTGTAATAAATTATTAAAAAAGAATTAAATCTTTAAATTATATATTAAAAACATAAAAATAGATATTTTTAAATCCAAGTATAGAAATTCAAAGTAAAAATATTAAAAATATAGTATCATAACATAAATTTATAATGTAAATTAAAAAAAATATTGAATATGATTATAATTAAAACAAAAAAACACAAGAAATCAGTTTTGAAATAAATAAAAATTTATAAAAGAAAGTTATTTTAACTAAAAATTAATATTACCACTTTACTACATATAGTGAGAGAATGCATAAATTTTGAACCTTAAACTTATTTAAGAAAAATAAAAAATTATTTTAATATTAAAAAAGTAGTTAAAAAAAATATTATATAGTTAAAACTTTACCCGTCCAAATCAGCCGTTTCTACATAAGCCCCTCCATTTTCAGAAGCGGAGTAGAGCATAAGCACATCCGCTGGAATAAAATCATTATTGGAGATTTTAACAATCTCACCAACTAAAAGTTCGCTCCAAGGGATTTTAATAAATCTTGAAAGTATATATATTAAACAGATATCATACAGTTTAAGGTATATAATAATTACTCATAATTAAGAAAATAACTTAAAAAAGTTTATTGAAAATAAATGATTTATGCTGATTTGATAATAAAAAGTTACAAAGATTTGTAAAATATAAAAAATCAAAGATGAAATTTATAAATAATTTTTTGTATAAATTTATATAAGATCGCTTTATAATAAAGCTGTTAGGTATATAAACCTTAATCTAATTTATATTTAATTAAATCTTAAATTAAGGAATTCACAAATATCGTGATTTCATATCTCTTTCAAGTTGATATTTAGTCCAAAAACTCAAAAACAATAGTAATTGTAATTAATTAAGGCCTAAAAATTATCTATTTTATATATGTTTCCCCATAATTAATTTTAAAAAAAGCATCCTTTAAAAATAATAATAAAAGTTTGAAGACAACTAAAAATTTATAATATTCGTACTCTTTATAACGAAGAACAAGAACTTTTTTATAATTGAGTTCTCTATCACTCCGATGACGTTTCTGAAGTAAAAAATTGCAAAATATGATAATTTTTAATAAGGAACAGTGATTACATAATCCTCTAAAGCATCTTTCACCATTGAAATTAAAACGACAAAAGATAATGGAAATAGCTCAGCAAAAACAGGAAACACGGCCACTTCAGGAAAGAGCTACAATTTAGCTATTAATTAAATCCATACCTTATAACAAAATAAGTACAGAAAACCTGTATGATGGCTAAAAATAAAAAATAAAGATTAGCCACTTTTGAAAATTGCTCAAATAAATTTTTGGGAAGAAAGGTTAGTAAAGAGTATTTAGCCGTGGAAACATAGTTATTCTTTGTTATGTAAAAAAAAAAGATTAGTTTATAATAAGATAAAACAAAAAATATTTATTAAAAGAAATTTAATAAACTGACTAACGGCATATTTAAACTCCTTATTTTTTATGGGGTCGTTAACCAAAACAATCCTTGCTAAAGGTTTTCCTTTTTTATCTCTAGGAAGAACCTAAAAAAAGTTAAAAAAAGAAAGTCTTTATAGCACTTCCCAAATTTTCAGCAAAATTTCCAAATTTAAAATAACACGTCTTTTCTTTTAATTCATAAATAAAACGATAATAACGGCGCATCATTACTGCGAGGATAACTTTTTTAAACTATATATAAATAAAAAATAATATTACTAAATTCTATTTTATATAATAGAATAAAGCCATTATGTTTAAGTTTTAGTAAACTTAAAAAAAGAAAGCATCACCAAACTATGTTGTTCAGACATTGTAGACATAAAGGTATAAAGTCCAAATATAACTTAATGCATAATTAAGATTGATAAGACAAGCTAAAAGTTGTAGACGTAAAAGTACAAATCCCGAATATATCGTTTTCTCTAGTGCATTACTCCAATTGATAAGAAAAAAGAATTACAAGACAAGTGCTAACTGGAGTTATCTAAATAAAAGTTTGGTGAGCGAAAACCTCAACCCTCGATTACCCAAGAAACCCTCGACAGTCCTTTGTAAGAAGGTGCAGTTTAAAGACACTGACCAAAATAAAAAAGATTAATTGACACAACACAATGAGGAACGAAACCACTAATGGAGAAAAATGTAAATTTTGTTTAATTTAAAAATTAAAAAGCTGATGGCCAAGTATGTCTAAAGCTTAAACCGTTTAAAAAATCATGACGGACGATTAATTTCCTGTTATAATGAGCTTGTTGAACCTTTCAATATATTAATACCTATGGTTTATATAAAATTAAAATTACAACGATTCTTTATTGATCTATAAGGGAATATATAGTTATTAATATATTTAAAAGGGTCTAACATATTCACCTTAATCAGATAATGGTTACGAAAGTTAATGCTTGTAAATAAGAGACTTAAAAGGAATTTGGGCTAAATTGTTAATGCAACATCACTTATATAGTATCTGAGGCTACGTGCTTGTCCAAAGCCACTACTCTCTCGAGTGTAGTGCAAGGCCATTTTATTAAAAGATATTGATTCTCCTACTTATTTTCTTAGGTTAAAAGGCGCTATAGTTTAAAAAGTATGCCAAAAATCAAATAGAGCAAATATGAATACGAAAACATGGAAGCTTATTGTATAGCAGAATCGGAAAAAAATGTTATATAGAATGAAACAGAATGAAAAAGCGAATTAAAGAATAGGTAATGTCTTCATGATTAGTTGCATTACTTATATACTGAAACTTTAAAAGTATTTTGCAGCTTTTAGATATGTCGGGAATATCTTAATTTAATATTTAAGAGTTTTATATAATAGCTTTTACTCTATAATAGCTCCACACTACGTAATAGTTTAACAAAGCAGTTACGAAAAGTTATACTTGAATTGAGAGTGGGTTTTACATATGTTCGCCAGGTTAAGTCTCGAAGGTATAAATCCAATCATCTTTAATGTAGCGATAAGCAATTTTAATTTCTAACCCTCTTATTCGAAGCGTCACCTTTATATTATATACTTTATCGCTTCGGTATAGGTATATAAAATTTTACTTTAATTTAACGCTTGAAAAAATTTCAAGGAGTATAGCCAATGTGTTCAGCCATGTACAAGCAATGGAGCTAGAAAAGTAAACTAAACTTTATATGGCCTCCCAAGAAGATATATGCATTTTTGTTTTGTCTATATTGGAAGATCACTGCCCCGAAGATTCATTAGTTAAAATTAAATAACCCATAGTGGTTTTATAATCGTAAAAATTAGTCCAGTTGGATCACAATGGCAATTATCTGAGAAACTGTTGTCAGAATATTTATTACACCATACGAGTGAAAGAATTCTTGTTGAAAAGGGGTAATTATGAGTTCTATGTGCCATTTTTAAAGTGACTCCCCATAGATGTCGTGTATAAGATATCTGGCATTGGTCTAGTACTAAAGCAATATTTCGCAAAGTTTCAGATAGATTGCAATAAGTGTTAGTGGCTTCATCAGTTGGGTTTTTAGTTTAGGGGGTAGGTAAAGATAGTTGACATTTTGCGTCTACAGAAAATTTTATAATAAGTTGTTCAAAGTTATACGTTTGGTCAAATAAATAAGAATCTTCTTTATCTATTATATTAACCCTTAAGATCCTTTTAACTTCGCTGCATTCTTTAAATTATACACCTTCTTAGCTTGGAATTTTTTTTTTCATGCCCTCCTACTATTATACAGTCATCAACATAACTACCCAAAACTGTTTAAAAATTGTTAGTGCGGAACATGCATTATAATATTTAAAACTTTTTAGTCGCTTGCTAAGCCTTTGTGAAAGAGCCTATCTGATTTGTGTATACCACACAAAGCAACATTTATCTTTAAGAAGCATCTTCCTTTTATTATAGCGTTCTAAAAAGTTTCTTTCTGCCAATTAATATTATTTATTATCGAAATATAGGCCTTGAGGTAATGTGTACATAAGGTGGTTTTTACAACCTAGTAAATAGGCCATAGTTATATAAACTGAATAAATTGTTTTTCGTAGAATCTCCATATTACATTTTGGCAAATTTTGTGAGACTAAAGATCGCAAGGTTCTCTTAAGATAGTAGCGCTCACAACTAAACTTAATGAGAGTAGATAATATAGTAGAAACAAAAAACTAAACCAATAGAAGGCAGGAGACAACTAAATTAAAGTTGTTACCAGGAGAAAATAAAATTTGTAATTGAGAGCTAAAAATAGAAATAAAATAAAACTTAAGACGGTAGAAAAGGAGGGGACTTAAAGAAGAAGTAAGAGTAAGGCACTCTTATATAAAAAGGGTAACAGTATTAGATCTTACCTTTAAGTGCTAAGCCTTAGGTATATGTCTTTGTGCTAAAAACGCTAATATCATTATGGACGATTGAGAAAATGAATTGGTTACAACTAAAGCAAATAAAATAAAGGGGGCGCATACTAAATCATAGATCTTGCAATTTTGATATTTAGAATATAGATCTAGGAAAAATTCTTTTTAAGTGTGAATAGCTAATATGCCCAGAGCTTATATATTCTCTTGGAATGATGGAACAAGATTTTATAAAATCAGCTATTGTAATCATTGCTGTACTTTTATAACCGTGACCATTGTTAAGGAAACAAGCCAATCTCTTTCTTACCTTGTGTTAGTTCGACCTCTCCTATCGCGTAAATCTTACGAGTAATCTATAGCGTTCCATAGGGTAACAGTAATAGAAGGAGAAAAGGTTTATTAGACTGTACTCCACTCTTCCTTAATGACTAAAGCTGTCTTCGAAGGGGTATACAAACTTCAATATTCTAAATCTAACACTCCTATATATGGTAACTTTAATGACCCCCATAACGTTTCATTGCCTAGATTTAATGTAATTAAAATTTTGTTTCTCATTGGTGGTATTGGATTTTATCTAAGAGGTTTGGTTTTCCTAGGATAAAATTTAAATTTGGTTTGTCTCTCTGTTGGTAGTCATATTTGCCAATTCTATAACAACGGACCTTGTGATCGCATCGTCAAAACTTGAGTAATTAAATCTAATTTTCTTTATTGTTGTTCTTATAGACTTGTAGTTACAAGAATTAATATATTATAAATAAATGGGATAAAATATATTATATTACAAAAAAATATATAATATAAAGTTAGTTATAAAAGAAGAGTTGCAGTAATTTGTTTGATTTCTCTCCAGTCGTATGAGTAGTCCAACACTCCCAATTAGCCAACACTGAAACATGCGCGAGGCGCGCACCATCCATTAAATGTTTAAATAGGGTTGTACCCTCAACCGGCCAACCAACTACATAAAACACTATTAATAAATACTCTTTTTTATCTTTATAGCAGATATCATATCCTTTCTGGTTTAATGTAGCTACGAAAATAAGGTTATGTCCGAAATTTTTATTATAAATAACTTTACCACGATCAAAGAAATTAGATAGCCAGCTTATTAGACATCAGTACTCTCGTTTCTTCTGTTTATAAAATGTTTATCTTATTGGACATCAATCAACAACTCTTTATCTCTAATAAAATGAGGTTAGAGCTCCAATACCTGCGGTTTTTTTTTGAATGTTATAATTTAGTTTGAGTTATTAATTTTTTTAAAGGCTCGCCTCTTTATGATGATTAATTTTACCAATAAACTTGCAAAATACCTTAATGCATAGGCACTGAAGTCTTAAATACTGACCTAGACAGCCTTTTCAGGGTAGAAGTCGTCTTTTAAGAAATTTGGAAGTTTGCTTTCCCACGTAACAGTGCTAATTACAGGAAGTATTTAAAGATAAAGCGTATGACTGTTTTCAACTTTGTGTTTGTATTCAGCTTACAATAGGAGATTTAAAATAACCGCCAACCATGTCGTTCTTTTAAAACCTAGTTATATTAACCTGCCTATAACTCTGCATCAATAAACAGCGAGAATAAAAGCCTAGTGGCATCAACGATAAAGACCGGGTGGTTTAACTTAGGTTTTACAGGAAGAGAATAATTCTTTTGTATATATACTGTAAGCTTCCTACAATAACCTTAAGTCGTTGCACAAAATGCGCTCGTATTAGTTGTGCATCCGACCGATCATGATATACGCCTGTGTTTCTTGGGCCTACGACTCACCAGCAGTAGTCTATTCGCGTCAAGTCAGACAAAACAAACTGCTACACTCATTACGGGCGCGCTGTGGTTTGTTCGGAACAATGCCTTACACAAAGACCTCCAGCCTGAACCACTGGGTAACGTTTTTCGACGCAATATTATCGCCACCCATGATCTCGGCTCAGAGGAAGTCAACTACGAATCTAGGCTTGTGCCCGCTATCGCCGACAGCCGGATGGACTCTAAATATATAATATGGGTTTGGGGTAGAATTATTTTTAATATATATATATGAGATTGTTTTAACATAAGCCTTAAAGCTAATGTGTACGCTACTACCTGTTGACAGCTCCTAATTTCGATGTTTTTATTTTTTAACGACCCGATCGAGCCTCAAGAAATACATTTATAAAAAAAATTAAATAAAAATTAAGTGGTTTTGGAATTGTTTCTGTCAAAGCTATATGATCTTTTTACAGCAAACAACTTAATTGACACAGAATTTAGTTGATACATTTTAATTAATCACGTGTGATTAGGTATACATGCAAAATTTTACGATTAATAAATCGGAAGGTTTTTCTCTTTTAGCTCTGATTTTTTGCCTGAATTTGTTCGCTGGAGCTTTATTGCTCGTTTACTATTTACGGCCTAGCGATTTAAAGTAGGATCGCATAGGTTCAGTTAAAGAAAAATCTTGTGGACTGACTTTAGTTAAAACCCCATTTAATATTTCAACAGTTCCGTTACTTAGCCCCTTTGTTATTTTATCTTACTTTAGATTGTAAGTATATGAATGATCCCTGTACAGCTAAGCTGTTAAACCGTTATATATATGATTATAAAAAACTCAGTCTTAAAATTTTCACAGGAAACTTAGTGCATATCGATAATCCAGGTTTTCGGAATTGTTACTATAATCCTTTCTAAGGTATAGTAACATCTAAATTCTTCCCCTACTCCGTGGGTAAAGATTATGATTCTATGCAAGTTCGTAATTTTAGTGATATGAGACAAAATTTTTGTAATCATGCACTGCGCTAAACAAATACAAAAGTAGATACAAAATAACAATGTCAAGAACCCGCACTAATTAAAACATGGTGCTAAATTTTACGCCAATATAACCTCATTAATATAAAGAACGCTGCCTTTAAACAACAATATAAAAAATATCTTTATTGAAAAAATTAAAAAAATCTTTTGTAAAGTTTATAGATGCGGTCAACCTGCGATTCTTTTCCCCTCTCTTGTGCTTTCTTAGTCTTGCACTCTTAGGTCAAAAGCACGAAGTTCAATCATATCGCTGCCTGTGATTGGGTGAATTTAAAAGATTTCATTTAGGCTGGAATACATACTTTCAATGGTAAACATCTAAACCAAAAACAAAAATTTTAAATGCGTGAGATAAAGAAATTCTAGTCTACAAAGGAGTACGCAAATACGTATGCACCCGTATACATCGTAAAACAATTACTCAGAGAAACCCTTAAAGTGGAGTTAGTACATTTTTTAGAACGAGATAGCTAAACTGTTTATAAACACCGCGGGACGCCTTCGTTTCATATGATTTGAGACTTTTAACTAATGTGTCCTCTGACAAAACTAGTATAAACACAATAAACACCTATTTTATACACCATAACTTTACCTGACCACATTGAATAACCAGTTCAAGCTTTCAATATATATACTATTATAAACACTACAAAAAGCCGTAATATAACTGGTTGTGCAAGAACTGATCTCGCGTACTCTAACACGTAACTGTAAAAATTTATGCACAACGTGGTATACTTAATGACGGCTAAAAGAGCCCTGGGATTTTTATACAAAACGAAAGTATAAAACTAACTTTAAAATCTGAAGAAAATGAAGCAAGCAGGACGCTAATTAAGTCAAATGCTTCTTGGCTTTTGCAACTTTCGCGCTGCAATGGGAAATTTTTCTTTACCAGAGGTGCTCGATAAAAAAAAAGTAAAATTTTAAAACTGTTCTGCGAGGGTGTATACATGGCTTTTAGTAGGTCGATAACCTACATACAAGTAATAGAAAACTTGCTAACCGGATTATTTTTTATAATAAGTACAAAAGTATACACAGATAATAAGGCAGTGGAAAATATTTGCAGAAGAGAAGCAGCAATCAAAAGCTTTCGGCATAGAACTATCGTTTTCGTCTTCCCAAACAAGAATTAACAAGGAAAAACTACAAAATTTTAGAAAATCTAGCAGACATTCTTATAAAAACACTTTATAGAAAGAAAATGAAATATAAATGAATATATAAACAACACTCCCTTAGTATACAGTTACAACAAACGTGTAGAGGAATAGTTACAAAATATAAATAAAGTCTCCCACCTCCAATGGAACATAATATATTCTACATCAATAAGTAGCTTCATTTAGAACGCAATCAGCAATTAAAAAACATAATTTTTATTGTTTGATGTAAAAAAAATATTATATTGTAAAGATCATAAATGCAGCCTAAAGTCGCTAATTGCTATACTCTTCTGTTTGACTGGAGCTGTGGATCAAAAGGAGACAGGTTTGTAGTAGGGACTCGTCATCTTTCTTTTTTGCAAAACATATATCATGTATTGTGCTTATGAATGTTAAGAGTGACCTTCTTAAGGCATTTTTAACGTGTTAGATCACAAGTTCTGGAGCAGTTACTCGTGGTACTTCAATTCATAATTTTTTCAAGGTAAAGATTATTCCTCATAACATGTTTTTCAAAGGCCGCTTATTTAAGGTTTTCTAGAAATGATATAAGGTTCTTTAAATAATTTGTTAGGGAAGGTGTCTTGAATCCCTTGTGTACTCAATGTTAATTTTAAGTTCGTTAACCGTCGTCTTAATAGTAAAGCGTTTTGTAAGAAGGGTCCACCTTATAGTGCAGGTTAAAGAGAATTGTAATGAAATTGCATGGTTAAAAAAAAAGAATTATAATTTATATATAGTATAAAACGGTAGTAAATAAAAATTGAGCTAGCAGTAATAATGAAAAGAAAAATGAAAAAAAAAAAAATCTATAAAAAAAAGTCGAGATAAAAAAAAATCTGTGCGGACGTAGCTGTATACCGTTAGCCTCGCGGCAGCCAGGCGCTGATAACGTGATAAGATGAAGCAGAGAAATAAAGAAACAGGGGTTGCCCTTATTACTTACATTATGCACTGGCTTTATACAGTGGTTAAAAAAATTTATTAACTGTCTTATCCATCTGACTCCAATTGAGCGAGTTCTCGCCCTGCAAAGATACAAACCTTTGAAACCCTTTCTTAAATAAAAAGTAAGACTCCTAACATTACCTCTATAAAGACATTTTTTTTAAAATTAGGTCAGGTGAGAAATCTTTATTGGCTTAATAAGTACTTGAAAAAATTCTCTAGCAGCTATTATTAAAATGTTATAATTGTTAACATCTTTTCCATATGAAGCTATATTGTTATTTTTTAATTATTACAATGTTAATATAGTTACCAACACTAAAATATTGTTATTAGTAATTAATACTATTGCTAATTAATAGTTACCATTTTGTTTACCATTATTATTTGTATAATTTCTCTTTCAAAATCTTGCATTTAAAGCTATTATCTAACATAGTAAGGTGTTCCAGTCGTCTATCTTTAGAGATGTGGGGTTGGATTATAATTTAGGGAATTAGCTAGTAATATACTACAATGATCATATGCTCGGCTAAGCGCTTAGTACAGTCGACAAAGTGGTTCTGTTCTTAATTGAGAATGCTCATATTACAGAGGAGCTTCCATATAGCCACGTGAGTCTATTAATTAGCATGCCCACGGCTACAAGTTTAATTTTCTGCTCCCTGTTCCCTGCCTAGAACGTGTTGCGATGCGGAGGGCAGCCTAATTACTACTATATAAAGTTTTTTAATAAATTTTTTATACATTTATTCCTATTTGGGGTAAACATATCTACATGTTTCCAGCCACCACCGCATTAATAGCGCCTTTCTAGGAATAATATATAGCGAATATGAACTGCGTCGTACTTATCCTTTTTATATTTAAAGTGGACTCTCCAGTTATCTTTGTTATCTTTAATGACACCAAGGTATTGCACTTTATTACCCCAGGGGAGGCCTGAAAAAGAGATGTGTTCTGGTGCTCTTTTTTTTCTTTTCGTAAAAATAGGTTGTCTTCATTAGGTTACATCACTTATATATTGATATAAATATTTTATAGAAAGTTAGAGTTGGACGGGAATATTTAAATTTAAAATTTTAATTTTTTTTTTGGGAGCTTTATTCTATTTAAGTTTACTTCCATGTTAATAAAATAACCATTGAGCCTCCAATTGCATTTACTTTTAATCATAAATTTTTATCCACTCTTATAATGGTAAACGTTATGATACCCCTAGTTCGTATTAGTTACCCAAACAGTAGTATGCGCGACCTATTTACTTTAGTTTAACCATTTATAATAATTCAGCTAATCATTTTTAGTTTTGTGTACCTTTCCTTAAAATTTTTGCTCAAAAACCTGTTGTCAGTCACTTTAAATTTATCTCTCTCCGGTGGAAAAGTCTTTTATAAGGAGTTTTTTTTGAAAAAATTAAAATAACGGAAAAGCAACTTGAAAATTAATATACCGCTTATATCGAAAATACACAAGCTGAACACAAGCTGAACACAAAAGATCCACAATAGTTAGCTTAAAATTGTAAATAGTTAATTACTTTTTATATAAAAAATTTGAAAAGATAACTTCTCAGTGATAAACACTCTTTCCAGTTTAGTGTTGCGGGTGTTAAAATTTTCGAATTCATAATTATTTTTCTTAAAGAAGCTCTATTATAGAAGCTGATTAACAAAGAAATGGGAGACCTACTTTTTAAAAACTAAAGCATTTTTACCGTAAATTTTTTATTTAACGATAATTAAACGCTATTAGGTTACGCATGAAGTTAGGTATAATAGTAAAACTACAATTTATAAAAATAACGGTTTCTTTACTTTTTAAAAGTATATTAGTAAGCCAGCAGAATTATTCATCGGCCTGGTAGTTGTGCGCTAAATTACTTTTTTGTCTGTTTTATATTTTTTCAATAAGATTAAGAGATTAACAAGTATGGAAATAAAAACATTTGCGAAAAGAAATAATTAAGAAATAAAAATAATCTTTAATAAGAATATTTAATGAATTACATTAAGAAAACTATAAAAACTTTTTATTTAAATTTTTTTGCATTAACTAATCTATGTAAATCTATATTTACGAGTTTGCAGTAAAAATAATAAAAGTTACGTTACGGATAAGCTAAATAGTCGCAAAAGTTTTAAACAGTTGAAACTACTTATATTCAGCAGAAAGCATCCGTGTGGAATAGAGATGAAAAATAATGACAATAATAAAAATCCAAGCAACTAAAACAATCATCTGCGACAAAGTTCCTCGGTTTTTGGAATCATCACCTTCCAGCTTTTTAAGAGACTGAGAGAACTCTTAATTATATATAAACAAATTGAAAAAATAAATTTACTTGAAAAATAAAAATCCAGATATTAAATATTAGTTATTTTGAAATAAATTATATATACTTATATTTCATTAAAATAATAAATGATTATTTAAAAACTACAAACACCAGTAAAAATACGAATTTTATAGCTATTTCTGCTAAAAAGCCCTAGTCTTCGAAGTTTGTTGCCTCGAAAAAACCAGCGGGAAAACACTAAAGTCTACAAAATAATTGTATGTTGCCTTTAATCTTTTTAGAGGAGTCTTCAGCAAATGTTTTGTTTGCACACGAGGTTGTTGGGGAGACCAACTCTTTAGTAGGAAAGGCGGCCTTTTCTTTCTGCAGCTGAAATGAAGCGTAACTGCAAGTGATTTCGCTCTCCATGAATTTTGAGCAAATTTTCAACACGACATCTCCATAAAAATTAGGCTCATATTTAATAAAAACGGTATAGTTGTTGGGGTAGAAAATACCTTGCGGTTTCATATTTTGGAAAGCTGAAATGGTATGTAGATTTACTGAAACATGAGGGGATTGCAGTTTCTGGTCAAAAGCTTGAATGGTGACCTCGTCAAAATAAATTATAAAAATAATGTTACTAAAAAAAGACATTAAGTTTTGATAAATGAGATTTAAAAATAAAATGAATATTGCAGTGTACTGCCTTTCCATCTTACATATAAGAAATGGTAGTTATTAAAATAGATAACACAAAAAACATAATATAATATAAATTTATTTACATTTATAATAGCGAAATAAATTTACAAAATAAAAAATTTTTCATAGCAATATGGCAATGGAAAACGCTAATAAACAAGATACTTCGGCTATATTTTTATCAACTGCTGTCTCATATATAAGAAGTTCAGAAACAGCGTCAAACTTCCTTCCATATTCATTTCTATAGAGTAAATGCCATGATTCCGGTTGAAGGGAAGATGTGCCCGACCCCACGACGGGGACTAATTCCAGCTATAATAATAATAATAATAATAGTAATAATAATAATAATAATAATAATAATAATAATAATAATAATAATAATAATAATAATAATAATAATAATGTAGAAGAAGTAATAAAACCATCTTAATAGGTTGCACTTCCACCAGAATAGTTTCGCGAAGTTCCACGCCCTTTTCCACGCAAGACACGAGGACTGCAGAGTAACTGTGGATCATAGTTAAACTTTTCCCCAATCTTATCGGAAATCGATGACTCACCCGTAATACTCGCTTGAATATATGTACCCGGTAGCTTCGTCCACCTCAATAATTGGAGCGTTTCCAGGAAGAAGGACCTGAAAGCGGCAGATGGTCCCTTAAGAAATGGTGAAAAAATATTTACTGCTTATATCAAAAAACAAATGAACCAATTTCATGGTCTTTATTAGTTTTTATATGTGCTTTACTTTTCAAAGTCATCAAAAGGCTAAGCAATGACAAATAATAATAATAACAATAATAATAATAATAATATTATTATTACTTTTTGTTATTAGACTCTGAAAAAGGATAGATAACAAGAGGATCAATAACGTTGAGCAAAACGGAAGTTTCAAGCCGTTTATTATTTTTCATTTTATTTAAGGAAATTGTAGAAATAGTACCACGGCCTTAACATTATCAAATTCTTAATTTAATATATCTTTTGTAGTTTATAAAGTTTGCCTTTAGACTTTGCATGAATAACTGCAGAAAAATCAGTGACACCCAAAAAACTTTTTCCTGCTATTACTAAAGGGAAATAAAAAAGCCTATAAGATTCTAATAAAGAGGATACCATCGGTCTCAGATGCCCCAACGGTGATAATGGACGAATCGGAAGAGTGCCACTTGAAATGCAGTCCAGAGTTGCCGAAGATGAGTGGAGTTTCTCCATTAATGCCCTCTTTATTACATTTATGAAATAAGAGTGATATCGGGATACACAAAAAAGAGGCCACGTATAAAGACGGGCGCTCGGGTTCCAGCAACCAGTGTCGTTTGAGGTAATATAATAGCGATATCTAACGAGTAGGGCAGTTATATGAAAAAGTAAAAGAGGAGGAGAGTAGTATTACTCTGAAGATCGGATACGTGCACTTCAACATTGGAAAAAGTAACCACGTGACCAGCAGGATTACGCCTGATGGAGGCATGGTCGACTATCCATGAATCCTGGCATCAATAAAATCTATCATATAACGAAGAAGTTAAGCTTGCGAATAACCTCATCCACGTAGCTCATGTAAGCCGCGTGCACAATAGTCACTCCTTTGTTAAGCGCAAAGATGACCCCATATTTATCGACGGTTGCCACGTGGTCATCCGCAACTTTGACCTCCACTCGCTCGTCGCCAAACGTGTAAAAATGTGATAAAGACAACTGAAAGTGTCCTCCCTTAAGCCAGCAAATTGATTGGTTGCAACAAGGCCAAAGAGAGCGTGTTCTGTTAGAAAACCTCGATCAGCTGGATACTGGAGGGAAGCAATTCGAACGTGTTAATAACGTCGATGTGCACAGCGTGCGAGGAAAGCTCCTTACTACTTGCCTGACCGGTACAAATTATTCCCAAAGTGAAATAAATATTACCCAATAACAGGTAAAAACCTTTAATTTAAACTGCAACTTGTGGCTGCCCGTTTGTAACCCTTCCACTAAAAACTTCACTACCGACTTGTTAGTGCTTTTAAGGAAGCAGAAGAGAAAAGTGTACGATAAGCAAACCTCCTCGACCGCCAATTGTTTCACTAAAAGAGCGGAGGAGTCGTAATGTGGCTTCAAAGGCATAAAATGTAGCTGATCGGCATCAAATACAACATTCTATTATAAAAAAATATTAAGTAAGAAATCAAGATATGTGAGTAAAAAGTTTGCAAGTACGTTTGTGTCAGTCACACGGACGCTCATAATAGTAGTGTTGTGTATTGTAATAACGGTCCTTCCTAATATTAATAGCAATCATATTAATAATAATGACAGCAATAGCAATAAATAATTATGACAATCATTAAATTAATAATAATTAACGTAATAATAGACCTTTCAATTGTATTTGAGCAGCATCCACAAAGTATAATGTGATGTTCACGTGGCTTTGAGGCAAGAGACAGACGTCAGAAGCTTCAATGACTACCGAGCCCGGCTTTAAGGGGGCGACCAGCGCTTTCATAGCCTTTCCTTCGCTAATATCTACAGCTGCCACAGACGGGTCGCTTACTTGATAAGACATACAACCGGAACCGCCTGCGTCCACGCGAAAGTAAAAGGCATTTTTCCCCAGTTGAAATTTAAATTCAGGCAGAACCAGAAACATGTAGTTCGGGCTGGTTCATTGGATGCATGTAATACTGTAAGCGGTCAACCGAAAATTTGACGGGGTGCACCACGTGGACAATGTGGGCGTCGCAAAGGGTTGTTTCAGTTACCTAGAAACGTGTTTACTAGCCTGACTAGAACCACTAATTAATCTTAAGTACGCAATGGCAAGAGTGCTCGGAACAATCGCGATAACCCGTCCAGCATACTCCCAGGGAGAACTGTCCGACAAGCCCGTGGTCGTTGACCACTAACTTTTGAATCTCATCATCGTAGTAAGCGAGCTCCTCGTCGGAGCTTTTTAATTTGTAGTTCAACGAGGAGGCATTCGTAAACTCAGTTCCTGGGCAAAGCGTATGTAAAATGGGGTTAACAAGTAAATAAGTCCTCCACGCTTAAGAAAATGCACCCGCTTCGTCCAAAAATTTGACTTTAAATGAATGAAACGAACTGGTTTGTAAAAAAAGTTCTCTTGAATCTCTATTACAACCTTTATAATGATAATAATAATATTAATCTTAATTATTATAAGTATCCAATCAATTATCATTAACCTGAGCGGGTGAGAACATCCGCATGCACGAGAGAAATCCCACTCGGATGAGCGCAATGAATCACGTGCACAACTGACTGAGGTTGCAGGCCTAACTCCGATTGCTTATTTCCAACGAAAATATTAAACGCGTGGCGACCAGGCATCTTGCATGCCACGCCGACTTTCACTTTATTGCCTTCCATGCGACCACTCGCAAGAGAGCGGCCAAGCGCGCCGGCATTCTGAGGCACCACTTCGGTGACATACTCTGGGTTGAAAGCGGAAAGCAGATGATCGAGATGAAAAGGCGCGCCTAAGAGGGTAGCCAATATGAACAAGAGAAAAGAAAACATGCAGAACATATAAAACCTTCCACCTCAAACACTACACTTGAACCACATGACACCACGGGAACCCCAGCTGGGGATCTGTCCCAAAAATAAATCAAACTTTATTATTTAAAAAAAAAAGTACAGTAGGCTTACACAACGCGGAGTTTTTCCACCGCAAGAAAGTCAGCAGACGCGGAAAGTTCCTTCCCAGATGAGGTTTTATAAAGAGCATAAAGACGGGCGAGGCCAGAATTAACGACGGAAAAGGAGGTGCGGAGATGATCAGCTTGTGGGGTGGCGGCAGAAGAGTCTGCTTGGACAGGTGGCGCGCCAGAATAAGGGTCTAACAGTATTATAAATATATTCATAGGAATATATGAACTGTAATAATAGCAGGGAAAATAGAAGATATTTACTCAGTATATATATAAAAAGGATTATAACTATTCATAAACATAATAAAAGGAGACTTTAGTCTGTTTCACTACATTCTTCGTAGAATTATAATTACTTTGATATGCTAAAAAGTGATCAATCATTAACGGGTTTTCAAGTTCGGTGTTTTTTTAATTCCACGTGGTAATAACAATTTATATAAAGACAACCCAAAAAAAACTTTATTTGAACTAATAAAAGAAGCACATTTAAATCTACACTGACCACAAGTTTAGTAACGAAAGTTAAAGGTTTTTTACAAACCGAGTCGAAAAGAGCCTAAACTTTTTATTTAGTTAAAAAAATAATGAATCATAGCATCTGTATATAAATTAATAATAACGGAAGAAATACAATATTATTTTTATGATTCAAGCGCTAATATTTATTGCTCCTCACTACCTCATGTGTTTAACGCAAGAATGAAGCAATATTTAGATTTATTTTTAGTTTAAAAAGTCATAAACATGATATTTACTTATCGTTGCCTATAAAATATTCGATATTGCATTCCTTATAATTATAGCTGTTTTATTTCCTTTTTTAGCTATTTTATAATATGTCAAACTTCTACGTAAGCAAGTTTTCAATAATTTTATGATGAAAACCAGCAATTCTTTAATATTAAAAAGTTTACTTCAGTTAAAACAAAAAATTGATATAAAAATATGAAACAAGAAACCATGTAACACACAATTTTTAAAATAAAAAGGAAATCATAAAAATTCCATAACAACTGTTCATGCTAACCATACACCGGCTGAAGGGCTCGCAGTTTATTGTCATTGCTTCTAAAAGTTAAAGCTTTTATTAATGCAGAAATATTGTGGTAAGGAACTTCTAGAGGCTCTAAACAAGAAAAAACGGTTAAAAGACTTAAATATTAACTTATACAACAACAAAAATAATTATAACAAACCGCTGCTCTCTAGATTTTTAGAAAAAGCAATTAACGGAACACTCCCAGAAGAGCCAACTTCGTATCTTTTTCATTATTAAATAATAATAATAAGTAACGCACTTCATTTATACGTAAAACACAAATAATAACAGTCTTTATTGTAGATTGGATAATGTTTCATAAGTCAACAAGTATTGGATGACTTTTTTTTTAAAATATAAACAATAATATAAAATAAATATATCTACTGAGTTATAAGAGGAGCGTCGAAAGCGAGTCTGGTGGGCTCAACGACGTGCACAGTAAGTAAAGCAAAGTTGTTGATCATTATATTATCTGATATTTTTAGTCGAGCGGAGCCTATAAATATATTATAAAGTAAAAGGGATACAGCACGCAAAAGAGTTAAATAATATAAAGTCTTTTCATTATTTTATTTCGGTTTAAGTATTTCCGCAATTTTTTTTAGTGAACTTTAAACTTTTGAATTATTCTATATTAAACAAAACTTTCTAAAAAAGAGTTTCCACTAGAATCGTGTTACAGTTGTGTAATATTCCAATTACAAGTTGGCTTACAGTAGTTACTGTAAACCCAACAAAAACTAAAACTGGCATCTTTCAATATTTTTATTGCCGTGTAAAAAAATTAACTTATTAGCATTTTTCAAATATTAATTTAAAAAAAGGATCAATTTTAGCGCATTTTATAGGTATTTAAAACTTGACTTGGTTCTTAATGAAACAAAGTATATAGAATAGAGTAAAAGTGCTAGTATAAAAACTACGTCGGGTATTATAAATATCTTTGTTTATGAAAAGATAAGTTCTAATATAACTAATAAGAAACAAAAAAAATAATATATAAAAGTTTATTAAAAAATTTACGTAATATTCTTATAAGTTATTTTCATTAAGAAATATACATTCATTATAAGTTGGCAAACGTTTGTACACTGCCATAAGTTTTATATATAAAAAGTTTATAAATTCTTTTATCCCAAACATTATATATACATGAGTTACATAAACATTATGGCGCATAAAAATAAAAACTTTAATAAATTTATTTACAAACTTTGTGAATTTTTTTTGTAAACATACCAAAATGGGCAGCGAAGACGCCAACGCGGTTTTTACAGTGGCTGGCTGAATTCAAGTCGGAGAGAGCCCGCAAAGAGACACTCCCGCTAGAACCAGTCTCCCAATCATAGCAGCCAGTTCCGCCTGAAAAAAAGAGGGTGAGGCCACGTAAGTAACTTTTTTAGCTTCTACAATTACCTGTTAAAGTTAATAATAAATTGTATGTATTCATTAGTATTAACGACGATGACAAAATATGTAATATTAATGATAATAATAAAAGTGATACACAAGTTAAAGTGTTTATACTAATCAATAATATACCACTAGCAACCACGTGGTCGTAAATAGACCCTGAGTAAGGCAGATAGATAACGGCAGGCGACACCTCCACGGGCGGAACAATCCTAACGTTCTGCTTTCCTGAAACTTCGCAGGGCTGGAATGACTAGCATACGATAGTAATAATAATAATAATAATAACAATAATAACAATAATAACAATAATAATAATGATATATAAAAAGAGATACGCATTGCTTTAAAAAAGCTTCCAATTGCAAAAAGCCAGAGGACTTGGCATTAACTACGTGATAAGTTCGGTTAGAAGTAACGTGCAACTCTTCTAGTAAATTTTTATCGGAATCATGAATAGCATAATCCATGAGGATGTCCTTTCATAAAAATTCATTACATAATAATTATTGTAATAATTTATAATTGTACTTCAAAAGTTAAGTGATGGTCCTGCTGGTCATACACTTCAGTTCTCCAAACATATTTTCTATTCACTACCATATACCTTTTAAAAATATATATAGCATATATATTAGTATTAGCTCCCAACAAACTCGTTACTTTACGAAGTAAAAATAAATGCTATAAACTTTACAATAAATAATAAGAATCATAACCAAGTCGAATCGATTGCTTGACAAGAATTGAAATTCTGACTTTCTTCATCAAACTCGTACAAAAAAAACTTTATAGCAGCAGGCAGCACCACGTAGATAGCAGCAGTTTGAATATTATCCAGCATCGCTTTCACAAAATAATAATATAATGAGTTTCTTCAATGATAAAACTCTTATAAAACTGAATATCATTACTAATCAATTCTATTTTTTATTTTTTCGCCACTTTCAAGTTTTTGATATATTTATTACCTTCTGTTATAATTAATGTAAGATTGAACTAAATTTTTATTAGAAAAAAGCTCTCCAAATATTTTTAGTAAATAAAAAGAGAAAGCTTATATCATTCAATAAATTTTATAATAATATTTTTTATTTTTATAGCACTAATGGCGTTAACTTTTTTTAACTTTTATATTATTATAAAAGTAAAGTTTAACAATATAAGGTTTATAAAAAATTTATAATAAAAATATAAAGTATTTTTTAAAAAAAATAACCACAAATTGAATTTTAATAATATAAAATATAAATAACACTAAAACAATTAAATATAGTTTAATATAATGCATCTTTTATTAATTATAAAAAAAATATATTTATTAGCATTAATATATAAAATAGTTTATACAAAAATTTGTATATAAAGTTTTAAGTAAAAAATAATGTTTTCCATAACTACAATGTATGGTATAAGAGTTATAGTAATGTAAAGAATACACAATAATAACATCGTAAGTAAGACGTCAAATAAAGAGAGCATGCCAAACAAAGTGATTATATACATAAAAAATGATTAGTATTCAAGTAATAATAATATTGATAATAATAGTAATACTGGCAATAAAAAATTATAATAAAAGTTAATAATTTCTATTAACAAACAATATTTACTTATTAAAATTGTAATAAATTAAAATATTTATTAGAAACGAAAAGTTACTACTGGAGATTAATACAGTAAATACTACATTCATTAGTATACTAAAAAGCAATATTTTAAAATAACGTTTTTCTTAATATTCATAAAAGTGATATCCCCTTCATAAGAAATATTAAATTACCATTTTCGGCTACTGTAACGATGGCCTGCCCGATCGATTTCGTTAAAATTGTGGAAGGTCCAGAAATTTCCACCACATCCGGTTGTGAACTAGTAAAGGTATACTCTTCGAGGATGTCAATATCATTCACGTCTGCAGAAAAGTTTCTTTAAAATTTTGCAAAACTAAAGAAAAATACTTTAGAGCCTTAAAAAATAGTTAAAAAAAAAAACCAAGCATACTCACAATTATTTTCTCCAGAAAAACATTAAACTTAACTAGAATTTATAGTAACAAAAAAATTAGAAAAGACCGATATAGCGGCCATTTATCAATTTTTTAATAGCAAAGCAGTGAGAAACTCCAGGCAGGGAATAGATTTCTTTCGGGGATACTTGAAACGGAGCCTTCACTTTAATAGTAGCAAAAATCTCTACTACATCCTAAACAAATTTTTTAAACTGTATAAGCTAAATAATGAAACACAATTATTTTATGCAAATATTATAATCATTCCAAATTTTTTTTATAGAGGTTTACAATTATAAATATGATATTAAAAAAAAATTAAATAGAAGTGTACGATTGAGACTTTTATATAAAAAGGTTTACATAAAAATAAGAGTATTTCAAATAAAGTTTCATTAAAAAACACCTTCCCTTCCAGCTATGACCACTGGAAAACCTCGAACCTTAACTATGAGCTTACCATAGTACTATCAGAAAAAATTTTCTTTCCAGTATTTTCATTAGCCCTCAGCAGTCAATCGTAAACAAAAAAGTAAACTCTTAAAATTTAGTACGCACACCACATCAGAAAAGTAACAATATTAACAACTTCTTCGTATCACACGTGGTTAAACAGAAGAGCGGGCGACCTATGGGAAAGCACTACATGTGCCTCCTGGCTATAGCAAGTAACTAAACATGTGGGTATTGTACGTTAAAAAATGCGTTTTTTAACTCACAAGCAAATTGTAGTATATAATTTCCAGTTTAGTGAAAGTAAAATAATAATAATAAGCGTGATATATGCAGCTTCTACCATATAACAAATATTCTTGCTCTCACAAAAAAGTTTATAGCACTATAAAAACCCATAAGCATGAGAAACAGTATAAAACAGAAGCACCGCATTATTTTTTCTTAATACTTCTTTAAGTGGAACAAGTATACATTCCAACCAATAATATTTGCTTAAATATTTTGACCAAGAATTAATCGTTATTTATTTGTTCATCCAAAAAAAAAAGTCCAACAAGAAGAATAATGATAATCAAATACTAAACTTTATATTCGCTTTCTGCGAGATTTGTATAAACGTCAATCGTTCCAGGGCTCAACGCTTCAAACTTAACAGCGAATCCGTAAACATCTTAGGAAGTTACAAAAATTTTCATTAAAAAAATTCTAATTAAGAAAATTAATAAAAACAAAAAAGTTGAAAAATGCAAAGAAATGCGAGTAAGCAAACATAAGATTAATATAATCCTTAAAATATACATACAATGTATTCTTCAAAAAAAGTATTTTGAAAAAAATATTCACTAATAAAAATAATAAGTTCAGTTTAAATAATTATAACCAAATACGGTATAACTTTTATAATTATAACGTTAATAGCGCATAATATAACAGTAAAAAAATTTAATATAATCAGAAAATAAAATATTCTATAAAATAAACAAATAATTCCATTAAAAAAAAGAAATGAAATACTTAAAAATAAATTTTTAAGTTTTATAAAGATTATACTATAATATATATATATAACTTTATTCGAAGTAAACTATTAGAATTATATAAACTGTAAAAAACTTAAAGAAAGTTCAACAGTTGGACTCCTAACGATAAAGCGAGAAACAGCAGGTTTTATATATAACTTTCGATATTCATTAAAAAAATATTAAAAACGTCGGAATTGATCATAAAATTTTTTTAACGGTGATCTCGAAGATTTTATAAAGAAAATTACAAGTTTATACTTCCCAAAGCAACACGTGTAGACCAGTAGTTTTTTCAGTTCCACATATAATTATTTTAATTACCATTAGTCTATTAGCCACTTTTTCTATACCCATCATCCACAAAAAAGTGCCTTCTATAAAATGTAACATTAAAATTTGTATGGCTTCCTGCAGTCCGGCAAGAAACCAATGAACGGTTAAAGAAATCTTTACTAAAAAAAACTATTATTTAATAATTCAGTTTTACTTAATTCCGTCAATAATTAGGTTTTATTGTAACAGACAAAAAATATTCAATAGAAATATAGAGAACACAACTTTCACTATTACAATTTTAAAAATTATATATACAATTTTAGTAAATAAATAGACTTTGAACTTTATTTTTAGGGTTAAGGTGTAGATGGATAAAAAACTATAATTTTATAAAATAAAGTTTAACGATAATATACTTGACCAGTTATTATGTGTAATTATTAATCTTTCTGTAAAATATTTAAAAAATATCAAAATATATTATCAATTCAACTGGTATTTTTATTCACTAAAAGAAGTTTACTATATAAATATATATTAAAAGAAAATGTTAAAAGAAGGGACCTTCTGCTAAATTCCAACTGGTATAAAAGCGCTCATCATTAAAATCAGAAGTAAACTTTGTGTCGGCAAATCGATTAGTGATTCGCAGTATATCCTTTGGGGGGTTCGCATTAGCAAACCACCAGCGGAATTTCAAGCCTCTAAAGTATAAATTGGTGAATATTTTTATAAAATATAGCAATATTATTAAAAAAATTAAAGTTTTGAGGCAAATGCAACTATAAAAGTTTATAAATATTTATTATGAGTTGTATGTCATTGCAAATAATAATATAAAAATGTGTTCGCACAAACTTATTATCGGAGGGAAAAAAAGAGGAAACCTATAATTTACTGTTCCGCTGATAAAAAACAAATTAAATCAAGCGTGAACGACATTTGACTTAATCCTGTGTAGGTAAGTACGTGGGTTTTAAACACGTGTAGTATACACCGTATATGATGCAGATAGATAAGTAATATGTTCATATAATATAGCCATGTGAATTATTATGGCATATAGTATCATAAAACAGGTGCACATAAGGCGTGTTTCAGCAAAGCCAACTCTAACAGAATATAAAATACACAAAAATGTCTGATTGGAGTATCATTCGTAATAATAGTATTTAATAGGTGCTGCAAAGCGAAGCGATACAAAAAATTAATGCATATTTTGAAAACGTTAGAATAAGTCAGCATTATTATCTTGTAAAAGTTGTGATTATATACATTTACAACTTATGCATACACATCAATATCTAAAATAATAATAAAGTTATCATTTGAAACTAAAATCAAAAATATATTTATGTTTCAAGATTAAATGTTTTATATTAAATAAAGTTTTTCGGGAAAACCGTATTATTATAATTTGTGTTTCTTAGAATAAATGGACTTGATGTAACTTTGGTAGGTTAACTAAAGTTTCCTTATCTTTAGCTTCGTATATAAAATTGTAGAAAAACAATAAAAAAAACTTTATTTTGGACTTTCATTCCACTTTGTATATAATTAAACGCAATAGAAAAAAAAAATTATAAATATTTACATTTATAACGTTGCTAAAATTTAAATTATTAACTTGACAAAGCATTAAAAAAAAATAGGTAAGAGCTGTAATAAAGTTAAGTCTAATAGGAAAAAATCAACTTAATTACACCAGTGGTTGTACAGAACAAATATATTAAACCGATTATATAACTTCATATGTTAATTATATACATTACAAGGCAACATATACAGTATTTCTTATAAGAATAACTAAAAACTACATTATAGGCAGATACTTTTTGTAATTGATCCGTAAAAGGATGATTTTATAAGAAAGATATACTATTGGAGCAGTCAATTTAATATGCTTCCTGCACGTGTAGTTGCTCCTTTTTATGCGCTAAAGTTTATTATAACATACTTTCATAACCGTTTTTCACTGGATTAACATTAACAAAGCTGATTGGACGCGAGCTCTGACATGTGAAAAATCCTTATAAACAATCAAATACTTTGACGCTACATACACAGGCAGATGATTGGCAAACTTAAGCACAAGCAGCAAAGATTTAAAATAAATTAAAATATTAGTATTTCCTAAAGTATTTTTTTAAAGCAATTAAGTCTTCTTGTTGCCTATTTCCGCTAAAAAAAAAAGTTATTGTTCATATATTTTCACTGTGATCATATAAATTTGAGTAACATAAGTTTAAAAAGTTTTTATTCTAAAACTTTCTATACGAACAGTAGGTAATATTCTTGTTATGTAATATGACTAATAATGTTCTCTAATAACACAATAATGATACTTAGAGGTTTTCCTAAATAAAAAAAGTTTCTTTAATATAAAAGAAGTTATAGGTGACAACAATCAATATAATATTACATTATATACTCATTAGAATTTATCATAAAAGTTACCTCAAAGTGGAAAATAAATTGCCTTTTTCGTCAAAGGCGTGAACATAATATTTTTCTGGCTCACCGACATTCAAAACTTTATAAAAAAATACATGATTTATGAATAATAAAAATTCAAGAGCCAGAAAAATATAGCAGAAAAAAATTTAGAATCTTAAAAAAAAAATTAAGTACAACAGAAAATATACATAATAGAGGACACAATACTTAATAAAAGATGAAGGGTTCAATAACCTCGAGTGGTTGTCGCAAGTTTAATACTTTTAATTTTGTCTACTATAATTTCACAGTGCATAGTCCCGCCTTCTAAAGTTTAACAGATTAGAACTATAACTTTTATAGTGGCAGAAAAATACCATTTTGATGGTGTATATGGAGTTTAAATACAAAAAAATCTTAAGTATATTATATTTTTGATAAAAAAATAAATAAAAAATATTCTTAATAAAAAAAATGTGTAGAAAGTTGGAAATGAAAGCCTACTTTCATCGGTTGCCGTTAAAACAGTCTCCATTCTAGAAGGCACGCGAGACGTGGCAGTAATAATTGCTTCAGAAGAACAGGGCTCATCGAAGGAGACTTCTGCAATATTCTTATGCATGGTAGTCCTTAATAGAATAACTGAAGTAAATTGTATAGCTTCATAGATAAATACTATCAAAATAAATAAAGGTGAGTGTATATTTAATGAAGAACACTTAATAAATGGTAACTAAATTTTATAAGTACACAATTTATAAGTTTGTATAACAATTTCATAAACAAAAATTAGGTATTACAAATTTTATAAAGACAATACATATTTTTTTTAAAGTTTCATAATTCTTCATTTTAATACAGAAACTAAATGGACATAAGCTACCATTTCAGGCATAAATTTGACCTTTCACGAACTTTATATTGGACATTTGGATTTTGGGGTGAAGTAAAGGGTAATAAAACGCGAACTTCACTTAACTCAGTAAGAACAACATCAGTAAAAGTAAATGATATCAACAAGAAAATTTTCATTATAATCTTTAAATATTCATGACTGCTTTCCATTTTGCAGGCAAATAATAAAAGTTTGGTATAACCACAATCCTAAAGATGGAGCCATTGCATGGCGCCATGCTCGCTGGAGCGTTAATAGGTGAAGTTGAATACCCCAGACAAGGGCATTATTGTCTGCGTGAAATGTTTCTCAAGGACTTAATATTTTTGTATGCATTGATTTTATTATTTATAAACTTAAGAGTATAATTAATGTTGCAGTATTATTTCCCATTATCTTTCTTACTGTAATAATTGCAATATTTAACTCGCGCCTCTCCATTCCTAAACAGTTTGTACTGTGTATGTTAAACATAATAGAAGTAGACGGATAACTTCAGTAAAATATGTCCTTTGAGCTTCATTTATTGGCCAGCTAGATTTTTAAGAGGCTAGTGATTAGCCTTAAATTATATTACTATAAATGTATTTTTCTAAGATACAAGTTTAGATATAGAAAACCGTTTATTGCAGTAGAAAGAGCATTAACAACTCATATTTGCAAATAATATAACAAAAAAGAAGTTTTTATTAATTAAAACCTTCGTTAAAAACAGCTTTATATCACAGTCAGTTCACAAACTATAATCTAACATAATTAAGGTTAAAATTTTTATAGGTTATTGGTGAGTGCGCGTATAAAGTGTAATTAAGACAATAGAAATAAGATCTGCACTGACGGGAATCGAGCCGTGCTCTACCCACTAAGCTACGATAGGAACTCTTTACTTCCCGACTGTTCGTATATGTGTTAACTTTCCGATCACGCCAAAAAGTGAATACCCTTCTTTAGGGGACAAGAAATCATTTATAAACATATCAATCCCTAACAAAAATATACCACCTGTTGCGAACTTACCCTTTGGATACCTCGATATCGGCTGTTAGAGGGTGATGTGTTAAGCTAAGCCTCAGGCGCCTTGAAAGCTGTCGTGGCGTCCACACGTAAATTACTTGACGACGAAGGTAAAGGCAGCGACCCAGATTACCCTCTATCATGCGGCAAAAGTAGTTTTCGTTGTGCAATAAGCGAAGGTTTTATGTGCTTTACATTCGGTTGATTATGACATATACATCTCCTGCCTAGGCCCACGACTTATCGGCACTAAAAAGTCCTTGCGTCAAGTGCGACAATAAAATTGCTGCGACTTTTAACAAACGCGACGTGGCTTGTGAGCAGTCATACGCTTTACCACGAGCTACAGAGATGCTGACCACACTTTAAAAAGATGCCGTCGACCTCTAGGAATAGATAGCTGGATACTCTAATCGCTTTTTAGCGTAAAAACTCAAGTTGTGGGACGGCGCACTCTTACTATGACGGTTGAAAACTAAGTTAGGGGTTTAAGTTAACATGAAGGACAGATTAAGATAATAATTTTACTAACTCGTGGACGCCTCAAAACCTATTTAAGCCCTCGTTTATTCGAAGTTACTAACTCGATCGAGCACTAGGAAAAGCCATTTATAAAAAAATAAAAAATTGCGCCTTGAGCTCTTATCAACTGTTAAGAGCATTTACGGAAGAGCTACGTCGGTCTCAGTGACAAAAATATCTTTTAACTTGAAAGGGTTATAATTCATAAAGAAAGCAAAACTACGTCAAATGTTATTATTTAAGGAATTTTCTCCATTATTAACTGAAAGGAAACTTTTTAAGGCCCTAAATATTGACTTTTAAACCAAATTTGACGGTTTCAAGAGCAAAACTTAATATATTATAAGTAACTTCTAAAGAGTTAGAGGTAAACCTCTCTGTAACTACTGGAGCTGTAACACTTAGTATACGTATATCACTGTTTCCTGACTTCAACTATAGTTCTGTCTATTTTGCAGGTTCTAATTTGGTTTTCGTTCTCCTAGTGCCTATGTAAGTATTTTAAGAAAAAAAGTTAAAAAGTTTGTTGCCTTTAAAAAGTTACTTCTCTATCTTGATTTTATTTTTTTCCATTAGCGATATGAGCTTGGAGAAATCTTTCGTTATTCGTATATTAATAAGCACTGTTATATATGTACCGTATCAAAAATACTGTTACTGAATTGTTGGACAATCCGAAACTAGTTATACGATTAGATGCACCATTATACACAAGTAAGCATTTAAGTTTTAGTTCATTTTAGCTTTTAACTTTTTAAAATAATTTAACTTTTGCAAGTAACTTCATAAATATAAATAATTTTTTTTTGTAGGTTAAATTGCATTATTTCCTTATTAGCTAGATAAATATTTTATAGTATTGTTTAAATATAAGTTTTCTTAAATCTCTATAAAAGATCAAATTTAACTGGTTAACTTAGTGTTTACTTAGTTGTCCTCAAAGCTAGTAAGTGTTTTTCTTCAACTTCGACAAAAACGCCCTCTAGACCCACGTAAAATGACAAACAACGAAGACGCGGTGGACACGAAAAGATGGAAGGAGAGGAGTTAAAAAAATGTGCGAGCCACGAAAGTTTTATTCGTATATTTATTAATAAAGGTGACCTACTACAGCCAGACCGAATCTAGAAGAGAGTCTAAAAAACTGGTTAATCTGATTTACATCGGGAGGCCGTCAGGGTGGTGAGAAGGATTCGTAGTCCCCTACTACAAGTGTAAACATCCGTTTCATAACTTTATCTCGAACGTATAAATCGTTGGGTTGAGTATACCATAGCTTTTCACAGTAGTGCGACGAAAATATTCAGGGAGCGTTTCCAAATTCAAGTCGCCAAGCAAGGGAGCATCCCGCACGCCACATGTTTTATCAAAAATTATAATATAGGTATCAATGCAGTTAATTAAATACTACCTAATAAACAATAAACAGTTACTCTAACATATTCAAAACTTACTTCCTTGTAGTAAGGTGATTAAATTCTAAACAATAAGGTTTACTTACTATGAAACCAATTACAGGATCTTTTGACAACTGTCTTGTAAATTTATATAGTAATTGAGATAAGTAAAAGATTGAGGAGCTACCAAAGACCAAGGTAGAGTAAACGGATGTATTTTTTAGTTATTAAAAGCGCTGGCTTGCTACAAGCGTGATTTACATGCAATTACTTTTTATTGTGATTTCCCTCTATTAAAGTGATAATACGGAAGTAACGACCCCCGGAATAGTATACATATTAAGAAAGAAACCGTAGCAAAATAATAACAAGTATAATACATAATATATCAAGTCAACTAAATTTGAACATCATTACAAAATTCATGAAAAAAAATAGCATATCCTCTCCAAAAGGGTCTAAAAAATGTTTTAGCCCCAAGCATTTGGTATACTAGCCAAAACTATTAATTAAGAGCCTATCTACTCAAGTTACTATGAGGATTTTATTAAGGCACGCTTAAATAGGATAACGGTTGTATCCTCGATGTAGTTAGCTGTTGCGCACCAAAGGAAGGGCGTCCACCATCGTAAGAGGCGGTCTTGTAGTATTTGAAGTTGTGTATATGCTCTCTTAAGAATTGATCCAGGCATGCGTATATTACCAGCGGATTTATAGTCGATTTATATAAAAAGTTTTTTTCATATGAATTTTTTTTTAGAATATTGATAGGTATAAAACGGCTATGACCTGCTTGGTTTTATGATGACTTAAGTTGACAATTAACGTCGCTAAATATCTAACCTTCTTACTGCAAGGAGTTGCATTTTGGGTGGGTGAGAGATTTAGAATTAATAAAATCACCTCCTTGCTATAATCAGGTAGCTATCTTCGGACGCATCAATTACTAACCTCCATGGTAAAAGTCATGCCTCGAGCGCTGTTAAATAAGATTGCGTTGCATGTTTTTAAATACCAGCCAGCGGAATTTAAACTAGGCTATTTAGCGGTGTCATCGGCGTACCGGGCTAGGTTTATTTTTTTGTGTCCTATCGGACATGGATTTAGAAAAAAGCTTAGTGAGTTAACTAAATCCTCGTTAAATACCCACGATAAGGATTATATTCATGGAGTTCAACGAGTTTACCCCGGCAGTTAAGAGAACATCCGTTAGGTATGAATGTACTAATTTATAAAAAGGGAAAGCTGGCAGTTTTCATTTATTAAATAGATCATCTTTAAAAGTCTTCTCAACGCTTAAAAAGACCCATCCGTTACTCTTCTATTGTTTAAGGCTTTTGCAGCTCCTGTGTAAATATATAACTAATTAACAGTGGAGTAACTTTTTCGGAAAAAAAAAATTGAAAAATTTCGCCAAAAGCACATTCTTTTAATAAAATTTTGCAGTCGGGGATAACTGCTTCTGTCACCTTTTACTGTAAAGAATGGTTAGTATAACAACTAATTAAGTACGTACACAATATGGGGGGGACAAAGCGATCATGTGAAAAGCAATCCACTGAACACGTGTATCAGGATTTTTGTTCGGAGAGAAATTGTACACGTGATCACCAGACCTGGAAAAATGTGAGTTGTCACTGATGACGATGATCTAACCATTGAGCTATGGAGACAACTTATATCTTCGGTCGATAAATTACATATACAACTTTTGTTAACGTGCATCACGTAATTTATTAAGTTAAGAAGTAAAGAACCACTGTTGCACATAGAATGTAGGTTCTTGGCCTGCATCTTAAAATAACTTGAATTTAAGGAAAAGATGCGTTCACTACATGGAACTAAAGATCTTTAACCCCTGTAAACTGGGGATAGCTTCAAAAAAATTTAAAAACTTACTTCTTATAAACCAAGTTAATTGTTCTTAAGATTATCATTTTTTAAGACATATTTATCTTGAATAGCAAAAGGCTTTATGTAAATATGGCATGCTACAAAATTTCCCGTTCAAAAAATTTTTTTTTGTATAATACTTTTTCATTACACGTAAAGAAGAACGAGCTTGTGAAAAGACTGCGGGGATGTTTGGAAACTAAAATAATATATATCTCTCTAGGTTGGCGCTTTGGAAAGAGGTGAAGTGTTATGAGCTTACGATATATCGTCGGTTCTAGTGCATTGTAATAAACCTTTCCATATTCTACCTTCATGTTCTATTTGTGAACTCTATATTTAATTAATACTATGGGAGAGGGCTAGCATCTAACAAATGAAAATAGAAGCCTATTTCTAGTTGGGCAGTATATAATTTATTTACGTTATAAAACTTGTCATAGTTTCAACATATTTTCCCCATTAAAGTGACTCTCAAACGTTGATTGGGTATTTCATAAAGAGAAAATTTTTAAGCCGTCAGAAATTGTTAAAAAAAGCATGCAAATATTATATTAATGAAGTCTGTAGGTTCTATTGATCGAGTCTTATTATATTGTAATGGTATTTTTAAATTTAAAATGTAAATTATATGCTCTGCAAAACCATTATTATATTTTCTTTTAAGGGGGAACGACATTATATAATAGTAACTTCCAATTTTTTTAGCCAATAATTTTATTTATTTATGTGACTAATAAACAGTTTAAATCATTAATATTAACCATAAATGGCTCTTTGCTAATGGACTTGGCTTAATACCAACATTAGTAGTTATCTTTCTAGCTATGTATAATGTGAGCTCGGTAAAGTCTCTTTAAATATTTAACTAATCCGTTTGTTTTTATAGTTTTAGTTTTTCCCTTTTAAGCAAGTTATCTACCTCTTCACTTAGCTTTGTGAGTTATCACTGTTTAAGTTTTCTTTCATTTCTAGTTTTTACAAGTTTTTTTTTAACATAACTTTGACAGTTAACTATTAATTATTATATTGAGTAACATGAGTAATGATCTATATAGTTGAATCTAACATGGTTGAACATATTTTACTCGTCGACTTTCATCATAAGTACGGACCAAGAATCGAATATATATATCCAAGCTTGAACAACAATTTATCGCAAAGCTGGGAAGAAATACCCTTTATCTGTCTTCCAGGCTAATAAACTTTTTTGTTACTCCTCTTATATAGTAGAGTAAAAGAAATCTATTCCTTATTTCTAATAAAGTTTATTGCTTGTTTATATTGAATTTTTTTATATGTAAGCTATTCTTTCCCCTCTACCCTTTTGTTTTTTACTTTTATAAACATATTAATTCCATTTACAGATGGAAGTCATAAAGTCTCAGAGGGGTTTGTATACTTTCGTCTTTCCGGTAATATGGCTTAAGAATTTTCACACAGAGTTACTTTTATAATTATTATTACAAGATCGAGAACCGACAACAATTTACGGTGTTGCTTCGTTCCGTCAAATAGATGTTAAAGTAATAACAATCTTTTTATACGCGTTATGCTAGAATCTTTTTTTTTTTATTTATTTCAGGATCTTCTTTATATACCAGAAGATGTAACCAGAAATTATGTCCAGAAAAGTGTGTGTTTACTAAGTAAAAAAGTAAGTTTATTAAACCTTTTTATGTCTTTTTTAAATAATGATTTAACATTTTTTATTTTTTTTAAAGCCTTTATACGGCTACCTTACAGAAAAGTTAAAAACTGTTAGTTTTGCTTTATTTCAACAAAAGGATTTCTCTTCCATCGGCCTTTTAAAGGTTTGCGGTAACTAATGAGTTTACTATGAATTCTTGTACAATTAATTTACTTTAATTTTTAAAAAGATAAGCGTAACGCCGTTTATAAGCGTTTTTTCTTGACTTAAGAAATACACAGATTTTTTTTGTTCCTCATTTTCCTATTTCTTTGACTTTTCAGGATTGTTATAAAGAAATTAATTCAGAAGTTATTTCAGATTCTTTGGAATGTCTGGAAAGTCGTGTATATGAAGGTTTTATTTTCTTTTAATTAAATAAAGTTTGCAAGAAATTTTACGCACTATTAGGGCTCTCTTTTCGCCACTTAGTAAAAACCTTAAAAGATAAACTTTTGGTTCTTTTTAAATTATTACTCCTCCAAAAACGTGTAAGTAGTTTTTGTAGCTATCTAATTTTGTTACTTTTCATTAGGGGAAGTAAATTTATAGGATTTTTTAAAAAAACCTTAAGAAATTATATTTAACATTTACATGTTCCTTTACTAAATTTTTTATTAAATTACTTTAGCATTAAAAGATTACTACTTTTATTTTTCATATATCTCGAAATCTAATAAGATTTTCTGTACTTCCTCGTCCACTCGCGATCTTTCGTTAAGTATCGTCTCTTTGGTTTCTTTACTACCAGGCACTTTTTAGTACTACTTTATTTTTTTATTATTAATTAATATTATAAATTAGATTATTATCAAGAATTTTACCCGCACAAGAACTTACAAGATGCCAAATTAAAAAATTATGAATTTCCTCTTCCCGTATTTAACGAAAAGGTGCTTGTTATTTTAAATTTTTTTTTTACAATCACTTTTTTATTTGCTTAAGCAGACTGTTGTGTTTCACCCTTATGTGTGCCTTCAGCAACTTGAAAAGTTAAACAGTACAAATATCAACGGTTTTCTCATCGGTGCTTCTAATCTGCTGTTTAAAACTCAATTGAAAATTGACGTGTTTGTAGATGTTTGTTTGATTTTTAAATTATAAATAAAAAATATTATTGAATGAAAATAAACAGTTTCAAGCAGAAACCGTTGAATTTTCAAGCAAAAACTTGCAATCAATTATGGAGCTGTCATCTTCGGATATCCGCTTTACCAAACGCTTAGTATCAGCTGTAAATAAAAATTATAAAGAAGGTTGCGTGCGTGCTAACTTTTATTAATACTTATTATAATAATTTTTTTTTTTAAAAAAATTATCGCTTAATTTTATGCCGCAAAACTTTTTATGAATCACTTATACAACAAATTTTTACTGCCCACCCTTTTTATAAACAATGATACCACGTGTTTAAAGAACTTTGAAAACTAAAATTCTTATTAGTATCTTACAATTGCTTTAAAGCTTTTTTATTGGATTGTTTTTTCCTTTTTTTTTAAGGAGAGTACGTCTGGACGGGCAGTGATGACTGGATTCGCCAGGAGTTCCGGGACTACACCGTTCGATTACTATACACTATACTAAGTGGCCTATTTTCAGGCGAAAAAGGGAAAGGTCATTTTTGGCGCCATAAGTTATATACAAATTATTTTTAAAATATAAAACTTTTGTTGGGTTAGTGTATTGCTGTAATAATTACTACAGCGCTGGCCACCGTATTTTTTATTTATGGGTGATTCATAGTAACGAATTAAACTTTTATATATTTATTGAATCTTTACATTTTTTAACCAGACTATAAAGCATGAAAGCGAATTTTTAGTTAAAATAATTAATAAAACTTTTTTTTAAAGAATTTTTTGTACTGAGTAAAAAAAATTATTTATATAATAATCAATTTTTTATTGTATAAGTTTGGCCACTTAAATTTCTTTTTTGTTTTTAACCAATAGTCTATGAAGAGTTCAACAGCCAATACGTGGGTGCTTTCAAGGAAACCAAGTGCTTTGACACGTGGATTGGTAGGATTAACCCTCATCGAATCTTAAGCAGCCCTCCCCCGCCCCTCTCTTCGGAGTATTTTTAATTTGTATAGAGCGCTTTTTCTAATATTTATTCAAAACCAACTTTTATATATTCTTACAATAACTATTAACAAACGCTATTTCTTACTGCTTAAATACTACTTCTTTTTAGCATAGCTATATATATTAGGTTAATTATTTATTGAATTGCAAATTTTCTATGTAAATAAGAATTTTTTGTAATTAATACTAAGCTAAATCGCACGACAGCGGACAGCTACAACTTTTTTATATAATTGCCAAATGCCGCGAAGTTTGCAGAAATAACTTTTTAGATAAAACGTTAAACGTTTAAAAATTAATAATTTTAATTGAAATAATAAAAGTTACATACATATATGAATTTTTGGTGCATTCTTTAAAAAGAAGGAAAATTTTAATGAATTTTTTATGCGTAATAATAAATAATAAATTTTTGAATTTTTTTTTGTATAATATTATGCGTTATAAATAATATTATTATGTAATTATTATATTTACAATTCAAATATTTATATAATATTATTGTTTTTGTACTAAATGATAATATATAATTCTTTTACTGGTTGCTTTTCCATTAGACATTTTGAAATTGATGACGTTTCGCTCAGCAACAAGACGTTTCGGTTAAATAACAATTATTGCAGTTTTACTATTAATACTAAAAAATTAATTTCATTTTTTTTATATGAATTTTATTGGTTAGAAAATTCATAAAAATTTTAATACAAGTTTAAGAGTTTGTATTGGCTTTTTTTTGGGGTAATGATACAACAACTTTTAGTTATTTGAAGGAAGAACTGAAAACTTTGGATACTGCAGCTGATAAGCTTGGACAAAAATTTAGTTATCTTTATATAATCTATATTTTTTCATTATATATATATTGTCTTTGTCCTATTTAATTGTCTTGTATTATATACATCATATCAACCAGCCAAAGTATGGAGAACGTATTTTTCTTCTGATAAACAAAAAATCAAAGATGACGAATGCGGTACAAAACACTTCAATTCCGGAAAAGAGCCTTTTTTGAGGCCCCTTAGAAGATCTGCTTCTTTAAAATGTGAAAGTAAAATTTAATGTCTATATATGCTTCTTTTTTTTTAATAGATTTTATACTCGAAGAGGGTTACTATGTACAATTGAAGCCAAAAACTTTGGCTTCATTGAGCGAAAGTCTTAATTATATGGGATTCTCTTAATACGGAAAAAAAATCGAGAAAAAGTGCATGAAGACTCCTTCAGCTTCGCAACGTAACTGCGTCGTGCCAGACCGCAGATTTATTTTTTACTTTTCGTACATATAAATTGAAGGGTCGACTTTTCAGTAAACAAAAAAATTAGTGCTCTTTTTATTTTTTATTAATAGATTCTCAGTCTGCAAAGTTTTTTTCTTCGTTACTCAAACTTTCGCAGAAGTGATAATGGCTGAAACTATTTTATGTAGAAAGAAATATTCTATTGCTCTTGCCATAAAAGTTTTTTGCTACTTAATTAGGTTAAAGATATCCACGGCCTTCACTAAAGTTTAGGTCTTTAAGAATTTACTTCTTAATGATAAAATATTATATAGTAAAAAACACCGATTGTTGCTATAAGTACAAGTGACGAAAATTTAACGAAAATAAAACCTGTAATTCCATAATAGTAATCCATATCAAATATTTTATTCATACAGTTTAATGTTATTCTCCCTTTTAGTATTAATCGAAGCAATTAATGGATATTTATGTTCCGTTTTATATTACTAACGTGTCTGTGATGAGGCCAACACCTCTAAAAACCTACTACCGTTGTTAAACCACTGATTCTTAGCATTTACGCTTATTTTGCACAAATATTTAATGAGAAAAGGAACAAAAGAGGATGTTTAAAAAAGAAAACTGTCCAACGAGAACTTGAAAGCTTTTTAAAAATGTGAAAGTCTACTAAGTTTCATTGCTTTTCCATTAATAAATTATTATTAATTAAAAAACCCTTTATTAGTAAAAAATAGGTATCTTATAAAGTAAATATGCGCATCTTTATTTGCACAGATATAACTATATGTAAATTTTTTTATTTAAAAATTTTTATACTTTTCAGTGATTACTTTAAAGCGATAGTATTACTTTTTTTAAGAAACGGTTCATTATTGAAAATAAAGAAGTTCAAAAAGTATGTGTTCATGTAACCGCACAATTTTTTTTAAAATTCTTGTATTTAAAATGTTTTATATCTTTCAATGGCTCTTTACTCTAAACGGTAGCGTTATTTTGCACTTGTAAAATGTTTGTTGACTCCCGTTACAGTTTGCTTTTTCTTTGTGTAGGTGTGCAGTAGGATTTGGTGCGCTTGGGAAGTCCATTATATTCCAATGAATTTTTACTTCGACTTTCCTATATACTTTATATTATCTATATTTTATTACTTCCTATAATATACATATTTCCGAAGACTAATTAACATATTTGATGTACTTAAAAAATTATGACCTGACAACTCGTGCAGTTTCTTTTTTAAAAATCTAATTATATTAATTTTATGTTCTAAAATAATTTATTGTAATTGAAAAAGTTTTATTATTTACAAATATAATTTTTTTTAACCTTTATAATATTTAATATTTAAAATAATTAAATTATATAATTTTTAAGTATATAGTAATTTCTTATCAAGTTTTTTTATTATTCTTAAATACATATTAATAGCATGAATATCATAGAATAATAATATACATTTTTATTTATTTAAAAATTATTATGTACATTTATTAAATATTTATACAACTTTTATAAGCTATTTACATATTTTTTTATTAATTTTTAAAAAGTATTTGACTAGACATTTTTGGTTTTTATCTTAATTGTATTAGTGATAGTTGCTGGTATTTTCATGAAACTAATTCTCGGGAAAAACTCCGAGATACACTGCTGTTGCGGTGCTTCACCAACTATATTTCTAAAGGCGATATTGCAAGTCTCTACTGAATATAAAATACAAGAAAGAATGCTACTGTGACTGCACTACAAATAAAAAATAACATATTTGGATTTTCTAAATAAGAATAGTTATAATAATGCTTGATATTAAATATATAGCTGTATGTTAAACATAAAAGCTACTAAGAAATTTATAATTATCCATGGATGCATTGTTTTGAGTTTTGTTAATTTTAGATCCTCCTGCGCATAGTCAAGGCTACGCTGTAGCGCCTATAACTAGGATGTTTAATAAGAGGGAAATAGGTTTATAGAATTGCTTTACACTCGCGCTAGGGAACAGCTTGGGGTGAGTGAAGTTGTTTACACGCATATTTAAACTAATTAAAAGCGATGCCATGCAAACTAAAAATAACATTACTAGGCGCTTGTAAGCTTGGATAAAATTTCTAATTGGCTGAGCGGCACCCTATAAATCTGTTTCTATAAAGTGGCTCCAAGTAAACAATTTTAAAAAAATAAACAAAAATCTGGGCCCCCATTACCCCTTTTATTGGAGCGTCAAACATGTAACGTCCATCAGAGTGAATCCCATCTTTGTTCTACCTTTTTTCTCTTTCTCATTGGCCACTGCTTTTACCTCTGAAAGAAACTTCGCGTGGTTATGAAAGGAGCTAGAAAAAGAAAGTTTACTTTAAACTTATTTATATTAACTTGTGTTGGCTGTCTTTAGTCTTCTTAACAAATAGAAAATTTTTTAAAAGCAAGAATTTATAATTTTTATCAAAAAATTTAAGGTTACTGAAATTTGCTATTATAGTGTATTTTCGCTATTACTAAATTTATTCAGAAGTTATAATAAGAGAAAAAAGAAGAAGTGCTTTATATTTTTATAATAAAAGTTATTTTTATAAAAAATAATATAAAGAATTTTTTTAATTAAAAGTTCAATTATTACAAACACAGCAGGTGTCTCCCTCTTTTTGCAATATTAAAAAACTTTTAAGTCTTCAGGTAATAATAATTATAATTTATTTGATTGATAATAATAAAATTTTGGAGTACTGCTTTTTAAGGGATTATTAGAAATTTTATTATATATAAATAATATTCTTTGCAGAGCTCCGTAGTAAAAGTAGAGAGCGGTATTAATATTATGAAAAAAATACGATAAAAGAAATAATTTTTTTTTTTACGACTGATATCTTTATTTAATATCATTACCTACAAAATATTGCAAAGAGTTTTATTGTATACACGCAATATATTGAGGAAAAAAGAAAATAATAAAAAATATATATAAGTAAATTGGAAAAAATTATATTTATATTTATATCATAGATAGCAATAAGTAAGGAATATAAATATACTTATATTTATTAAATATAGCTTTTCTAATAATAATAAGAAATAAACTAAAAATAAAAAATATTAATTTTATACATATATTGAATCCTAAAATATAAAATATATAAATATGATCGATGAAGAAAAAAAAAAAATTGTATGATAAAGAAATTCATATAAATATCCGAATGTAAAAGAGAAGTTTACCAAGTAAGTGAAATCATAATAATACGTTAAACTTTATTAATAATTCTAGAAGCTCGTTGTAAGGCTTCTAATAAAAAATTCAATTCTCTTCTCTTTTTTTTTTAAAAAAAATAAATAAATAACGCAATAGAAATAATGAAAAAAATATGTAATATTAATAAAATAATAATAATACAATGAAAGTAAAAACCTTTTCAGCAATTGCGGAGTTTTCCCGCATGAGTGAGTCAAATTTGGAAGGATGATAGAGAGTCGATATCTATTTGAAGAGTAAAAAAATATATATATAAATATAGAGTATTTGTAAAAACACAAGTTTTATATAAAAAGTATATGAAAATAGTATTTAAAACAATTGAAAAATTGGTAAAAACTCGAGTTTTATTTGTAAACGTATAATATTATGTATACAGAATGATTTTTATAAAAAAACACCAATAAAATTAAATATTACCAAACTTCAGCGAGAAAAAGTAGTTAAAATAAAGCAACTTCATCAAAAAAAAATAATATAAAATGGTAGAATCTACTAATAAATTTTATTTTATTATTATTTATTTAATTTTTTATATAATTAATATTTTTATCAAGTATATCTTTTTTAATGTTCTTATTTTTTCCCTTAATTTATTATGACTATTATAATTATAAGTCTTTTTTTTATATTTCTGCTGTGACTTTTTTATTTGAAAATATTTTAATAATAATTTATGTTTTTTAATTCATACCATACAAAACTCGTTTAAAATAACAACAAAAATAATCCCTTATAAATATAATAAAATTTATATTTATGTATAAAATATAATAAAAAAAAGCAAAGTTTATAAAGATTGTCTTCATAAATAGCGCAAATAAAAAAAAATTAAAATATAGAAACGATAAATAAAATAGCGAATAATAGTAATAATTTCAAATAAAAAGATATAATAAAAAAAATTAAAAATTTACGAGATTACGAAAATATACATGAGAAAAGAAAAAAGAAATTAAACCAAAACGTAATCGTCATATTTATAATTGTTATAAATATTATAAAGTAAAAAAAATATAATATATTTATCGTTATTTTGATAGAAGTAAAAATTTATATAAAAATATAATAAAGAATTGAGAAATGCAACAAACAAAAATATAATTGTATATATTAAAAAAAATAATGAAAATTTTATATATAAATATAAATATATTGCGGTTATTTATTTTTTTGAAACAAGCAAAAAAGTGATTTGTTATAAATATATTATTTTCTCAATATAAATAGAATATTAAAAAAAACAATATCATAAATACAATATTTTCGATACAATTTACAATGCAATCATAATAATTATTATAATATATAAACTGAAAAAAATTAAACTTTTCTTTTCATGTACACAATAAAAAATTAAAAAGCTTTATTAGTATAATCATTAAACAAATAAAGAAAGATAAAGAAAATAAAAATAAATAAAATATACACATATATATGAAATATAATACGAAGAGGAACAATAATAGAACAAAAAAATTATAAGGTTTATAAAGTAAAGTTACTAGAAGAGTTGAATTGAAAAATGAGAAATAAGAGTAAGGAATATAAATAGTTTTTAAAATAAAGTTGTAGAAAATTAATGAACTGAAAAAAAAAAATTAAAAATTTTAATAATAATAAATATACAAATATAAAGTGGAAGTAAGTAGTAGAAAGCTTTAAAAGATCCATTAAATATGTTGAGCAAGTTTGTATCCAACAATTTTAGTCGTTTACTTAAAAAATTTTGTAATATTGTTTGTAGACTTATAAATCATTTCATTGGTTAATATTTTTATAATAAAAATAAGAACCAAATGAGACTGAATGTTTTCTTTAATATTATTAACGAGGAGGAACATTATGGCTTTAGGCACGCTGTCTTGTATATTCTTCCGAACAATATCAAAATACGAGTAGATAAGAGTTTCTATATTTTTCATGAATAGTATATAGTTAAAAAAGTATTTCATATCAAAAATAATATAGAATATAGATTTTACTAAAGCAGTTATTTATATAATAAAGTTAAATAACAAAAAGTTTATAACAATATTTTTTATATTAATATTTACATCATAAAAACAATAAAAGTAATTTTAAGTTTTGTGAAAGACAAATAGAAGAGTTTACTATGCTTATAAAAAAAGTTGTCAACACAAAAATAATTATATAAAGTTTTACTTATTATTTCCGTTTCCACCTGTTGCCGATTGGTTATGTTAAGAGACGCTGAGAAAAAAAATAGTGACCAAATATATTAAAAAAATACAATAAATAATACATGAAAAATAATGAGACTTCCCATAAACAATTATAATATCAATATAGATTTAAATTAAAAATAAAATATTATAATGATGTAAACTTTTCATAAAAAACTATTTAATGCTTTTTTCCTTATTTTTAATGCTTTCTTTATAATATTTGTACTAAAAAATTGCTAAAAAAAATTTGCGTATGATAGTGATTATGAATACACTACTTATTATTATCGTTAGTTATTACAAATTATTATATAATTTATTAAATTTTTAATTTTTTCCTATTAATTTTATTTATTCATTATTTTTAGTATTGTCATTATTATTTACTATATACACCAGTTTGACATAATAATGAAACTTTCATTTATAATGTAAGTAATATTTAGTAATGCTTAAAGAGAATTAGATAAATAACATATAAGTTTACGTATAACATAAGTAATAAAGCTGGATAATATGAAGTAAAAACATAGAATAAAGCAAAATATAAAACCTTTATAGTTGCCATTATCTTTAGATGCGTGAAACTCTTCACAGCTTTGGTTTTTCCCTGAAATAGTAATAATTCTTAGTGATAATAAAAAATGGTAATAGTAAAAAAACTACCAAAAAAAGAATTAAACCAGCCCCTTCTGTCGACTTTGGTGCCTTTAGTCTATAACATAAGCTGATTGGTCCAAACTGTAGTTAAGAATTTTATTCCCAACAATATGAAACCTTTGGTGTCCTCACTGGTGGATTTAAAGAAGAATCCTTTGATAAGCTTTCCCTCTCAGATAAAGTTTGCGTAGTTTTATTAGTGTCATTTCGAAGTCCGCAAATTTGTTGCTTATTGGTATTCTTTTTTATAAAATTCATAAGGAAACACGAGTTACATGGTCTAACCAATCATAAAAAAGGTAAAATGAAATAGTTATAACATCGGATGGAAGAGGATCCAATAGCAAAGGTTGTTCATAGGAGAAAGTGGAAGGGATTAATCGGTTTTTTTCTTTTTCTTTAGAAGTCTGAAAGAAGTTAAAATATAATAATAATAATAATAATAATAATAATAATAATAATAATAATAATAATAATAATAATAATAATAATAATAATAATAATAAAATACGTTGTCTAAGTTTTGCGATTTTGATTTATTGGAAGAAAAAGATTCATTTACTGGAGATTGCGATTCGTTAGATTGAAATTTACTAAACAACTGAGAAACCACTAAACAATTTATGACAATTATTATTATTATTATTGTTATCATTGATTCATTATAAAACCAAAAACAAAATTCGGATGGTTGGTGTTAATGTATGCAAGTTCCATTCCTAAAAAATAATGAATACACGTATATTAATCAGTGTAGGAACTCAAAATGACCCATCAGATTCTCTATAAGTTTACTGGTGGGCTCTAATCGAACCCGAAGCAGCGAACAAACGGACTCGCTTAATTGTTGGGATAAGTACTCAAATCGTTTTATTTCCTTAAAAAATATATTAAAACTTTAACTAAGGAAAAAAAGAAAACGTGACTCTAACTTCAGTCATGCATTGTTCGCATATAGCCTGCAGCTCTTCATAAACCAATTCGCAGCAGCGCAGAGAGGGTGCCAATAGGCGCTGAATTTGCCGTTTTACCTTAAAAAAAAATGAATAAATAAGTAAAAATATATAAAAAATAAAATAACTAATAATTCGAAGCAGATTTCCGGAACAAACAAGGCTTTTCTAGCGCCCTAAATTATTTATAGAAGAATTAGAACGCAGCGTTTAAGGTGCGAGAAATCTTGTGAAGTAGAACCGTGGCGTTCCTAAGGGCTGTACTGATTTCGTTAAAAGAAAGTTCCTCCAAAGCATCGAGATTTTCCAGCGCTTGACCAAACATTTCATGAAAAATAAACGAGATTCTCGCTCCTCCGTTTCTGATTAGTTATTTAAAATATTCCTTAAAATTTCTAAAAAAATAAAACCAACGACAACTTTTTAATTAATAAAAAAAAATTTAACCGCACTGATCGTAGTAGTAAAAATAACGACTAACGAATATAAAAATATAATAGTTTTATGCAATTTTTATACGGAATAAAACGTTGAAAGATACTTTCTAACGTAAAGTTTATGAAATTAGAAAAAAAACAAACTTGTGCTTACTGCTATAAATACTAAGGAAGCATGCTAAAGACATGAGACTACCCGAAAAGAGCGCAGAAGGGGAATAAAGGTTATGTTTAGTTTTTTTTTAAAAGGGGTAAAATAATATTCCAGGCAGTCAGGTTTGGACACCGCGATAAGAAAGCAGTATTTATAACGAACACCAGCCAATAGAACCGAGAACTTAATTATCAACCTCTACGCGCGCTATTCACGGCGTAGAATTATAAAGCTAAAAAATTAAGAAAAAGTTGCGAGTAGCCGAACTTCTAGCGTAAAAGTATTCTTGCGCTTGGTGGGAAAAAAAAACTTTATATATTAACATTCAAGAAAACTAATGTTAATAAACTCAATATACAATTCAGAAGTGGATAGATCCTTGGAGGTGCCGTCAATCAGAGAACAATAATCAAAAGCAAATTTTGACAAAAGTTGAAGAAGAAGACCGCCCTAATAAGTGATAATAACGATATATTATAAAATATAATGGAAGATAGCTTCAGCGTAAGAAACAATAAAAAAAGATAAAAAGAGGAGCGTAATAAAGCTAGCCAATAAAATGAGCTTAATGCAGTAAGGAAACCGCTTCACACTGATAAAAGATATAAAGAAAGTCATATGTTGAGGTGGAGCCTTTCACCTCATTGGATTAGAAAAGTCAGAAAACTCCACCAAAAATTATCATCAATGGGAATAATTTTAGTTAAAAACAAAAAATTCATACAAATAATAAAAACTTAAAATTAATTTAAGAAAATATATGATTATTTATAAAAGTCTATAAGAATTTTGAGCATATAGAAAAGAGTAAACCTTTTTATTCATAATATATATACATAACTGAAAACCTTTGTAATAACGATTTTTATTGGCTTAAATATAATAGAAAATCATTAATGAGTTACCAATAATTTTAAATTTATATTCTTATAGTAAAAATAGATATATAACAAGTAAATTCCAACGAAAAAAGGGAAAATTATACAATAGAAATATTAAAAAAAAATAATTCAACAATTATAATAAAATTAATTCATAAATTTTATTATATGATTTAATAAAAGTTGTATAGTAAAAAAGTTATAACTTTAATATAAAGAAATATATACACTGTAACAACTTTTTATATACAATTTTTTTAACATAATTATATTTTAAAAGAATACTTAAACTTAGTATATAAAACTTTTTTAACGACGAAAATTATAAAAAATATTATTTTAATGAAAAAACTCTTCAACTTTATATTCATTTATTGTAGATTTTTCTTTATTATAATTTTTTTACTGCTTATTATTTATACCATGTTTTTTTTGTAAACACTTCATTTTATTATAATTATTTCTTTATATTCAATACTTAAGTATAAAAAATATAATAAAAAATATTACATTTTATTAAAGAACGTAATATAAATCGTAATATTTGTATTATTATATACATTTTATATACAACTTTTAAAAATTTAAAAAAAATAAAAATAAAAAGATTATTTCATTAATAAAATAACTAAAGTTGTATATTAATAAAATAAATATTTTATTACAACTAGCTTCATTATAATTATATATAAAAACTATGGTATCTATATTATTAAGAAAACCAAAACCTTTACTTCACAACAAACAAAAAATATGTTTTGATAAAATTATATAAATATTTTTAACTCTTAAGAAAAATAATTACTATTTATTTATAAACTTTTAAATGTATAATAAAACTTGGAACAATAATCCTAAATATTTATAATAAATTATTTATTAATGAATCATTATTATATTTGGTCTTTAGAAAAGTTCAATTATATTTTATACATTTTATGGAAACTTTATAAAATTTTGTTATTTTTACTATAAAACTTTAATAATAATTAATATATATAAAGGAAAAATAATAAATAATATTTATATATAAAGTAAAAAAAAAACTATAATAATTAGTGGCCATAGAATTCATATTTATTAACTTGAACAAAAAAGTATATAATATGAGAACTTTATCGACGCGCTCAAGCAATGGATCGCCGTATAAATTTAGTTTATTTTGTGTTACTTGGATTTGCATGTGTAAACTTTTTTTGATTTCTGGTAAACATTTTTTAATATGTTGAAGAAGAATCTAAAGAAAAAGTTAAAAGTGTTAAACAAAAAAAATAATAAAAAGTTTACATAAATATAAAAATATTTGTATCAAAAATATAGTTCAGTATAATAAAATAATAACATTATTATAATTTATAAAAAATACAAATATAATTAATATGAAAAAATATTATCAACGATAACGAATAAATATAAACTTTGAAAACTGTTTATTTATTAAAATCATTAAAAATAATAAATTTATATTAAAAAGTTTATAAAGTTAAAAAAAATACTGAGTAGTAATTTTCTAAACGTAAGTATATATCGTAATGACAATTATATATGTTATTAATAAATTCATCATATGCATCACATAAAATAAAAAAGTTTACTTATTATAACGTTATATAAAAAATTCAACTTCACTCATTAGTATAAATAATAATAACAAATATAATAATAGAAAATAGAAAAAGTAAAAATAAAAGTTTTTTAAATATAATGATAATAATAACGAAAAAAAAAAAGTAAATTATAAGGTACTACTAATAATATTTTGATAAAACATAATAATATATATAATAAGTTATGAGTCATAAAGTTTTTAACGATTGTTAGTAGTTCAAAATAATAATAATCAAACGTAAAAAGTTTATATATTTTAATATATATAATAAATATATATAAATCTGTACTAAAGATTTTTTTTAAAAAAAGGCAAAGAAAAAATAATAATTTAAAGCAACCAATAAACCATATTATAAAATTTTAAAAGTTTTATTAGAAGGAAATTGTATAATTTCTTATAATAATAAAATAATAAATAAAAAGAAAAAAGTTTATTATATAAATAAACTTTGTTGAGAGTTTTGGCCAAGAAAACTGTTCCCGAACAATCTGCTATAGCAGAATATATAGGATGGGAGTAAAAATATTGCTTTTCTTTTTCTTTAGCTTCTTTCATAGAAACACGATCATTTATATCCTGAAAATATAATAATTTTTCTTTTAAAGTAATAATAATGTAAACAAAAAAAGTTTACTTAACAATATTGATAATGACAGTTAATAAAAACTTTTTAAAAATTAATATATACATAAGCAAATCAAAAATAATTTACGCAATAAATAAATATAAAAAATAGTATATATTTATATATATAAGTTTATAAAATGAAGGAATATAGAACTATTAAGTGAATAGTAATTTTAAGATAACAAATGATATATGATATATGAAGTTATATACATACAAGAAAAAATATGAAAAATTATAATAATAAATATAAGATTCTAAATAACAAACATATATTATATAAAAAATTAAATAAGTGAATGTATATAAAACATTAATTTATAGTAAAAATAATATATAATAATTATATAGCAAATATAAAATATATAAGAAATGAAAAAGTTTATAACGTAACATTAATAAAATATATAATATATAATCAATATAATAATAAGTAAACAATATAAACTTTTCAGTTTTATGAAGAGACCTTCTGAGAGCGATTAACTACGCCGATAAACCCGAGCTTCACTGTAACAACTCTAAAAAATTTAAACTTTTTAGCTTGAATAACAATGAAAAAGTTTATATAAAAAAGTATTAATGAAATAGAAAATAATAGAGTATTAACTTTTATAAGGAATATAAAGTTTATATCAAACAGTAAAAATTGTTATACAACTAAAATAAAAAAAAATGATTACTATGAATACATGAAAATGTAAAGAAAAACTAAAACGTTATTAAAAAACGCATATACTAAAAACTAAACAAGTAGTTTATATAAAAATTATAGTCAAGTATAATATATATATATAACTAGGCTGTTTTGCATAGAAATATATAAGAAAAACGTGAAAGTATATAAAGTTATATTACTTTCACTTTCCTTATATAAAGTATAAAATTATATAAACTTTACATAAAAAATAAATAATAGTTATATTAAATTAATATTGTAAGAAAATAACAATAAAAATTCTACGATTTCAAACTTTTTTTTATAAAAATAATACGAAAATAAAGTTTGCATATTTTATTACGTTAATAGTATTAATAAATATATTATAAATTTTTATTTAAACAAAGATAAGAAGAGAAAATTTAGTTCATATTATAAATAAATAATATGTAAACCATAAAAAAAGTTTGCTCATTATTAGTAAATTTAATAAAATATATAAACTTTTACAATTCTGAAAATTTCTTATTAAAATAACAATCTATAAAAAAAGAATAAAATTTTAAAATTGATAAAATTATAAACTGAAAAAAGGAACCGGCCAGTCAAAATGTCCAGCGCATCCGTTCCAGCATCCATTAAATCTAATTTAGTGCAAACGCCGATTGTTCGACTTCCGTCTGGGTCCACCTTTTATAGTAAAACTATAAGTAAAATAACTTAAAAAAATTAGATTTTAATTATATAGAGTTAATAAAACGAAAGATTGTGGTAAATTGTAGAGTAAAAAAGGAGTATTAATAATAGATATTTTTTATAAGAATGTCAGCAGTTAACAAGGAGGTATATAGATTTAATATATATGCAGCTGATGAGTAAAATTATAATATAATTTTATATAAAGTTTTAATAATATTTAATTCAAAATGCTTCTCGCCAATAAAAAGAAGCATCGGCATAAATATATAAGAATTCTAATATAATAAAAAGATTATGTAGGTGAAAAGATTATTTTTGGAAATAAATTATTAAATTTATAAAACCAAATAGAATCAGCAAAACAGGGGCATCTGTAATAAATAAAAATAATTCTATAATATGAAAAAATTGCTTTTTTTGCTAATTTAAGAGCGTCCGAATTAGCGATATCGGTATTCGCTGCGGTGACTGCCAAAATAATAACATTTTCTTTCTGGAAACAAAAAAAGTATAACAAAATCTATTAAATTAAATTAAAAACGAGACAATTACAAACTTTTATATAAGATAAGACAAGTTCAACAACTTGTTGTTCAATATTTTCGGGTTGATCCCCGACGGGAATTTTGGTGATTCCAGGCAAGTCGACTAGAGTTAAATTTAATACATTCTCGCTACATATTTTTAAATGAATCGGTTTAGAACTGATCCCTTTATTTTTCCCTGTTAATCTTTCTAATTGGTAAAAAAATTTAATTATTACTAGCAATTCTCATGAAAATTATTTAGAACCTGTTTCTTTTTCTATTTCTTCCCGAATTTTTAGAAAATCATAAAACTTTTCCGCAGGAAGATGTAGAAATTCCCCCCATTCAATTCCAGACTTACAAATATCTGAAGAAACTTTTGGTAGATTGACTAGCTGCAAAACAAGAGGCCGGCGGGTAACAATCCCTGTGCCGCGAGGCAAAAAATCTCTACCTACAAAACTTTCAAGTACGCTGCTCTATATTTAAATCTTGTGAGTTTTAAATTTCTACGTAAATTTGTTAATATGTACATTACTTTTCCACTACTTTGGGATCCAATGACGGCAATTTGTGGAAGACCTATAGGATCCTCACGCAAAACATTGAAAACGTCTTGCAACTTATTAATGGTGGGAATTAACTCGTCCATGTTTACATTTATTGCCTAAAATTAGCTGTAGTACCAGAATAGTCGTTACTTATACACAACAGCATAACTAACATCGGCAGGTCTTTGCTTAGCAAAAACTATTACCCCGAACGATTGAGCCGAGCTTTTAAAGGGTAAGCGTACAAGCGTACGATATTGAGTGGCATAGTCCGACTTGAACAATTAATTTGTACAGCGTAAACATGGTTAAAACCTTTGAGTTTTTCTTATGCATATTCTAATTATTATTTTCAAATGGAAAGTTTGGTGCCTTCAGGAAGATAAATACTAAAGAAAATAACTTGTTACAGCAGCGTGATCAATACTTAATATTTTACAATTTAAAGAATACTCCTTAGTAATAGTAATATAAATATTAATAAAAAATAATTTTATGATAAAATAACTGAGCTATACTGTACAGATGAACTAGCAGTTTTACCTATGAGGTAGATTAGGGGCAAAAGATATGATGATATTGAAGCAAACTAATGTTACTACATTCTCAAGGCTTGCACGACAGCCAGTTGCCTCGTTAATCAATAATTTTAAAAAACATCTAAATAACTTATATTATTATTCCTTTTCTATGATCTGCTTTAATTTTTTAAGTTAAAATCAACCTTGAAGAAGTATTTAAATAAGCTTTCAAATTCTTTTAATTTAATATATTATAGCAGCTCAAACCGATGGTTGTCTCCCCTTTAAGAAAAATTGTAACAATTTATGTTTTAGAAGGTGAGCATAGCTATTAGTACAATTAAATCGGTAACTTGTTTATTTTGTAACATTGTTCAATACACAATTTATTTTAGTTAAAATCGATAATTTGTTACTAAGTTTTTAGATCTTTCAGGGATTACATATGTATGGTGATTAACTCATTCTTTTACTTAATAAACTTATACTACTAAGAGTTGACCGAATGTGTAATAAACCTTACAAATTTTTTAAATTTACCGTAATATTTATTTGGATTTAAACATCAAAACGAATTTCGCCAACGGGATAAGACGGGAGCGGGCAAGTCATACCCGTACCACAAGAGTACAATTTTATAAACTTTAAAAGAGAAGCAAATGGCGTTTGTTTTAAGGATCATAATAATATAAGCTTAGTTTTTTTTTAAATTTATGGAAAAGCAGGGGTACTCTACCTAAAGCCCTGATAAATGTATATGGCTTCTTCTTGCACAATTTCGCTAGGGCTTTGACTAAAAAAACTTTTAGAGTTTTCTGTCACCTTATAATTAACTTATTATTAAAAACAAAAAATTTTCAGGTTTACATGTTATGTATCACCTATAAAAACTGGTTTGATGAAATTAATCATTTTTAATAACTTTACTTAATAGTTATTTCTATTAAACTGTTCCTTTTCTTAAATGGCAATGCAGCTTTTACCGGGAAAACTGAGACTTCCATGCTCAAAATTAAACAAGTTACATATAATTTTTTTTTCATTTCTTTAAATCCTTTAAGTCAATTATAATAGAATCTAAGGGAGAATTTTTAGAAGTGTCGTTATCGACCTTGGGCTTAGAAACTTGCGTTTCTTCGGTTATGAGCTGGGGCAAAGATTTAAGAACTAAAGCACACCTTTTTAGTAATATAAAAACATCTGGAAGAGATTTAACTTGGTCCGCATATATCCCTAAAGATTTAGATTATTTAAAAAAATAGTTAGTAAAGTAAAAAATGCTCAATTTAAAGAGTTACCCAAGCCAGTTCCAACACATAAGCCAAAAAACATCCTCCTGTTAATCTGTGCAAATAATACTCCAACAACAAAGCCTCGAGTAAAAGGAGACCAACTCAACTCCGACTTTTCCCTCATGAACTTAAAACAAAAGAAGTTAATATTAAGCTTTACTTAGCAAAGTAAAAAAGCTATTCTTGATAAACACTGGCTGTAGGTTCAATTATGGTAAGTTTAACAAAGGCGGGTCTCCTTTGCTCGAGTTATTTAATTTGGAGTTTGTTGTACATATGAGTATACATTTTTTTAAAGCCAGTTCCTCTATTTTTTTTTATCTAAAAATTTTTAAACTGCTAACATAAAAGGATGAATATATGTGTACAATCCATGACATAAAAATAAAAATATTGTAGATATATACGTTCAATTGTTTAACGTATTACGCTTTCCTTCAAAAGGTTACCGAAGGGGAGCTTTTTGAACTATTTTGTATTTGTGTAAACTGCTGGAAATTTATAACTTACATAGTAAATAACTGGCTTATAGAAGTAAAACTCACATTTTTTCTAAAGAAGGCCGAGCTAACTTCTCAACGGCAAACGAAATGGGTAAACTATCAACATCTTAAAGGAAATTCTGGTCTCTTGGATACCACTAAAACATAATTTACTAACTAAACCTACTGAATAGGCATTCTTATTATTAACGGATTTATTAAATTTATTGAAACTCAAAGAGTTTAGATAGATAAGGATTTAGACAGAAATAAAAATTTCTCTATAAAAAGAAATTGAGAATGGTGAAATGAAAAAAAAAGTCACAGGACACCAAATGAAATTCCTTAAAATGTCCACACGATATATAAATATTACTAAAATCCCGGAACGGATGATAGCAATAAACCACCCCCCCGACATCTTTAAAGCTACATAACATTACCCCAGAAGACCATTTCAGATATAACATGGGCATTTACAGTTTAAGATAGTAGGAACTTCAACTCCAAAATAACTTAAGGTTTATTTCACTTTAAGCCATCTAATTGAAGGCTTACAACTTAAAATTTTTAAGCAAAAACCTTGTAAGTTTTCATCATCAAAAAAACTACTTCAGTATGGTTATGAAAATGACAAAAAGAACACTTTATGTTATATGTAACGTTTAAGGTTCAAAATTCTAAAAGAGCTATCAAGCAATGCTAGAAAATTATGCTAAGGGCTTCTTTTGATATTAACTCACTAGGGTTTCTATAGTGAATAAAAGTTCATTTAACTTAACTCTAAACAAAATAAAAGTTCCAACCCTTAACCGAAAGTGCTTACCTCCTTATATGAAGAATGCAGAAAGTTTGCCAGAAAAGCAAAGTATCTGCAAACTTTTACATTAAAGCAAAAAAGTGATAGTTAAACCTCAGCTTAATGTATTTGAGGGCGTATCCACGTTGGCCACGAAAGACTTCATTAATACAGTTTCCGCAGCTATTCGCGGCGTTACTAATGAATAAATAATGTCAGCATATAGCGCTTATATCGCTAGTAAACGTCAAAGGTTTTTTGCATTATGCTTTTTTTTATGTGAATGTCTATTTCTCTCTGTTTTTAGTGCTAAGAAAAATGATAGATTTTTACTTCATAAAAAAAAAATTCCTCGGGTTATGAATTGTCCTCAAAAAAAAAATAGTAAAATAGCAAGGTTCCTTTCGTTCTTTTATATTATATATATATATTTATTTAGAATCCTAAAATTATAAAAATTTCGTTTGGTCACAGTTACGTTTGATTTAAAATCAACATTAAGTTGGTATTTAAATAATAAAAAATAATAATAATTTTTAAAAAAGTTTATATTATAATGAAATATATAAAGTCTAGTGTATCTGCAATAACTTTAAGGTTTAAAGTTTCTATAGTTGGTTTTTCAGTTTTTAGTAAATTCCAAACGCTTTTATATAATATTTTTATTTAAGTAACTTATATGTTTTTTTATATAACTTTACAGAAAACATGAGTTTTTAGTCAGCGTTGTTACTATTAAAAAATTCTTAAAGAGCTCTTGTTATATATATTTTCTTAATCGAGGGAAAGTAATTAATATTTTCTTTATATTTAATAGTGAAGTAAATCTAAATGTTGAATCTTTACCTTCTGAATCTACACTTGAACAGTAATTATGTATATTATATATATTTTTACTTATTTTACTAATTTTATTTTTTTTATATAAATTCTATTTGAGATTTATTACTATGCTTTATACAATTTTATTTTTTTTTATTAAAAAATTAATAGAATTAAGTTAATTTGAAATTTATTAAATTATATGAATAAAGTTATATTTGCTATACAACCTTGATTTCCTACTTTTCCCTTTTAGTAAAATTATTATTTTTGTAAATTTATATTTTGCTTAAATATAGATTAAAGGAAGTTAGCAAGCCAAACGTCTCTTCTGAATTTACAGATTCTGAATCTAAACAGTATTTTTTATTATAATAAAAAAAAATTCTAATTTTACACTTTAAAATTGTAGAGAGATTTCCGATCTTCAAAGTGTTCGCCCACTCTTTCAGTTTTCTTTCATATTTATTACTTTTTTTACACATTTATAATTTTTTTTAAATTCTTTAGAGAAACAGAAATTCTAATTGATGTTCAGCCTATGGAGTACTTATATATATAAAGATTTTTTCTAAGTTTACTAAAAAGTTATAATATACTTATATTTGACATACACAACTGCAGAGTAATTTCTGAAGATCTTACTAATAACCAACCTCAGCAGTATCTTTTATATAATTGATTGCAGTGCATCTATTACGAATCATTTTTTTTATTATAGTCCCTCAAAGCTTTCTGAAGGATTTGTAGAATCTGGGTTACCTACTAAAAAGTCCAAGTCGTTATTTTTTTATTCCTTTTTAATATAAATTTCATTATACTTTTTTTTTTAGTTTGTCGGATATTGAAAAGGGTAAAGGTGGTATTCAAAATTTGCAACTCGGTGGGTGAGTTATGATTAGTTTATATAAAAGTATAGTAATTTAGAATTTTTTATAAAATAATTATATTAATTTTAATATTTTCTATATATTTTATAAAATAATGTCTATAAAAATTATAATTTGGGTAGCAATTTTATAAAAATAACTTTTAACGAAATTTATGCAAACTACTAAAATTTTAAAATTTTAACTTACTTTAATTGATGTTTATTATTTTTATAGTCAAGCTTACTATCTTGTTAGTCTAATGAAACTTTTTATAGTTTAAACTTTTTCCTTTTTATATTCTATAATGTGAAGTTGTTTATTTTTAGTAAAATTAGTAAAGCTTCTTGTTAAATTATAGTTAAACTATACTTTTTTGATGATGTTAAATTTTAATAAATCATGTTAATTGTAAAATTTATTATAATAGTAATAATGAGATATTTAGTTAAAATCTAAACTTACTTGGTATACATTTACTTTCGTAAGTTAGTTGATTGTACTTTTTTGGGTATTAATTTTTTTAATCTTTTCATAATAAATAACTTTTAAGTATTTATTTAATTAATATTTACTTAAAAATTTTAGTTTGTAATTTAGAACTTTTATAAAACTTTGTGTTATAGTATTTTGAAATCAATATTGTTTTTAGAAATGCTTATTTAAACTTTTTGTATATTAATTTAAAAAAAAGCTTATAAATGTGCTTTTTATAAATTTTTTTTAAGAATTAAGATATTTTAAATATTTTGCGTAGCTTGATTGTTTTCTATATATATACTTAGTGTTTTTTTATTTACTTATAAATACAACATATTAAGCACGGGATCCCTTAGTTATATATATAAATAATAAAACTTTAAGTTGAAATTAATATGGTATAAAAAAATATTTTTGTTATAAAATTTATAATGAATATACTGCTCACATTTAAAAAGAAATAGTTTTTGAGCGGCAAAAGTCAGATGCTTTGGGTCACTTGGGTTATCTATTCCGCACTTGTGATTTCCATAATTTTTTTTAGCTCAACTTTCTTTTTTTTTAAAATTTAGAAATTATCAATTTTTAATGAAATTGAAACAGATATTATTGTTAATATAAATTATTATTTTATTTTACTCTGTTATACAAGTTTATTATTTTTATATATTTATAAATCTATATAAAAATGTTTATTTCTTTATTTTTACTATTAAAAGTTTTGAGTTTTTTATTGTTTAAATATTTATTATTTATGAGTTTTTAGCCTTTGCGTTAAATTAATATCCGTAGTTTTTGTGAACTATAGTAGCAAAAGTTTAAGGAACGAATAGAATTCTTGTGATCTAGTGGGAGCCAATAACCACTTGAAGTTCATTGTAATCACGAGCATAAAAATAATTGCGTATTAGCTTACACACGTGTAAGCTGTTTGGCACCATGTGCTTTCGAGGAAAGTTAGTTTTGCGTGTTTAGCCCTGAGCACATTAGTATAGCGAATATTTGCCAAACATAAGCAGCTATTTACGGTTAAAAATTTTAATGAGCTCATAAACTTTAATGAATGGATTTTATTGGTAATGCAATAAGAAGAGTAGTGAGCTTGCACTCCTATATTTATTCGAGCGCGGCTGTTGGCTTTTTTTTTTAGTTCGCTTTAACCTAACTTTAAATGTATGTTTGCTGTTTATTATTTATTATTATTATATATAAGGATTTTCTATGTAATTTTTTACTTTGTCATTACCTTTATTACGTTATTTTTTATATTATTAATCTTCTTTTTTCTTTCTTTCTCATTTATTATTATAATTATTAATATTATTAATAAATTTATTTTTTCTCTAGTACTTAAAAGTTTTTTGGTAGTATTCTAATATTACGTAGCTTTCAGTATTTTTTTTACTCAGTAAAATTTTTTTAATGTCCTATGAATAATAAAGATTATATTGTTTTTTTAGCGACCTTTCTACTTTTATTTATTATATTTATATATATATATTTTTTTACAAACTTTTATTGTGTTTCACCATTTTTAGACCACAAAACATAATTTCATGGTGCCCGAGTGAAACCTGTTTGTGCGAAATTATCACAGGCGGAGTTTGTATAACACTTTATTATCTACAGGTCTTCTATAATACTTATTTATTCGCTTTTTCTATGATATTTTATACTTCATAATTTTATTTGAATTTTAAATATTTTAATTTTATGATTATTTTAGCACGTTTCTATTATTGGTTCGTGCATTCTTCAAGTGTTGCACGGCTGTGTTATTGTTGATGGTTATATGCTTTCTTGCGACGGTACTCTTCCTGTTATTAGCAGTAAAAGTGCGAGTTTAGTAACAATAAAAGGTTTTTTAATATTAATATTATTACTACTCCCATTATTATTATTGTATTATAATATGATTGTTTGCTTATTGTAACTTTTTCTTAAAATATTTCATATAAATTTTTTTCTTAATACTATATAAAAAAATTATAGAGGTGGAAAAGTAATTTTTTAAATTTTTTTTTAAAGAATGTTTTTGAATATTTTAAATAATACCGTTTTGCAGGTAATCAACTCATTTTAGTGAAGGACATATTAGAAAAGAGCTTATTTGTAGTAAATAATAATAAAAGCATTATAATAATATATTTATTGAAAAATTTATCAACTAAAAATTATAATTTTTTATTAAAATTTAATAATAACGATACTAAAATAGAAAAATAATATAATAATATTTTAATATTACAGTACTATAAAGTTTATTACATAAAAAAATTAAAAAAAAAATTCCCTCCAATTTTACATAATTTTTATATGGGAAACATTAAGTTTATTTAGTAAATAACTATTACCAAAAAAATTTTTAATAACAATTTTATTCCTCCAGGATAAGATAATTTTCATTTATAAAACATCAAAATTATACAAAATATTTTATATAATAATAATTTCCCCCCCTCCAACTTAATATAATTTTATATGGAAAACATCAATTTCTTAAGAATAAATTACACAAAAAAATTTTATAATTATTTCTTCTTCATTTTATTATAATTTTTATGGAAGACGTCAAGTTTTTATGAAGAAATATTAATATAAAATTTTTATAAATTTTTATTATAATAATTTTTCCTTTAGTTTTATATAATTTTATATGGAAAACAAAGTTTATTTAAAAGATAAAATAATTATCGAATTATTTTGTTAATTTTTTTCTCCAATTTGAAATAGTTTTTATAGGAAAACATAAATTTTGTTTAAGAACAAAAATTTACATAAATTATTATGATTTGTGTATCCAATTTATAATAATTTTTATACGGAAAACAAAATTTACTAATGAAAAAGATTATTTACCAAAAATTATGGAATATTTTTTCACCAGTTATAGTAATTTCTATACAGAAAACGTCGAGTTTTTTAAGAAAAAATTATCCACAAAAAATTTACAGACAGTAATATTTTTTCCATCCAAGTTTTAAAGTTTATTTAAATTAATTTTTATGTGGGAAACATCAAGTTTCTTCAAGAAAACGTTATTTTTTTTTAGATATATAAAAAACTATGAATTGAATTTTATTTTACTTTATAATAGTTTTATATATAAATTTTTTATTTATGTATATCAAATAATTATACATTACTTAATATTAAGTAAACCTGTAAAAATAATTTAAAGTTAAAATAATATAGTTTTCAGAAATATAATAAATAAAATGGAAAACATTAAGTTTATGTAATAAAATTTCTGAAATTTGTGGTTCTTGAAATAATTTTAATTAAAGGAACTAATTTATTTGATTCGGATGATATGATGGATACTTAATATTAAGTAAAGTAATAAAAAATTAAAAAACTATAATAATAATATCTTTTTCTAATAAAAATAATATATCAAATGGAAAACGTTAATTTTTTATTAAAAATTCATAAAGATGATTTTTAATTAATTTTTAATATAAAAACAAATTTTATTTATTTTTAATAATAATATAATACCTAATACTAAATAAAGTAATAAATATCTGAAAATTTAGATTAATACTAATAGCAAGATACGGTCATCATAAAGAGTTGCTACCTTGACGTAGGTGTTTAATTGCTCGAACATTCCCGAATAAAATAGCACGTCTTCCAGCTTTTTTCGCTACTTTCACTTTGTTGATATTTTAATACTTCGACACTTTTTTTTTACTTATAAAAAATTAGAATACTATACAGCTTTTTCGTTAATACATATGTTAACTTTAAAAGCTTCTAAAAGTTTACTTGAGAACTTACAATCACTTTCATATTTGTTGTTATCGTTATTATAATTTTGCGGTTCAAATATATGAGCAGTAAAAAACCACTTTTTTGTGCAGGTTGGAGAAACGATAGACTTAATTTAACCAATGAAACACTGTTATTGAAGGTTACTGTAATTCTTCTTTAACTCATACTGTTTTACTTTTTTTTTTGATATGATATATTGACGAAAAGTTTATATATTTTTACTTTTCTATTTTTTATTATTATATAGATTTTTTCATTGAAGGCAGAAGTTTTATTCTATTAATAAATAATATATATATATACTTTTTTTAATACAGAAGGATTTTCTTGAAGTTCCGCTGCTCAATAAAGTTAGTGAACTTTGCAAGCAAAATAATGACAGCAATATTTCAGTTTTGTTAATAAAGAATTCCAACTTTTCTATAAAGTTTGTATAATTATTATTGCTATGAATAATTATTATTATACTTTTTTATATAACCCACGTATTTTTGAATTAATTTTTATATATATTTGCTTTATTAAAATACATTTCTTACTATTTGATGTTAAATACATATTTTTTTTTATACTTTTCTTAACCTTATATATATATATCTTATTTAAACTTTTCATATATTTATAAAATTTTCTTGTATAATTATGATTATATTTTTTAGTTTTTATATCAGTAAATATTTATTTTAATCTTTATAAATATTTTTACTTTAGGAAGTTATAATAATAATAACAAATATAAAAAATTTACTTTTTTAGAGAACATTTATTTGACTTTTCAGAAGTTTCGAGTTCGTTTGACTTTGAAGTTCGCCATAATTTTCCAGAACTTTCCAATTCTCAATTTACGTTTCAGTTGGTATTGCTTAACTTTTACTGAAGAATATAAAAGTTTAAAAAAAAAGAAAAAAGAAATTAATAATTTGAAATGAATAGTACTGTACATTTATATATATTTATTTATTATTTTAGTTTTTCTATTATTATTATTTTATATATTTTTTGATAAAATAATTTAATATATTGTTTTATACTTTTCATCATGAATTTATTTTTTTTACTTATTATAATAAAAGCTAATATTATCTGTTCGATTTACTTTTTATAAATTAAAGAATTATTTATTAATATTTTATAAAAGAATAAATATTTATTATTCGATTTTTTTAATATAGCTAAAATATTTATATATAAACTATACCGTAGCATTTTAAATTTTTCTACTTATTATGAAATAATAAATATACGTTTTATATAATATAAGTTTAACTATATCATATTACTTCTATATTATATTATATATTATTTGTTATATTAACTTAATATCTTAATTTTTTACTTGTTCTAATAAAAATAAATATTTATTCTACTATTTATATAATATAACTTTAACTGTAATATATTTTCTTTTACTTTTTTTCTATTATATAATATTTTTTGAATATAACTTTTCATATTTATTTTTTTTTACTTCTAGAAAATGTTTTTATATTACTTAGTATAACTTTTATATTAACTTATTTTTTGCTTATAATTATTATATTAATATTTATCGGTCAAATTTACTCAATATTACTCAACTTTATATTAATTATTATTTCTTTTAAGATCTGTTATTATTAATATAACATTTTTATTAAGATAACTTATTACTTTACTTTTAATGCTTGCAATTACTCGTTTTATAAGATTTTAATATATATTTTGCTATTTATTTATATTATATGCATAAAAATATTGTGTAATATATGAAAGTTTTTCAAAGAAAAATTTAAATATTTCATATTTTTTTATGAATATAAAAAATTTTTTATTTGTTGTAAGTCGTATTACTTTTTTTAGTTGATTCTAATGTAACTTTACATTTTAATTTTTTAAAAAAATAAAACTATTTTTAGGTCCCACCAATTGTAGAGCTTCCTCCTAATATTATGACTAATCAACAGGAGGCTGTGATCGAAAATCTTCGGACTCCTCCAAGTTAGCCGTTTTGTATTGATAATATATTTATAAAGTAATTATAATAATAATAAATAATAATTCAGTTTTTTTATTATATTATAATAGGTCTTATTTTATTAAATATAGTTAATATTAAAACAATATATGAAAAATTAAAATTATAAAAAAATATATACAAAATGATTTCTAATATAGAAGAAGTAATCACAAGTAAATAATAATTTGTAATAATCAATTCAAAATTTGGATAAAGCAAAAAAAGTTGAGTAATCGCTATAAATAATAATGAGCTAAAAGAAAAATATAATATATAATATATAATAATATGTAAAAACCTATACTAAGATATAAAAGAAAATTCATATAATATACTAAGAAATTAAATTTAATAGGAATATTAAAACAGAAAAGTAAATTATCATAATTAGTAGGGAATATATATATTATTTAATTATTAAGGAAAATAAAATAAAATATAAAATAGTAAAAAAAATATTTATTAAAGAAAAATTTGAAAAGTTGATGATAATAAAAAAATTAAAAATTAAAAAAAATGCAAACAATAGAGAAATAATAATTATTAATGAAACCAAAAAAAATTATAATAAATAATATTTTTAATAATAAATTATAATAGAAAAGTAAAGTTATGATATTTCTAGTAACATTATTACGTTATTGAAGTTATTTAAGTTTTATTTTTAAAATATTATTTTTTATTTTATTTATTTTTAATTGTAAAAAAATAAAAGAAAAATTTTTATTTATAAAGTTCTAAAAGTTTTATTGTTTATTATATTTTATAATATTTTTATTTTTTGTTTAATAGTTTATATAAAGTTATTAACGTTTTATAATAATTATAATTAATTTTCGTTTTATTTATAGTTTATTATGTTATAATTTATACTTATGAAAAAATAAAGGAATAACATTTATTATAAAAGTTTTAAAGATTTATTTTAATTATAATTTATTTTGTTTATTATATTATTTTTTTTCCTTATTAAAAAATAAAAGAAAAAAAATATTTGTTATAAAGTTTTTAAAGTTTTTTATTTTGTTTACTATATAGTTTATATTTACTTTCAGTATTAAAAAAATGATAAAAAATATATTATAACTTAATAAATATTATTTTTATTCTGTTTTATTATATATTTACTTTAATATTACAGAAATGAATAATTTCATAATAGTTTTTTAAAGTTTTCAAAAGTTTTATTCTTGATTGTTTTACTTTTCTTTATTTATATATATATTTTTTAAGTATTGCATTATATAAATTGGGTGTTATGTTTATTACTGAAAAACACAAAGCTTTATTGTTAATATTTCTTATATTATACTATGTAGCTTTTCTTTATGATTTAAGATATTTATATATAATTCTTTTGTTAATATTTTTCTTTTTTATATTATTGTATGTAACTTTTTTATTTTTTTTATTATTTTATATAATTTTATGTTTACTTTTATATATATATTTTAAGTTTTTATTAAAAAAAGGTCAACTGCCTTTATAAAAAGTTTTTTTTATTGTTTTTATATAGAAAACTTATTTAACAAATATTTGTTTTACTTTTATTATTATATTTATATAATATTAAAGTTTTACTTAATGGTTTTTATATATATTTTTATTGAAATTTAAATGCTATTCCTACAATTATAAAGTTTTATATCGTAAAAACATATGTTATCTCTGTTATTAGTGCAATGAGAATTATTATATTTAGTATTATATTTTAAGCCTAATTTTCTTAAATATTTTTTTTTGACTTTTTGTAGATGATTCTTGCCCACCAATCGTCTTATTGCTTGGCGCTAGGAATTCTGGAAAAAGTACGTTTTCAAGATTTTTTGTGAATCGGATGTTAAGGTTGTGCCATTATTATGAAATATTATTATTGGTATTGTTATTATTATTTCTATTAATATTTTTAGGTCCCACCAAGCCGTGATGTATTTAGACTGCGACTTGGGTCAAAGCGAATTTATGCCGCCGGGGCACGTGTTTTTTCTTCATTATTTTTAGTGCATATATATAGTTTAATTATGAAGTTTATATTATTTATTATAATGAAATTTTATCTGAGTACTTTTTACTCTGTTTCGAATTAATAGTTATAATTATTACTATCTTAATTATTATTATAATAGTCTATTTTTATTTACATATTGTTTGCTATTCATTAGATTTTTGAGTCTAACGAAAAGAAGCGTACCCATATTTGGAACTCCTTGTTGCCACCTACAAAAACCTGAAAAGTTTCATTATTACTTTTAATATTTATTTTTTTATGAAAATATTTGATTGAAAGTAGCTTTTACTTTAAGATAAAGAGGTGCGTTTTTTTAGTATTATCACATGCTCGCCATAATTTTGATATTACCACGTGTTAAAACACGTGCGCTTCTAGGGTAAAGCCATTTTTTTTAAAGTTATTCTCGGAGATGTATAATCTATACCAAAAACTCGTTTTTTGGGTCATTATAATAATTAATGGCCCTTTATTTTTGCTCATTTTGGGTCCAGCCAATCATTAAAACGCTCAGCATACATCTACCAATACTTATACTTTTGTATAATAGAGCAGTCCAGTTAAGTACGTTAAAGTCCCATGCGTGCCTATATTTTATATGTTCCTATAATGATGCGAAACTGCCTGCCACGTGTAGTCACTGATTATATTGATATTTCGAAAGTTTTAATTTTTAGTAGCTAAAAGTATTTTTTTCTAATAAGCTTCCTTTATGGTGAGGACCAGTCTTCTATTTTTAACCTAAGTAAGAAAAGTACATACAAAGTTATTATAAAGCCTCTTTTTTTATATAGAGAATTTCCTATATATTTATAATTATTATATATTCATTTATATCAAATCTTCAAGTATAATTTTTTACTTTTTATTATTATTATTATTATTATAAACTAACTATTTTTTGTATCACCTTTTAACACTTTTTGACGAAGAGCCTATTTTATTGGAGACACCACGTGTCAGAGGGACCCGCATTATTACCTGCTTTGCATAAAAGAGCTTTACCAGTTATACAACGGAAAGTATAGTAACTTCCCTTTGATAGTTAATACACACGGTTGGCTGGTAGGTAAGTATTATTATTATTATTATTATTATTATTATTATTATTATTATTATTATTATTATTATTATTATTATTATTATTATTATTATTATTATTATTATTATTAACAGCTTAATTTTTTAAATGTGCGGTTTATTATAATGCGGTGTAAATATTAAATAAAGTTTTAAAAAGGTTTAAGGATTTTCACTAGATGTAAAATTTAGCTTTAAATTTTTTTTAATAAAAGTTTCACTGATATTAACATTATTATTATTAAAGGGCTTGGACTCATGATAATCGAGTGTATTTGTACAATAGTAAACCCCAGCGACATTGTACTGCTGGCTATTACTGAAAAGTATTTTTTATATATACTATTAAAAGTTTCGAGTTTTCATTAAAAATTACTAAAAGAGAATTCACAGAGAAGTTTAGTACTCTATTAAACGCCAAAGCAGATTATTTTGGCGTCGTTAAGGAGCGTAAACGAAGTTTCAGCAAAGTAACTGTTACCAATATTCACGCTGTAGAAGGCTATAAAAGAAAACGAAAGTCCAAAACATTGTAGTCTACAATTTGATATTTAAAGTTTATAAAATAGTGCAAAAGTTGGTGGGAAGTTGTATTTTTCTGTATTTTAAAAATATTCACAGGAAATACAAGGCATCGTTTCATCGGCTAATGTCATTGGCCGTTTATTTCGCATGTTGCACTCCCATTTGTTTTCAGGCTCCTTATGAAGTTTCTTTGGATGACGTACAAGTGGAGCTTTTGTATGACGTTGTAGGTTTTGTTTATTTACATAATAATCATAATCATAATAATAATAATAATCAGGTTGCTAAAACTCAACATCTTTGTGCTATCAATGGAAACTTTGTGGGTCTTTGCGTTGCTGATAAAGTAACTTTCATAATTTTCCTTCTTATTAGTTTATCTACTGTTTACTCCTTAAGCCAGGGCCAAAAAGACCACTTGAGTGTCTCGGTTTAGGTATTATTTGCAACCGTTTTATTTTATTTGGTCGATATTTTTTAAGCATTGTGCAGCCATTGTCAGGGCCGTAGACGTTGGCAATCGTAAGCTATATATCAACACACCATTGGATGCTCGCGAATTGGAACGGGTAAATGTGCTACAAAAGGGCGTCATTGAGATACCCATTGTCATGAGGACGCAGGTGACTTGGCCTTCCAATGCGTCTGCATGATCACGTAAATATATTTTTTATGTCTATTAGGGAGCGTATGGCCATGTGCCTTACACCCAGCAGCCCGTTTATTCAGGAAGCAAAGGCAGGCGGAGTGTTAACCGCCACATTATGGGCTCTGGCAAGAAAGTTAATCGTCTTGTAAAACGAAAACGTCTTATGCGGAGTCGCTGAAACCCTCACTTATTGGAAAATAAACATAAAAACTCCACGAATGAATTTAATGTTGGGTTACTCTCTACAGCTGCCCAGCCAATGTGCTTTTATTTTGCATGAAGCGCGAGTCAAATCTCCCGCCGCCGCTAAAACTTTCCACTGGCGCGTCCAAGCCACCACCTTTACCCCACGCCCATCCTCGTCCGCCTCTTCCTCCACCCACGGAAGAACCCTGAATCCCTCGTGCTCCGCGTCCGCCGTGGCCTTCACCTCTTAGTGGGTATCGCCTGTAAAATATAGTAATAAAAAAGGTGGGGCAATTCGGCTGAATAGTACAAAGCAAACCTCGTGACCTGAGAATCATGTGGACCGACTCGCCCGCGAATGTTGTCCCGGTAGCCATAAACGCCCGTCAACATATCCAAGAAGCGCTCATTATTTTCCACGAGGACGGCGCCCTTTTTTATATAAAAGTGAGCGAAAAGAAATAATAAGAGGATCCGACCTTATCCGCCAGCTGCTTAGCCAGGTGCTGCAGCCTGGTTGGCTCGTTCTTGTGCATGACGATGCAGTCACGCTCTTGATCCCATGAGGCTCGTAGCTCCCCACGAATCATTAGTCTAGTCACGAGGTTCCTTACGTGTTTGGAGTTGAGTTCAAACATTCCACTTAGTTCGTCCAATCGTAAGGAGTCATACATGGGGCCGTACGTAAAGAGATACGTTTTTAAACTGTGCAAAAATAGTAAGGAATAGTAAAGTTCATGTGGTATAGCGATAAGGAAAAAGTCACCCCTCCTCCTTGACTTTGGCCTCGAGGATCTCTTTAACTTTGTCTAAACTTGCCAAAAGCGGCCACACTTTTATATTAAACAAGAGATCACATGCTCCCTTCCAGTTACCTAATAATAACAATAATTATAATGAATGTAATAAATATAATAATAGCAGAAACACCATGGGAAAGACACTTGGCCGCAGCTACAATGTGCTCGCGCGTGTTCTCTGGCGGGCCGCTGAAGGGCAAACGGTTGTTGTGCTCGAGAAGTCTTCGAAACTGCTTTGAGATGACTCGTCTTTTATTGTCATACGGATTGGCCGCCTTTAAAGTTTTATTAAAAAAATAAAAAATTGCATAATTTATACTTCATTAAAAAAATATTTATAACATAACAAAGTTTATTAACCAAAATAATGAAATATAGAAAACTTTTTTTAAAATTTGTAGTGAAGAAAAAGAACATTTTTATATGAATTTAAATATAAATAAGGAACGATATTTGGGATCTCTAATAGCATCGCGCAAGACAAGCAAACACACTCAACAAGTTCCAAGTTAATATGCAAGTGGAAGGGCACTTGGCGGGACTTCTCGGCCGCCTGCTGTTCCGGAGTTCGCATGCTGTGCCGTTGATTGGTGAATCCCTGAGCTACAAAAAAAATGAAAAAATTGTGTAGAGTTTTTTGAGTAAAAAAAGCGTAAACCATATATTGTAAAAAATATAACTGAAAACTTTTTCATAAAAAAATTATTTATAAAAATTGTACGTTAAAAATTGGAATTCTATTATGCGAAATCAGTAAAAATGTTTTTATGAATATTTACAAGATAAATTGGCGCATGAAGTTTAATAATACATGAACTGCATTAATAAAAATAGAAAAATAGTAATTTTAATAAAAGCAACGAAGCATAATTATATATGAAAAACTTTAGCAAATAAAAAATTAGTTAGAAGATTAACTATTCGTAAAACACCAGTTATATTTACAATAATTTTTTTAAAGTAAAATGTATAAAAAATGAAACCCAAAAAATTCAGCATCAGAAAATCACAGTTTTACAAATATATAAATAATGCGCCAATCAAAACACATAAAAAATAAAATAAAAAATTGATTGTACAGTACTAAAAAAACAAATAATATCGAACCGAGTAAATCTTTAGCTCGGCCGCTGGAAGTGAGGTCGTACAAGCACGAGTGCGCCTCAACAATTTTGCCGCAACGAAATGCGCACAAGCCGAGTTGAGCCTCAAAAACAATAATAATGATAATAAAAAATATACATTGTTTTCTAATTAATAATTATAAACATAGTGAAGCATTTATGAATAATAAAATATAAAACTTATAAAATAGAAAAAAATTCTAATGTAAATAAAAATATGTACAAGTTTATAAATAAGTAAAACTTCTAAGAATAAAAAGTTTTACTGAATACCAAAACGCGATTATATAAAATCTGCGTGTCCACATCGGCGAGATGAATGGAGTCCTGCAAATGAGACATGAGCAACAAGTCACGTGCCTCCTGCCAGCTTTGCAAATAATATAATGAATGGTTGAGCATAAAACAAAATTATCCTTACAAGCTTATAAAAGTTGTATAATAATAATAATAAAAATCTTCACTATATAAAAACCTTCTATTAAATATTATAATTGTTGTCTATTTAGATTTTTATAATAAAAATAAAAATATATTTTCCTAAAAAAAATTACAATATATAAGATTCAATATACAAGCATTAATAAAAAAGAATAATAAATATAATATGAACTAAAAATCCCTTAAATTTATTATATAATTGTTATGTATAAGACTGGACGGGATAAATATGAAGTATGGATACCTACTTTATTAAAAAAAATAAGTACAGTTGCTATTTTTTATCATTTTTATAGAAACTTGTAAGCAATCAAAAATTATATAAAAGTTATAAAAAAATAATTTTTAAAAATTATAAATATATTTATAAGAACTATAAAAGTAAATATAATAAAAAAAATTAAAATGTATTATAATAGTAAAGAAAAATAATAATAATTTCAACTTCACTACATTTTAATGATAATATAATAATAATAACGAATACTTTCATTTATTTATATTTTAATATAACTTTTATGCAAGTTGTGAAATAATATAAAGAATAAAAGTATATAAATATAATAGTAAACAATACAAATCATAAAACTTACTGGTCGTGAAGAGATAAAAAGTAAATGTGGCAGAGAATAGCACGTGCACGCAAAGGACCAATCGAACTGTGTGCGTATAAGTAGTTGCAAAGTTTTTTAAGAAATTCTGGATCTAATAAAAGTATATAATAATTATAATTATAAATAATAAAAGAATAATAAAAAAAAATTATCACAAATATGCAATAAAATAATAAATATTCATTATTTATAACCGTGTGGGACACCAATCAGCTCATCAACTTTCTTTAATATATTCAGTTTCTATTTAAAGATAACAGTAATAAATTTTTAATAAATATAAAAGATTATGAAAAATAATTTTTTTTAAAAACTTAAAAAAAAAAAACTTGAAGATAAAATATAAATATACGAATATACAAAACTTATTTTAATAATATTATAAATCATAATTAATATATAATAATATAGATAATAAAAAAAACAGTTGCAAATTTTATATAAAAATATAAATGATTAAAAAAAATAATAAAAATAAAAGATTGCATTGTACAATATAAACGTTGAAGTTGTTTAATAAAGTAGTTTTACTATATAAAATATACTTAAAAAGAAAAAGTAACACTATTATTGTTAATAATATAATTATATAGCAAAAAAAAATAAAACAATTATAGTAAATAAAAAAATAATAGTATAAGTAATATAAAAAATTTATTTTTTATATAAAATTAAAAATAGTATTAAACAGTAGAAATATAAATAAATAAATAGAAATAAAATAAAGAACAATAATAAATTTTTAATAAATAAGTGAGTTAGTTACTTTTCTTAGTTTGAAAATAAAAAATATTAATAGTAATAATGAAAGTAAATAATAATATTTATATAGGTATTTTTGGAAGAAAATAAAGATATTAGAATATATAATAATAAATAATAATCCTATAAAAATAGTGATAATAAAGAATAATAAAATATAAAAATATGTTATGATATATATATTTTATATATAATAATAATTATATATATTTATATATACAAAATTTAAAAGTTAATAAAATATTTATTATTATCTTTTTATTATATAAGGTTTTAAAAAAATAACAAAAGTTAGTCGCTCCACTTGATATATTTATATAATATAAAAAAATATACATAACTTACTTGTAAGTAAAAGAATTATTTATAAAATTTTAAAAAGTTAATCGTCTTGCATGACTTTAAGTAAAAAATTAAAAATAGAAAAATTATAAATACAGAAATTAAAAAATATATATAAAAGCCAGTTGATTTATATAATAATAAGTAAAACAAAACTAATAATAGAAAGTAAAATTTCAATAAATGCTAAAAATTTTTAATTTAGTTATTATTCATAGTTAAATATATATTTATTTATTTCTTTATAGAGAAAATTTTGCTTTCTCTTATATTATTTTCTCTTTATTTATTAAACTTTTTTTATATTTTTCTATTAACAATAAATGAAAAGTAAATAAATTTATTTATAAATAAATTATTTTACTAATAAATCTTTAAATAATTAAATAAAAAAATAAACAATTATATGTAAATATAAAATTTTTACAAGCAAAAGAGAATACTTAATTAATAAAATAAAAATTCAAGTCATAATTATATAAAATTATTAAATTTAAAAATAATTATTATTAAATAAAGTTTTTTATTTCATAACAAATAGAAAAATATAACAATTATAGATTATAATAGTAAAAAGTAAAACAAAAAAAAATAATAAGCAAAAATATATACATTTGGAAAATATAGAAAGTCTTAAGTTTTAATAAAAATGATAAATAAAATACAACAAAAACAATGAAGCTTAAAAAAAATAAAACAAATATAATAAAAAATATAATTCTAACTAAAAAAAGCTTTTACTTTATAATAAACATGAGAAAGAAGCAAACTGTAAAGCCTACAGTTATAGTTTTCATTGTGAAAAGACTCAACAAACGTCCGGCTGTCCAAGAGCAATTTATATAACACGTTCTCGTTCTTCAAGAGTGCCACGTATTCGGTCGTATGTGGGTCGGCAGCCTATAATATTTAGTTATTATTATTATCATTACTCTTATTATTATATTATTAGTTATTATCATTATAAGCAAGGTAACTAATATATATTAAAAATAAAATAATATAAAAGTGGTTATAATAATATTATAAATTTCTTTAAATTATAATTAATATAAAAAGTAACATTATTTTATAAATATTAAAAACTTTAAAATTATATAACTGGTACTTTCTCTTGTTAAAATGTAAAAGAGTAATAAAAATATCGTTTACTTTTATAATATATAAAAATAACTAATGAAATAAGACTCACGTGTTTCAAAAACTTAAAAATAATAAGAAACTCTCAATTATATAAAAAATACCGAATAAGTATATTTTATTATAATATTAAAATAACTTGTTAGAAATATAATGAAAACAGTAAATAATGATAAATATATTGTAATAATTAATAATGAATGTAATATTCACAATAAAAGTGAAGTTTATATATATTATATTTGTTAACTTTACAATAATAATGTTTTTAATAATGACGTTTACTTGTAAGTGACGAATGAGAAGGTCGTCCAACTTTTCTATGTACGAAAGAATATCGCCGTTTACTTTATATGTTTGTTGCTCGGAAGTTAATTCTACGACTTCTTCTTCCTCAGTCAACCGTGGATAAATATTCACGGAATCAGTAAACGTTAAAAGACGTTCCACATCTTGAACAACTCTTTAAATAATAATGAAAACAACAATGTTTTTTTTAATGAATATATACCTTTATTATAAAGTCAAATATCAATAAAAAACTGGCGCACAATTTATATATATAAAAATCACTAGATACAATTAAAACTGAAAAATTTGGAATATTAATAAAAATTATTAACACTTTAATATTATAAAGCAAATGTTAACAATTCCAAAAAAGTCTCATTGTATCACTAGTTGGCATGAAGTATAACAGGAACGAATCAATTGATTATTAAAGTGTATTTCAAACAATCACATATGGCCATCTGTTTTGGCGGGTAAAAACTTACACTTTTTTGAAAGTTTAATTCGTCAATTAATTCTTTTATAATTTTATAAATAAAAGTTTAAGCAATGAAAGTCAGAAATGACAAGCCTCTAAAAACCATACATACACCTATTGGCTTTGCTCAAAAAAACAGTCCGTGTGCTGTTCATAAAAAACTCGTAATCGCTGAAGGCTCTACGACACACTAAAAAATTTCAAGAAAGAAAAGTCATGTGACAAGAGCGGGCACGTGCTCTACCAAAGCAACTTTAAGCATGGTTTATGATACAGTTTAACCACGTGAAATTCCGGACCTCCAGCTGTCCAAACTAACTAATTAAACAAGCAGACGCCCGTTTAAAGACAGAAAAGAGCCGCTGCTCGAATATTACTTAAACTATAGAAAAACACTTTTTGACTGAAAGATATTTAATTAAATTTGTAACTAAAACGCAAACGAATTATCGAATAATATTAATTATAGATACTAAGTAAAAAAATTTAAAGACTGCTATATACCAATAAAAATTCTTTAAAAATCACAGTAACGAATCCGATTCACTGTAACATTTACAAACTTAATGAAAGAATCTCTTTAGCATGATTTAAAAATGAAAATAGCCGGAATCAATACGATATAACATATGTTATTAACGTGCCCAAAAAAATAAATATTAAAATAATAAAATTTATAATATAAGGGATGTTCACTATTTAAAAAAACAAAAATATAAAATTGGGAAAATACTGCAGTTATTATTAATAAATAAATAAAAATAATATAAAAAATATACTAAAAAAGCTATAAAATATTCATATAAAGCTTATATATAAACATAAAAGAAATTGTGTCAATAAATAAAAAGTAATTATTATTTACAAATAAATACTAAGTATACAAAAATATATTTATTTGATAATAATAAATAAAAATAATAAATATGCAAATAAATATTAACATATTAAATATATAAAAAAATATACTCAACTGTACATAAAAATTATAGTAATAATAAGTAAAAAAAGTTAATAATCATGTACTCTAGCCACTCAGAAGCAGCAATATAATTGGTCCCCCGCACAAAATTATCTGAGCGGTATAAAATAAGAAGACAAGTCAATTTTACTTCCAATCCACTTCCAAGTTGATGCTCCGAACTAAAAATAGTGACATTTTTTACAAAAAATATTTGTAAGTATAAAATAATAGATAAAAGTTGTCTATATTAATAAAATACTTTGTGAAATATTTTAAAATTAATATTCAGTAAAATTACTATAATTCACAAGAATTAAATATTTAATAGACTGCTCCAATCAAAAATGAAACATAAAGTAAAGAACCTGTAGTGTAAATTTTTTTTAAATTAGGTATAAAAAATTGTTGTTTATATTAATAATAATAAATTTTATAATATACTAAAAAATAATATTCATAAATATTACTTACTACAATGCCCAAAATTTCAGTAATAATTAGATAAAATTTTAAAAGAGTTGATCAATGAAAAGTAATAAATACAGTAAGAAAAAAGAATATTGTAAAGTTTCTTTAGGAAATAATTAAAATTATATAAGAAATACAGAAAAAATAAATAATAAAAGTTATATATTATAATGATACAAAAATAATAATCAAATAAAGATTAATGCAATTCACAAGAATTCAGAAATTATAAACTAGATAAAATTTAAAAGACTCAACCAATCGAGAGTGATAAATACAGTAAAAAAACGAACATAATTTTTTTAAGTTGATTCAATTGGTCCATCACTTCAACAAAAATTGTGAGTTTTTTGCCACGTTGACGAGCTAACTCCCGCAATTTCGCAAGTACAACTTGCGCAGTGATTTTGGTTCCTTAAAAAAAGTATGAAATTTTATAAAAGTTTAAAAATTAAAATCTGACTTAAAATAATTCGATTAAATTAAAATAACTAAATAATCATAAAGTTTTTAAAAAAGTGAATAAACTTAAGCACGAAAAAATAAAAAATTATAGATTTAAAATGAAAAATAATAAAACAATAATTAAAAATAATCTTATTAAAAAAGTTTCTCTACTTTTAATATTTACTAAAAAGAGATAAAAGTCTTATATATTTCTAAACAGTAAGGATATAACGACTGAATATAAAAAAACTAAACAAAAGGATATAATTTAATAATATAAAACTAAGTAATCTCTAATAAATAACCTCAAACTAAAAAGGAAACAAAATATATAAACTACGTCTATAAGAAATATATAAATTCAAAGTTGTATAAGTTTATATAATAATATATAGCAAAGTTTCACCTTTTGGGAAAATTTCGAGTGGTTTCTTTTCAAGAACAGCAGTTAAATTAATGGCAACTTTCTTATTTCTGGTCTTTTTAAATTCCGGATCATCACCTTTTTCATTTTCATCATCTTTTAAGTTACTTTCGTTATAATCCAACTCATCTTCTTCATCTTCTTCGTAAGGTTCTTTCCTATATTCGTTCATTGCAATTTCATAAAGTGTATTGTTTTTTTTTAATTTAGTCTTTAACGCCGTAATAGCCTTAAAATTGGTTTAAAATTAAGATAACAGTAATAAAAACCCAAAAAAAAAAATGGGTATGAATTCTGTAACTAAAAAAAGAATTGAAAACTTAAAATATAAAATAAAAGTTCAAGAGAAAAATTTGGAAAAGATAACTAGAAATATTATCAAAATATAGTTTATAATATTGCAAAAGATAGTAATAAGCAATACAAATAGATTTACTAGTGTTTATTAATCAGTTTATCAAAATATAATACTTAAAAAACCTTGGCGCTCAGTTTGTTAAGATCTTTTTTTTTCAAAAAAGTTTCTTCCACATAATCAGTAACATTAACCAAAGCGCGTATTAAAAAAACAGGATACTTTCCAGTTTTCTCATAAAAAACTTCAATATATGTCTTCGCCTTTGTTAGAATTTTTAATAAGTTTTCATATTCTAAAGTAAAAGTGATAAGAAAGTTATATATAACTTGAATAAAGCTTTTGTTTGTGTAAAAACACTATATTATATAAAATGTAGTAGCAGTGTGTATTACTAACCTTTCAGTAAAAGTATATGATCATCTAATTCAACGGCTTCATTCATTTTTACAATTACTTCTTTCAATTCATCAAAACGACTTGCTTCCTTAGTTTTAACTACACGCCCCCCTTCTGAGCTACTAGACTCGCTCCCACCAAGAAAAAAATTACGAGCTCTAATATAAACAATAATATAAATTATAAAACGAGTTAATATTAAAATTTAAATATAAATTATTACGCCACATGACTAGTAACTACTTCTTCAGCGCTTTCAGAACCAGAATATTCAGAACTGGACTCTCCAGTCCTCCAGAATCCCGACATTTTTAAATTGTATTATTCAGAAGTAACAGTAAACAAAAGTATGCGAGAGCAGAGTAGAGCGCAACATTCCGCCCACGCGCTTTACTAGGAGGAGTGCCCCCTCCACCCTCCACAATGTTTTTGGGTATATTAGCAATTAAGTTGAAAACAACGATAAAAATAATTTAGGGTAAGAGTTAATTTTATACTTAAAACAATAGAAGAGAGCTTTCTTTATTAGAAAATTTTGTAATAAAAATAAATTTTGTAGTACAAGATTTATATATATATACTTATAACAAGAGCATCCTTCTTATTAAACCTTTTATAAAATTAAAGTGAGTTTAATGATCAATAAGTATATTAATAAACTTTTCAGTTGCTCCTAAAAATTTTCTGAGTTAATAAAGCTGAAATTAAGGATTGTTTGATTACTTTTACTAATGTAGCATTCCTTCTCAGAGGGGTTAATAAGGATTCTACCTTTAATTTTAATAATTTCTTTCTGGACAATAAAAAATTTTTTAGTTTCGTAAGTTACTCAACTTTTATGCCATAACGCACGGGTAAAATAATTTTCTTTTATAAGATCTTGATAATATATGAAGGACAGTATAAGAATTTGCTTCTCTTAATCTGGATAAAACAGTTCCTATAAAGTAATTACTTTTTCTTATTTAAAATTATTTAAAAAAATGTGTGTCAATCTCTTCGCCTTCCCTTAAGTTAAAATTGTATGATAAATTTTTTTATTTTTGCTTGTACGCCTATAAGTGTTAGCAAATCTAAATCTTTAAATCTTTTATGTGCCTGAAGCTTCCCTAGTTGTAACTTTACAATAAAGCTGGTTACTTTAATATACTAAAGATTGTTAACGTGCTACAAGTCCGATGCTTTAATCAAACACAGTAGGCAGCAAAATGTGTCGTTATAAAAAAAAGTTAACTAAGTCTGGAAGAAAAAGGGTATTCACATATATACGTAAACCTAACCTGATTTACAAACGCTTTTTTTATATTGACCCAATTAAAATTTCCAGCTGAAATTTATTGCCTCAATTAAGTCTAGTCTTTACAAAATTTTTAAAGTCTTGATGTTTTCGTGAAAAGCTTCTACAAAAGAAAAAAAATTAAATACTTTTGGTATTAAGCCGGAAAAGCCTTTAACTTGATGAGTGTACGGACCAGGGGCACAAAAAAAAGGCTTGAGTTTCTTTTTAAAGCTTAAAAAATTAATAAGGCATAAAACAATTTAACATGGCCTTGTAGTTTACAGTTTGTTTATAAAGACTTCTTCGATTTTTGTTCAAAATAATAGACTTGGAATACTTAGACTCTCACACTAAGTTTTGCAAGGATCTCGCTTTAGTTAATTAAAAAAGTAGTGGGGGTAGGAAGTTAAAGAGAAGAATAAGAGGAGCATATTGAAATTCGAAAAGATCAAAAGAAAAAAGGAAAGAAAAAGGGAGAGACAATAAGTCTTCTAAAACGCAAGGCAGCAGAAAGGATTGGGATTCAAGATACTTTTCTTCAACGAAGAGTCTTTCTTGATTTCTAAAATCCCCTGGAGATATTTCGGCGAAAGTTTTTTCAATAAAAATAATTACCTGCATATATTATTTAACCTGAAAAAAGAATAGTTTGAGTTTTTCTGAGACGCTTTGCGATAGTTTTATCAATTTTGAAGACTCTATCACAGTTTTCTAACTTCTACTTCGTTCGGAAAAACCCTTAAGGGATCAAATTCTTATCGAGAATTATGGAACTGCCGGTCCTGCAAAAGCTGAAGGACGACCTGTACGCCGAACAACCACAAGAGTAAAAGAAACTCAGCTGAAGAATCTATTATTACACAATTGACGTGTTACACCGCGCCGAAGGCTTTTTTCATTGCCACACCAATAAGGTTCAACAAATCTCTGTTGGATGCGGTGCCCAATTATCGAGAGGGTTGAAAATGAAGCCAAATTCGCCTGAGGAATTCTATCATAGGGTGAATTCCATACTCTTAATTATTGAAAGAGATAGAACCACCGAGCTTCAAAAGTGCATGGATGAAGTGACTGCAAACCTGGAAAAGGAGTATAAGTTTATCAGGATCAGGCAAACCCTTATCCTTCGGAGGTACAAACACGGTTCCATACCACATTGAATGAAAGTCTGAATAATTTTAAAACTCAAACCCAAAATATCACTTGACTCCCTCCCAAAATGATATTAGGAAGAGTTAAAGAAAGAAGACTCAATAGTGGAGTCAAACAATTGACTAGGGTTTTGGAAGATCCTCAAGTGACAGTTTCCGCTGATTTAAGAGATATGCGAAAGCAAATTTATGAATTGGCAACGAAAAATGGAAACTTTAACAAAAAAAAACGTCGGTCAGGGAGGAAAGGCATCCTCCCGACCCAAAAAACTTCTTCAACTACAACTGCTTCTCAAACTATTCAAAATATTGCTCCCCAACGAAGAAAGCTACTGTGTAAATCTGTCTACTACCACCAAAACACTTTCAAAGTCCGTTTAGTCCTAATTGACTTCATTATATCCATGGATAGGCTATAAAACGGTATTTGAGGTCTGCTTATTGTCCCGCTTTAAATGCGACTTAATAGAAAATTTGTTGCAAACATTACCTCTGTCCGCTACCCCATCTATTAAGGCCTACGCTTCCTTATGGCCTTTAAATATTTGGTAAAGTTTCTTTTTATCAATATGAAACAAGTTTTTATGCAAAGTATGGATAAAATTTTTATCAACTTTATCTTCAGTTACTGTCGCCACTACAGCTGTGGACCGATGAATCTTGTGAACTTGGCTATTCCTCTTTTACGAGTCTTGAGAGCATATTAGATATTGCATTTTCAACTCCCGGTAAATTTTATTATGTCCACGTAAACGAATTAATCACTTGTTTCCAAAGTACAGCCTTTCCCTTCCTACAGTGTCATTTTCAGTATCCTTTTTACAAAGCTCTATCAGACTTCTGTGGGCTGATTTCACAATAAACTTATTTTCCACTCATTTTTATTAGGTAGCGGATAAAACTACTGCTAAGGCTTCACGATGAGTAGTACTGTAATTTTTTCTTTGAGCACTGTTAATTTAAAACTTACAAATGCTATATAGTGAGGCTGATCTCCATATCGTTGAAATAAGAAACCACTCATACCAATGACACTAGAGTCAGTGGGTTATTTGTTCCCCGCATACTCTCGCTACCAAAATCTTCAGAGTCTTCTCCAAGCAGACTTCTGTTCTCTTCCCAGATAAATTCAACATTTTTTTGAAGAAGCTTGCTTAGAGGTTCCAATAATATGGCGAGGTTCGGTACGTACATACTCCAACAGTTCAGCATTTGCAACAAACCACACAATCCTTTTTTGTTTTCCGGGTGCTTCAAATTTTGGAAGCTTGTAGCCTTTACGCAAAAGTCTGCGAGTCTTCTTCACTAACCCGTCTTCACAATAATTATATAGAGCTCTTTACAAAATTGCAAATCTTAGCTCTACGTTAAATTTTTCGTATATGGAAATTAAAGCGTATAGTGCCTTATAATGATCCAATTTAGTTTCGCTACAAACTAAGCAGTCTCCACGTACAGATATGTGTCTCGAAAGGCAGCTGTAACAATGTCTATGCCCTTTTGGTATTTAATTAAAGCATTTGCATAACCAAAAGGTAATAGTAATACAGTCCACAGTAGCCCGCACCCGTCCGGCAATGAAAAAGCAAAGTATTTTCTGCTCTCCTTATCTATTTCGCTGATAAAGTCTTTTAACATTATCTAAAGTAGTAAAATAGTTGTTGTTCCTCGCTTTCATATTGATAAGTTTTTCGCGGAACTGTATACTGCTTAACCATACACTGTTGGTTCAGGTCTTTTAAAATCGTCGCACATTCGCATATATTTTTCTGTTTTAACCTGTATATCCTTTTCGCATGCGTTTTCCATTTCGGGTTTAGGGACCACCACTTGGCCATGATTCCGAAAGTAGTCGTCCGATAGTTCTAGTAAACCAACTTTTAGAAGCTTTTCACACACCCCTTGAAACACCTTTCTCTTTAACTTGTCCTTGACAAGATAAACTCTCTCATTCAGAACGAAAACTATCCTTTAATTCTACCTTCAGATGGGCAAGTTTCAAAACTGACTCCTTGTAGTGATTCCAGTTTAGTCTATAAATATGCTCCTCTGATGTTCTGATCATCCGTCTTGTTACGCCTTTTCCTTGTAAATTGCTTAATTAATCTCCAGATCACTTATTGAAAAACAAGGCATTCGACTTTTAACTTCGTCATAGTCTTTCATATGAAGCTCATCCCTTATTTCCTTAAACTCAGTCTCCACTACCTACTGACTTCGCAATCTTTATATTGCATAACTTCATCTACACTATCTTCCTTAGATTCTTTTCCTTTAAAATCTTCTCTATTTACTTGCTTACTTAGTACAGATGACTACCGATCCTCAATATTCACCAGTCTATAAACTTTTCGTAATGACTCCTTCTTAATAATACGTCTATGCCGCTACGAAGCCGGTGCTTTACAACATTGATATATATTTTTTCTCGGATTCTGTTAAAAACTACTGGTAACTCGTGCGTGGAGAGTGTGCTGCGTCTCTCACCTCCAAAATACAATAAACTTTCCTTCCATTACTTAGAATTGGAGAATGCTTCTTAACTCTCATAGGATAAATAACTGCCCTCTACCATGGAGTCTAAACCAATAAACAGCACTTCCCAAACCAGTTTACCTGTAACGGTGACGCCGTCACTCAGGCTATTACTAGTTAGTTTAACAGAGGAGACCTTTGAAAAATTTATAGTGATTTTTGAGGCAAAACTTTCTATATAATAAGCACATTAATAATTTTTTATTCAAGTTTACTCTCTAAGTCAATGATAATTTTCAGAAGGCCACCTAAAATAGTTAAACTACACTCCTTTAAGACTTTCTAACAATTCATCTTAGTTTTAAAAAAGTGTAAATATCTCATTCTCTAGCTCACGTTTTACATTAAGTATCTGGCTTCCCCTCATATTGTTATCATTCAAAGTACTTCCAGAACAGCTCAGAAATCAAATTGTTGATCATACAGACTTGATAACTTCACGAACTACTACCACGAACTAATATATTATAAACAAATTGAAGGTGATACGTTAAATCATATCACAAAGAAATATAATAGAGTTAGTTAAAATTAAGAAGATCTTTACAATTTGTTTGATTGCTCTCGAGCTGCCTAAATAGCTCAACGCTCACCACCTAGCAACATTTACTACAACAAACGACAAAAAAAAAGAAAAAGCGCGACGCTCACGACATTCCTTAAATGTTTACCTTAAACGTTTGGTTAGGTTTGTGCCTGCAGACTGTCAACCCTCAATTAAATAAATTTGAAAATCCCGACACAAGAAATAAGAGAGATAAGGACGTAATTTAGGTAAGCCTACTCTTTGAAATTACGCACTTATCGAAGGAAAAAAACTCAATGATTTTTAGAGAAGTAGCGTTTGAAACAATGGCTTAACTTTTAGAGCCATGGTGCTGAAGCTGTCCTAGAAGACTGTGGGTCTTTAAAGATGTCTGTTAGAAAAAAAGTAGTAAAAACGTTAAGGCATCGCCCTACAAGACTTTTTTATACCTTCGAACACCCACGGTTTTGTTATAAAAAATGGGAAGCTTTAATAAGGCCCACAAGAATCCGTTAATTAACATTAAGGAAACGTTTTATTTATTATTGTATAAAGCTACTTCTAAATTTTTTTTTTCTGGTTAAAAGGTTGTTGTCCTTCTATCATCTAAGTCATTGGTGGGGGTGAATACTTTGCAATAAACTTAATAGTTCTAAGAGATTAAAAAATTCTAAAGGTTTTAGATACTAATGCTTCTACTTTAGTGCTATTTAGCTCCCCACAAACTAAATAACAATAAGTGTTACGAATGATAAAGAGGAGGCTATATTTTATGTCGAAATACAGCTTGCCCGTCTTTTAGGACAAATGTTATTTAGAATTGTATTTTAAGCCTGCCGAGAAAATATAAGCACAACTACTATGTTTTGGGTCTCCCCCCTAAAAGTAGTAATCTATTTCACATTACTGCCAATTTTTTTACATAACAAAAGTATGTATTATTTTTGTGTGATAAAAAAAAAGATACAAAAAAGCTTTCATCCTTAAGTATCTTTTAATCTGTTTAAGTTTAACATGCCATATACGACTGTAGATCGTAGTAGATTACTGTATAAACACATTAAGAGCTTACACCTTACACTTTTCTGCTCTATCTTATTAGTAGTAAATAGAACTTTACTAAGTTCGAACTTTTCTTTCATTTTAATCCACTTTTAATATCTTGCAAAAAGCAAGCCTGCTCCTAGAATTAGCACCGCAGAAAAGCCCCACTCCGGGCTCTAAGAGTTGACCTGTAAGTGTATATGCACATAAGTTTATGAAAGCAAAACTGCATAGTTAGTAGTGTAATTATTACAGTTGAACGTTTAAAATAGCACACATTTTATTAGAGACGTCTTCCTGTCATTATTATGTGTCAGCATAAGATTACTTGTTTATTTATTTATACCTAAAACCCCCTTTTTTATATGCACACTAATTTTTTTTCAAAACCCACTTTATGATATTGAACTGACGTTTATAAAAATTTACATCACCGAAAAGAAAGCATTCTGTCTTGTAAAAGTTTAATTTATAAAACAAGCTAACAATGTCCAGACTCGTCAAATAAAAGAAAAGATAATTTTTTTAAGAAGAATTTCTATTTTCCTTGAAAGCTAACTTTCAATAGAGGGGGATGTTGCTTTAGAGCGTCTTCTCATTTTTAAATAAAATGTATAACTTTATTATAGCAATATAATAGTATTAAGCAACAAGCGAGACCGCCCCTAATTACTTTTTTCTTTTTAAAAAAAATAATCCGAATCTACATATGTTACTTGCAAAACCCTCTACCTCTTTAGAAAAAGTTTAATATCTGTTTATAGCTATGTAACGAAGGCACTTACGGTTAGCGAGTATAACTTTTACTTCTAAGTTTTATGTGTCAATCAAAAATATCTAAGCGCCTTAAATCGGGGCATGGATCCGAGAAAAAAATTTTTATAAATTAAAATCTACCCCTAAAAAGATTCCACCTTTCGATCTTAAATTCACCAAATAACATAAAACTACTACAAAAGCTTCACTTTAGGCTGCTTACAGAGTTCATTAGATGAGCAGTGTGCAAAGAATTTTTCTGAAGCCTAGTAATTTATAGCGAATTACTTGAAAACGACATAAGTTATCAGGAAAAAAAAAAAATTTAAAAAGGGATAAAGTTGTTTTATGAGTGTAGAAGACAAATATAACTTCCGTGCTTTCAAGCTGAATCAGTCTACCCCCAATTCCGGCGTTTTCTCAGTATTTCTTTTTTTTAAGAATTATTCAGATTTCATATTATAGAAATTTAAAATATAAACGGACCTGCATAAGGAACAATTTATATTAGTAGGGAAAGTGCGTGCGCACTTTTCGTGTATAAAATGCCCGCATGAAAGTTTTACTTTCTGCTTTTCTGAACCAGGATTAAAAACGCGATTACATGCAGAACATTTAAGCTAAATATATAACATTTTTTAGGGCAGAAGTAAAAAAAAAATAATGATAACTACAGTTGTTGGGACTATAGGAAAGTCAAGACACGTGTTTTTAGATAAAGGGCTGGAATCCAATGGAGCTACATCGTCACCGGCCATAGTGACTCCCTGAAAGGCTTATTAATATTCTACAAAAGTTTTTTTTTTTTTTTTTTTTTTTAAAATTAACGAAGGATACAGGAAGTGAAGATGCAGGCGTTTGCTCAGAACTTAATTCTCCAGCGGGTAGAATAGGTAAAGCATTGCTACTCCGCTCGCTAGTATCCTACAAAGCATGTAAATGTTTTGGAAATGCGAAAGAAAAGCACTTATGAACTTCATCTTCCAGCGTTGGAGCCGATGCTTCAAGTTCCTCGCAAGCTTCATCAAGAGGTAAAGCTGGTTCTACTTGTAAATTCACTTCCGCGGTACTCTCTTCTTGCGGCTGATTAAGCTTGCATTTAAGCAAGTGGGCTAACTCATCTTTAGAGCGGCAGTGGTTAAAAACTACGCCTAATTTTGCTAGCGAAATTTTTAGTTGCTTTACGCTCATATTTTTAATAGACGGTGAATCCAGTGGTGTACAATCTGTAGTCTCAAAGCACTTCGTTCGCTTGTTTGGAGAAATACAGCATGCATGGCTTGTCACAGTACTATTTAAAAGGCCGCATAAAGCATTTTTAAGCAAGCCATTTAAATTTGTATGCTTAAGAACGCCATTCAACTCGCCCGGAGGACAGACGTGAGTGGGGCACGCCGCCACTTCAGATTTCTGTGTTTTATGGCAAGCCGGACATCGTTTATTGGTATGTTTGTGCACCAATCCGTTTCGAGGCTCCAGATTTTTTTTTTCGGCTAAACCGTTGGAGCAAAATGAATTCTTTTCATTCTCTTCAGAAATGGGAACAGTAACACAATCAACTCTACGCTGATTACAAGACGAACCGCAATTGGAGAAGGAGGATAAGTTCATACCTTGAAGAGCTTTACAAACCGCTTCAATTATTTGCTTTTTATAATTCTCGGAAGGAGAACTACATTGAGATTTATAAGAAGTTTCAGCAGGAAGATCACAGCAAGTGGAAGTAGCTATCTTAGAATTGCAGGAAGGAGTACTTCTATTAGAGCAACAGCCGCACTGCTTTAAAGGTTTACAGGAATCTAGGCAAGAAAATCCTTTTGCAGAGCGACATTTATGACTGATACAACCAGAACTGCAATGAAAATTATGAACACGGCACTGACAATCACTTCGTTTATTAGCGGCTGATGAGAGATTAGCTAATATTTCGGTAGCGATGTTTCTACACAAATCCGATAAGTTATATGAATCCAAATTATTTCCAGTTGAGCAATTGCGCGAGCCTTGTGAAGGTAATGAAGAAGGGCAGCCTTTATAGACGTCTTGCGTTTTCATATGGCGACTGTTATATTTGCTATTGCAGCAACAAGACGAACCACAGTTACAATTTTCTATATAGAAATTTTAAATAAAAAAATAATGTAAGCCTTTTTTGAAAAGTACCGTTTTTAACACTACTGCATTTGCATCGAGAGGAACAGGGGCACTGGTATGACCCGCATTTACAAATTTTGGAAGTTTTGCACTGACGGAAACAGGAGGACGCGTTACCTAAGTAGTAAATTAAATTTTATTATAAAAAAATTTACCTCTTGGCATTTGCCAATCTCACCACACTTGCAATTCGGACCGCACGAACAGATCGAGGCGAAATGACCATGATTGCAACACTGATGGTTTGGCAAAGGTTGAGAAACTTTGGAAACAATAAACAACGTTAGCATTGTAACTAAACAAAAGACAAAATTAAAAAATTGAAAGGAACTTAACCCGAAGAAGTCAAACCAGCTGGCTTTAAAGAATTTAGAGTTTCTTGTACAACACTCTTTATTAGGTGGTCGTAGCCCAGATTAAGCGGGTGATTAGTGTAACATCCATGATCAGAAGCCGATAAAAGTGCAGATGTTAAAGATTTTTGAATGCACTTGGAGAGTGTACTTGAAAGATCACAAGAGTGTGATGCAGCACAGCATGATTGGGTAGTTGACAAACAAGATGTTCCAGTATTGCAAGGGGAACAGTTTTGAGAATTACAAGAATTGATAAGACCGGCTCCTACAGAACCCATAGACGTTGTTAAAAATTCAATAGCCTTCTTTGCTGCACAGGTAAGTTGTGTAATAAGAAGTTGTGGGTCGAATCCCGAAGTTTGAGAAGTGCAAGGCTGTCGACACCCACAAAGCAGACCTTTTGCCAATATAGAAGACAAAGTCTCTGACACGATACGTTCCATATCATTTTCACAAACGTTTGAAGTTTTAGAAGAATTATTTAAACACTGCAATAGTTGACCGGAGCAGCAAGGCCTCGGGCAAGCAAAAAATGAATGTTGGCAGGTAACGGTCATAGTAAAATCGTGCGTTTCTGTAAATTTACCTATTTACAATTAAATAAAATAAGCGTGTATACCTTTCACTATAAAAGTGAATTATTTCCAAAAAAAATTATCTTATAAAGAAAAGCAATATATCAACGCAAATTAAACAAAAAAGCGTAATAACCCAAAAGATCACGCGCCAGAGATGCAGTGCAACAAAAAATTTTAACTCCAAACCAACAAAACAACGTGATATATGCAAAAATTAAAAGATAACGGAAACGAATAATTACTAAATGATATAAAAAAATATCAATACTTTTTTTAAAAAAAGTTTGTACGGGCTCTAAGCCACTAATATTTGATAAACTTTTTTTTACTTTTAGTGGAATTATTATTGGATGCTCGATTCCTTAAAGTTCCAATCCCTCAGTTAGTTGTTTCACTTGAATAAATGAAAATTAATGAAAAAAAAATAATTTTTCTCGAAATACTTTTATATAAAAAGCTTGTACAATTTTTTTAAGTTCGCTCTTTAAGTAACTATATTTGTTAAAATAACAAAGCATAGCATTAAACTCGTGTTCTTAGTAAACATTAATCATATAATTTTTTTTTAGCGATGAAGTTTATCATCGCACATTACTTACAAAAACCCATGGAAGTTAAGATTAAGATTATTCCAAAATTTTTAGAGGAACAAATAATTTGGGTCATCTAACTGCTTTGGAAGTATAAAATAATAAAACACTAAGTAAAGATCATCTAACTATCTGACTTCTAAATATAAATTTTTTTTTATCGGTACTCATCTATTACTAAAATTTTGTTTAAGACTAGCATCAAAATATAAAAAAGTTTGTAAATGATGTATAGTTCTACTAACCCATAATCGCTAAATTAAAACAACCGAGTGATGTATCAAAATTATACGCTATTCTAAGAATTACCATGATACATAGTTTTTAACGAGTACACCAATTGAGCTTTCGAATTAAAAAGAATTTTACCTTCAGTAAATATCTTTACTTATCAATAACGATAAATGAGTAAGTAAACGAGTTTAAGATGCTCTAATAAATTATATGATCGAGCAATTTATACAAGACATCAGTGTATTAACAGCATGTACTTAACATATAAAAGAAGCGGTGGGTATCTTAGAAGGTCAATAACATAACCAAGGATTCACCGATACGTAAAAATGTTTAAAAAAACAAATAATTAAAATGATTATTACAATTTTGTTTAACTACTTTTAGAGGTTTTATTCTTAAGCTATAGTAAAGGATTTGAGGCCTTCTGGGTTATATAAAGTAAAAATTTATAACTAAATTTGTTCTTATTGCATTGCGCTAATATTCTTTCTGCGAAGTTTTTACAGTTCTACAGCTTCTGGAAATTGTAAACCTTCGGTCAGCTGAAGGAAGTCGACAGCCAGGATAATACGATAAAGGCGGTGGAAAATGTGTGGAATTAAGCGAATATGGCACTAGTTTGAGGATAAATTATAATGCACTGACCTGAATTTAAGGGTTTCACCTTTTAAAGCTTTTTAACGCAGACAGGCAATTGTTAGCTAACCTTAGGGCTCTTTATAATTGGTATGTTGAAAGGTATGCTTAAACTTTAATCCAAATATTAGAATTTAATCGTATTAAAGTTAATATTATTAGCCCCAACACTAAACGAATCGTTTAGAATATAAAAGGCAAGATTATTATAATAAACCGAACAATATTCCAGCTATAGGATTACCTATTTTATCCGCTGGCAAAGAATCTAATTTCCTGATTATCTCGCCTATATCCGAGTCCTACCTTGCAAATGGCACTACTATTAATTGTTTAGGAATATATAATAATTACTTAATGCCGTTATAAGCCTTTTTAATGATAAGAAATCCAAGGGTGCGATATTCAAAGAATGTACAACGCTTTACTTTTCACAAAGCCTACAAAATGTTTTAACTCAAAAAACAGAATAGTTTAAAACAAGTATGGTTAATAACAGTTATTCAATCATTAAAACTGACCAACAAACTCAAAAGTAGAGAAGTAAAGATGATTATACTGAAGTAACTAATGAATTGCTATAGTTTACAACCGTTACACGCCAGCGTGTCTAAGGCCTACGGCAAACGGCCGATGGGCGTGCGTATATAACCAAAGAAAACAGTTTAAAAGCATCCTATCGGAGTTTTAGAGTAAATAGGGAAGATGAATACAGAAGTTTACGCTTTGTTTCCTAACGAATTTTATAGTAAAGAAAGTAAACGCGGTATTTTTTATGCGCAAGTACAACTTTTTTAACATAAAAAAAGTCATTTAGATAACGATTCCAAGAATAGAAATCGCAAGTCTCGTTTGTGTAACCCACACCAAACACGGGACAGGGTTATAGAGTTTATGACACTCTTTATTTATTTTGGAATGAGCCAGAGTTGCTTAAGATTACTTATTGTTATAGAAAACTACTTTGATATCCTTCTTATTTTTTAACCCTCTCTTTCTATAATGAAGGAAAATAAAGAACAAATTGGTTTCGTTATCTATCTTTACTCTTTTATCGAACATAATTATAGGTACATTTGTTTAAAAGGCGCTACGTAAGATTTGCTTTTCCTTTTCTTTTTATTATAGTATCGAAATCATTTTACTTTACAAGTAGCTTTAATTTGGAATCATCTGAAAAAGAACACTCCGACGCTTTAGTTAAGGTTAAAAAGAAGAATTTGACTTGGCAAAGGCTTTCTTCTGAGGTCATGAGAGTGCTAATTAATAAATAAGAAGTAATTGCACAATATTTATAGAGTTTGAGTGAATCACTCGACTCTGAAAAATCAAAAGATCAGTTAGATTCCTTTTTTATCGCTGATAATCAGAAAAATGAGGATGTCTTCTTTGTAAAAGTGCTTCATTCAAATTTTTCGGAGGAGGTGCGCTCTCTTTTAAACTTTTATATTAGTTTCACTGATTTTTATATACGAAATTATACTTTTTTTCTACAACTATAATAAAATCTCTTTACCAGTTATCTTTAATTATAAGTATTCTTTTGTTAGGAAACTCTAACCAAATATCTCAACTCCACTATTCCTAAGGACCAAACACATTTATCCGGAAGAGGTCAATTTGTAGAAGTTGATGGCAATGAAAAGCATAATGAAGATGAAAAAACCTGCAGAAACTTTTGTTCTTCGTTTCTGTGTTATTTTTGTGCTATTAATAACATCAACGCATCCGATGAACTTGAACTTGTAGACGGTACTTCTAGTCTTAACTCTACTAATCCTTTTAAGCGGGATTTAGTCCGCAACGGGTACATTATTGCTTTTTGTTACGATTCTCAAGATGAACATTCCAACTTTTTACCCTTTTTTGCTTCTGAGCTGGACAACTTTTGTGAAGGTAGACTTGCATTAGTAGCTTTATGACTTTCAACACTTTATAATTTCCTACTTTTAAATATTTAAGATTTGAATTATTTTAATTTTATTAATTTAATAGACGAAAGATAACTTCTTTTTGTTTCCATTTAAATTTTAGTTCAATTCTTATTTTTAATTAATTCCTTTACTAATTTTAGTCCAGATAGTTATTAATTATTATAGTAAATGAGTATTTACTCTTATACTACATGTATTCGAAAATTATATATATGCATAATATTGAAATCTTATAAATTCCTACTGTTATATGAAGTTTAACAACCGTGAAGGGTTCTTGATTTAAATTTAATAGTGAAATAAAATATTTTTATAACAAAATAAAAGTTCTCAAGGTTGATATAAGACTTTGAATTTATTATAATATTTTAAAATCCTAAAAAGTACTTAGAAAAAATATATATTTGAGGGCTCAGTATTTGTTAACCCAATCGAGTATCTCGAAATGCTCATTATAAATAAAATAAATCGTTTTTTATATGTATATTTAAAGATTGTCATCAATAACTTTTGAAATAAAATATAATAAGTAGCTACTATAATAATCTCATTAATAGTTAGTTTTTTCTAATTAATTTAAAGATTTCTTTATCTGTAAAAATATTTTAATTATATGAAATCTTGAGTTATTCTCTTGGTTTATTGTTAACTTTTTCCAAGAACTTTAGCGTTCTTTACTTTTAAATAGAGCCACTTTTTTAAAATTCTGTGGATTGAAAAAAACTTTTTAGTAATTTAGTTTATTATAGAATTAACGCCACTTTTTTTTGACAACCGCTCTGAAGATTTAAGCCACGCACTTCTTGAAAAGGCTTCTTTGTGGTATTATACAAACGTAAGACCTTGTTTTTTTTTGTTTTTATATTTTATTATATAGAAAATGCGCACGCGCACTATTTATCATTGCTTTTATTTGCTGAAAAGTTTGTAAAAGTAGCGGCAGTGCCTGCTAACTTTTATTTGGTACAATTTACTAACTTGGTGGATTTTATTGCTTCTGTGTAAATAATGGGGGCCCAATTTCTGTTTAAAATGTTGCAAATGGACATGTTAATTTCCTTTCCGTATGCTTACTATGTAAGAACGTTTTTTAACCTATTTTGTATCAGTATACGTGTATTTGATGCTGGTCAGTAGCAAAAAATGTACCATTATTGTAATAAAAATTGTCGCAAGGTATTTTTTGTACCAGTGAACTTTATTGGACGTGCATTAACAAGGAAACTGCTTCCTATGACCTTAATAAATAAATTTTTGCAAAGAGTTTAATATCTGACTATTATCAGCCTAATAATTATTATTGCTGCTAGTAGACAAAAAAATGCAGTTATACTATTTTTAGCGTAAAACATGTGGGGCGCATTTTTTGCTGCCATACCTACTAAAATGCAGCTAGTAAGCCGGGAAGGAACGCCTTTTAAGCTTTTGTATCGTAGAGTTCTACATCACGTATATTGGCAGTCTACGCTAGGTGGACGCTACGTAGCAACTAAACTTTTGCAATTAGAAATTTAATAACCCCGAAATACAGGGCTGTTTGAAGCATGTAAGTATAATCTGATGCTAATTAGAGATAAAGTATAAAATTTTGCGGCCTTTTAAAATAAGAAAATGAACCTTCTATGTTTGCTGTTTTTTTTTAAAACTTTAATACTTTTTATAAACTTTTCTTGTGTTTTTTGATAATCCTTCATTTTTTTAGTAGATTGAGTTTCTGAGCCGCTCCTGCCAGCTTTTGAAGGATCGTCTGTGCCACTTTTTATATGCCACCACCACCGTCCCGTTCTCTATAAGAGTCATTGGTGAAGACAACGAACGAAAAAAAGATATTGAAAAGTAAAATTTTGCTTATTTTTCGGATAGTTTGAGTTTTTTCTATTAAAAAAATTATAAGTTTTATTAATACTATTTTTATAATTATTATAAATATTACAAATATTTTATAGATTGCTTAAAGTTTGCTTTATTAATGAAACGGCAGAAACTTCCTCTTATACTCTAGAGCTTCTTACAAACGATACTTTTGAGTTTAATTGTGACGGTCGCTTATTATTATTATTTCACTTAATATATTAATAATTTTCAAAAAAATTTACATAATGTTAATTATATTGTTTTATTAGTATTTCAAAAAGAATAAAATACTAGTAAAAAATATTTTGATAAAATTTTTTTTCATATATATAATTATGGAAGTTCTAGTTTATATAAATAGTTTTTATTTGTAGATTTTTTATATAAAAAAGTTGAAATAAATTTTTTTATACTTATATAAATATTCATGGATAATATTAAATAATTAAACTCATAAATAACTAATGTTAAAACCTTTTTATATTTTCCTTTTATTATAGAAGAGTTATAAAGTATATTTTTTATCTTTTAATTATAACAAAAGTTAGGGTATAACCAACTTTATATATTTATTATTATTATAATTATTTTTAAGGATTTTTAAATTTTATAATTGTAAAAAATATAAACAAACTTTAAATTAGCTATTAAAACTTTTTTAAGTTTTTCTTTATTATGAAAAAATTATAAAGTGAATATTCATTTTAGTTTATAGAATTTTTGAAACTTTTATAATATAATAAAAATTTTCTTAATTATTTTATTATTTTTAACTTTATAAATATATTATAATAATTTATTTGTAGAATTATAATAATCATACTTTTATATAAATTTAAAAAATTTTTTAATCTTTTTATGATTTGCTTGTGACTCTAAACTATTTGAAATTTTTTTTAATTATATAATACTAAATAATATAATATTTTCTATATAAATTATATATTAAAAAATAAAAAACTTTTTTAACCAAAACAATACAAATTAACAAAGAATAAATATAAAAAAATATAAAAAAGTTAATTACACATAATAAAAAATATCATACAGGTTTAGTTATACGCAAAATAATAATTGCAGTATTATTTTTACTAGTAATAACTAAAATATTAGTGAATTGTATAGTAAATATTATAAGTAATATCATTATCTGCTTATTTTTTTTATTACAATTTTTTATATTAACAATAAAAAATAACCAACAAAACCTTTTATTTATTATAATTATTTTTTATTACTTTTTGAATAATTTTAATTTGTAAAGTAAAAAATAATATATTTAATTTTTTTTTCCTTTGAAATTTTCGTTATAAATTTTTATTTTCTTTATTATCAGATAAATAAAATTATTATAACTATAATAGTATTAATTGTTAATAATTGCAAACTTAATAAAATTGGTTGACTCGTTTAAAAACAAAAGAAAATGACTTTTTTAATTATTACAAAAAATTATTTTCATGAAAATAATATTTTTTTTCAGTTTTCTAAAACTTTAAGATAATTTTTTATTAAATACTTTAAATTTTTATAAATAATAATTTATATATTATTTTTATATATAAAACTTTTTTTCATATTTTAAATTCATAACGATTTTTATTATATTTTATTAATTATTAATTATTAAGTTAAAAAAAACTATATTTTTATAAAGAAAATAAAGAGATAGCTTTATTACTACTAAATTTTTTTAAAAATTAAATATTATTTTTTAAAACTTTGGTATATTTTTATTTTTATTATTATTGATTTATAAATTTTGAAGTTTTTCTTAATAAATTTACTTTTTTTATGATAATAACTAAAAGTTTTCAACACATTTATATATAAATAAACAATAGTTACTGAGTTCTATTGAATTTTATGAATATTTACTATTAATATGTATTTTTATAAAGTTTTCATACTATTTTTTTACTTATTATTAATATTTAAATAAATAAAATATATAAATGAATATATTTTAAATAATAATTAATAAATATTTATATATTCTAGAGAAAAGTTTGAATAAATTTATAATACTTATAAGTACATTAATAAATTTTTATAGTAGATCACATAAAAATTTTATTTTTTGAATAAATTTTATAAATTTTTTTTAGAAAGTAATGAATTTTGCATGAACTTTAGCGAGGAATTAATAAAAATCATAAGCACGACTTGTTGCGCTCTTCATCTTCGTGCAGTACTTGAAGATTTCAAAAGCAAAGTCGTTAATTTATATTGTTTTTTCCTTTAAAAGTTTATATAAAAATAATTTTTTTATATTGTTTTATATCAAAAACTGTCTAAAAAATTTTTTTTTCAATACTTGAAGATTTTAAAAGTAAAATATTTTCATTATAAAAAGTATTTTTTTTTATATTTAAAGACTTTAAAAGCAATTCGGCTCTTTATATTTTCTTTGTATTATAAATCATATAAAAAATATATTTCTATTTATATATTCTTGAAAACTTTATAAGAAAGATTGCTTTTTTTATTATTATTTGTATTGAAAAATTTTAATAAAATTTTATTTTTTTATTCGAAGACTTCAAAAGCAAATTTGCTAATATTTAACAACTACTAAAGCAAAGTAACTGTTTTATATTGTTCTATTAGAAATATGTATAAAAATATATATTTTGTGTATACTCGACAGTTTTTATATCAAAACCGCTCTTTTTATTTTTTGGTATTAAAAATTATATTTAAACTCAAGTACTTTGAAAGCAGGACTGCTCTATATTTTTTTGTATTATAAATTTTATATTCACTTGAATATTTCAAAAAAATATTCTACTTTTTTTTTTAATACTCGAAAGCTTTTAAAGCAAAACTGCTCTTTATTTTTTGTATAATAATAAAAAACTTATTACAATTGAAGACTTCTTATTTTTTTATTATAAAAATATTATAAAACATAATTTATTATCTTTTTACTTGAAAACTTTAATATATTTTTTATACTTGAAAAACTTTAAAAGCGAAGTGGCTATTGCTATCTTTTGTATTTTACTTTTTTTTTATTAGTATATAATTTTTATATTAATTTTTTTATTTATTAATAATTGAAAAAACTTTTATTATAAATTTTATTTCTTTTTTTTATTTATATATAAAACTTTATTAAAAAAATTTTTTTTAATATTTTTTCTTTTTTCAAAGGATAATTAACTATTGTTATTTATATTGTTTATTATTATTTGTTATCAGATTTTTATATTTTTATTATATTTTTATTATCTTTTTCCTGAAAACTTTATATTTATAAATTTTCAAGAGATATTAATTTTATATTTTATTACTTTTTTTTGTATTTTTATATACAAAAACTATCAAAAAAAAAATTTTAATATTTTTTTAAGAGATTTATATTTTTTATATTTATTTTTGTTAAAAAAATTTTCGAATGCAAAGTTGCTATTATATTCATAAATTTTACAAAAAATATTAATATATATTTTGTACTTCTTTTGTATTATATATATAAAAGTTATATAAAAAAGTTTTTTTTATTTTTTTTTACGAAGAGTAATTATTTATGATTGTTATTATTATATTTTATATATTATTATTGCTATGTATATTATTTATTATTATTTATTATTCTATTTTTATTTTTTATATACATTTTTATTATTTCTTTTTCCTGGAAACTTTATTTTTATTTATTTGTACTTGAAAAACTTATACAAAATTGCTATTACAATTATAAATATTGATCAAAATATAAATTTTATATTTTATTACTTTTTTTTTTTATTTATATATAAAAACTATTAAATAAAAAATTTATATTTGCTCATATTTAGCTATAATTAATTATTATTTATTATTAATATTATTTTTTTAATTTTTTTTATATTTCTTACTTTTTATATAAATTTGCTCTTTTTTTTTTGAAGAGAAATAAATTTTGTTATATTTACTGTTATTTTTTCTGAAAACTTCTAAAGTAACTTTGCTAGTTTTATAGCTATTAATACTAATATTTCAATTATTCATAGTTACTAGTACATTTCACTATATTTTATATTGCTAGTAGTACTTATTACTAAGCTAGTAATATAGTATATTTTATTATTTTTTTCTTTTCAGAATAATTAATAATACTTTTATATATTGTATATTTTTTCTGTTTTCTTTATATTTATAAAAATAATTATTTTTATTTAAATTTTATTATTATTATTATCTAACTTTTAATAATTCTATTACAAATAAATATTATTATTATTCTCTTTCAACGATTCTTTTTTTAATATTTATTATATTTTTAAACCTTTTTTTAATTTTTTTTAACTTTATTACATTCGTTGTTAATAAATATAATTATTTTCAAAATATATTATCTTTATATAATAACTCAATATATATATTTTTAATTATAAATATTTTTATATGATTTTTTAAAACTTTTTATTATTTATTATGATTAATGAATATCATATTTTATTTTATATTTTATATAACATTACTTTTTATACCTTTCTCTAATTTTTTAATATTCGTTATTATTATTATTTATTTAACTTTAATAATAATATTTTAACTTTTATTATTTTTAAAATATAATAATGTAAAAATTGTCACATATGAAAATAAAAATAATAATTCAAAATTATCAGAAAATAAATATTTAAAACATATGATAATATGAAAAATACAAATAAAAATAATAATACTTGAAAATTATTATTATAAATATTATAATATAATAACTTCACAAAGAAAAATAATAATAAATTTTTTCATATTTTATTTTTTTATTTTTTTTTTATTTTTTATAAAAAAAAATTTCTTTTTAATATTATATATTTTTTTAATTTCTTATAAGAAAAAAGTTTTTATTTTTCTATTCTATTTTACTTTTTATTATTATTGATTATTATTTTAGAATAACCAGTTTTACTTTGATTATGATTATAATAACCATTTTTAATAATAAACTTTTTTTAATTATTTATATTTAATATAAGAAAAGCAGTTATAGGTATAATACTTTTTGCTTTTCAAGCTTTTTATAGTTTTTTATTTTTGTTATTTTACTATTTTTAATATAAAACTATTTATTATTACTTATCATTTTTTACAAATTTAAAATTATTTTTAATTTAATTTTAAATTAGTTATTTTTTAAATTATAAACTATCAATTTCGTTCAAGTTTATTGGTATCCTCAAACGAAGCTTTACTTATTATTTTTGAAATTACTGAATATCTGAACCTTCATTTATTGTTTATTGTAAATTTCAAAAAGATTTTCGATTTAATTATCAATTTTCTATTTGTTTTATTTTGAATTCAATACTAAAATATATTCTTTTTGATTTTATTAGAAATATTATTTAAATTAATATTTTGTTGTATATTTTATATTATAAATAAACTTTTTATCAGTTTTGTTTATACTGATATTATAGCTTACTTTTATTTATTTTTACTGTTGAATTTATGATATAGCAAAAAACTTGTAGTTTCACAAACCTTTTAAAAATATTCAGGATTAAATTTAATTGATTTTAATTAAATAAACCTTAATCTTTATATTTTTTATTAAAAATTTTTTTTTTATTAATTGCTTTACTTTTTATATTTAGCAAAAATTGTAAAGTGTTTTGTAATTTTATATTTTCTAAATTTTTTTTAAATTTTAGTTTTATTTAGTTATTCTTATTCTTTTTTTTTTTATTTTAAAAGAAATTATTTTCTAATTTTTTATAAATTTTTTATGTATAAAAAACTTTTATTGTTTGTTATTTATAAAAACTATTATATAAAAAATATAAATCCTTTATTATTATTTTAAATTAATGTTTGTCAATTAATTTTTTCATGGATTTTATTTTTATATAATTAAATAGTAAATTTCATAAAAATTATTTTATTTTTACTTTTGTTTTAATTCTTAAATAATTGCTCATTTGTTTCTCCTTAAAAGTTTTCTAAAGAGTATGACTCTTTCAAGAATTCTCTTGAAAAATCAATAAACAATCATTATGCCTTGCATTATTGCTATCGAAAGCTATCTACTTGCAATTTTCGAAATTCACTTATAAAGTAGAAAATGTTAATTTTTATTATTAACTTTTAAGTTGTAATTATATCATTTTGTCAGATACTTAAAATATCGAGCGGAAAAGGATCAATCTCGTGAACATTTTTTAGAAGCTGTGCGTTGTTTACTTGGTTATTGCGCATCTGAAGGCCTTTTGGAGTAGATTTTTTAATAAAAATGGCTTAAACGTTTATTTTAGTAATTTTAAAAAAGTTATCCAAGTAAAATTTAGTTTAGGATGGCCCTAAAAAGAAGAATTCCTATAAAGTCATAAAAAGTTTAAGATTATTTTTTAAAATACTTAAAGATTAATTCTATTTAACTGGAGAAGCATTTAATTGTTTTTTTTCAAGGGAAACATAAGCTAAAAAAAATAACTGAAATTTATATACAGCCTGAGCTAATCCTGAATTTAAGTTTTAAAAAATTTCTAGACAAGTTTCTAGAGTATAATAAATTCATACCAAGAAAAGTGCATTAAAAAAATTGTTATACAATTTTATTACAAAGTAGATCAGATTTGTAACTAGCATTTACACTTAAAGAATTTTTTATTAAGACTGTAGTAGTAGAGATGTAAACGTTGTGGAATAGCTCGGCCTTAATTCACTAAAGTAGGGGTGAAAATTATTAAATCCAACTTTTCGCTGCCACAATCGAAATTATAACTTCCTAATTTATTTAATTTCCAATTCATATTAACAGTTCAATAATAATAGTAATAACGAAAATAATAATAATAGTAAACTTTAAAGTAACAAATTTTATAAAATATATTTTTCAATGTCTATATTTCATGATATTAACTACTTAGGTTAAACAATTCTTTAATATTACAACTCGTTTTGCACTGCTCATGTTCTTAAGGAAGTTATTAAGGACTAGTTAAAATTTAATCTCAGTTAATCTAAGTCTAAAAAAATTCTTAATAAGGTATTTTGAATAGCTTTAGATCTGTAACATTTTAGTTCTAACAAAAAGTAATTAGCTGTAAATTACTAAACAGTCTTAAGAAAATTTTTAAACTTATTCTTCGAATTTAATGGTGTTCAATAATACGCAACAAAAAATCTTTTAATAAACTAACCATGGTATGCTTGTAATTAAAAAAAAAGGAGAGATAGAAAAATTAAATTACATAAAATTCCTTAAGATTCTAATATTTATATTCATGTATTTATTTTTAGGCCTTTCTTATAAACAGGCTAACCTTTTTTCATAAAGAGGGAGGTAAAGATTATCAAAATTGTTATAGAAAGTATCTATGAATAAATTTACTTAAAGATTCAACACAATTACTATGCTGTTAGACAATAAAACCTTTTAAATATCTAACAATCGCAAGCAAATTTCGTCTACACGACATTGGTTTTTTGCAGCCCTATAGAGCCGATCATCTCTGAATGATTACAACTAGTCGAGATTTCGAAGGTTATCAAAGCTTTCGTAGCCCTTAAAAATTTCCGGTTGAGAAGAAGGTTGGCGACTTTTATAATTCCCTCGAGGAAAACCGAACGCAGCTTCTACGACACGCCAATACTGACTCATTAGCCTTTCGTCAGTAGTTCCAAGGTAGCTCAGACGCTGTACTGCACCGCTTAAATGCGTTTACTGATGGTTTTGATGCCATTCCAGGGTTTTAGCAAGAACTCAATAACACGCGCATACTTCCGTTGATAAAAGCTAGTTGTGTTCTTCAATATAAGGCGAGGCGAGCGTCCTTTATCCGTCCCGTCAAAATAACTTTTTTATAACCAATTTTAGTTCAAGCCGCTACGTAGCCTTCTTTTTTGGCTTTTTGGCTGTGCTCAGGGAGTAGGGAGGATTTTGTAAGAGCCTCTTTCCTCCTCACGCTGGACGTTTTGCGCAGTCGATGGGGAATTATTATTTTAAAAAACTGCAAAGAGCAAAGCTTTTTTGAAAACGAAGAAACTTATTACACTTCTATTACTTCTCATCTTTAACGGTTTGGTAACGTTTGTGTTACTTATTGGGTATTTATAACTTTTTATAATATTACTACTCAAAAACTTCTCAAGGGCATGCTTAAGCTCTACAAACTGTTAGTTGACCCCGTATGGTTATAGTACAAATACGACATGCTCATAGGTAATTTCAGTTTATGGACTATAATAAGTGAGGCTTCATTCCTTATTAATAGTTTCTTGTTTACCTCATTGCTGCATTTGTTATCTTATAACATGACTATCCCGTTGAAGTTGGGCTTCATAGGATCTGGAAAGGTTAGTTTTGAATAAAATTTCCGCTTTAATACAACTTTAGTTTATAAGATGGCCGAAGCTATTATACGCGGTATTTTAAGTAAAAAGTTGCTTGAGCCGTCTTCTATCTATTGCGTAGACACCAATACGAAAAGATTAAAAATTATGGAGGACTTAAAAGTTAATACACATAAAAGTAATTTCTTATTTTTTAGTGCTATAAAACAGTAAGTAAATATTTATAAAAGGGCCCACTGATTTAAAAGAGCCGGGTGTAGTCATTTTGGCTATTAAACCCGATATCGTCCTAGAAGTTCTTAAGCAGACCTCAGAAACTTTACAGGGTAAACTTCTTGTCTCTATTTGTGCAGGAATATCCCTTTCTGCGTTAGAAAAGAGTATTTTTTTTTTTGACCGAGACGATAAATATATTTACAGCTTTTATACTATGAGGTGCTTGTACGACCGCGAGATTTATTAGGGTAATGCCGAATACTCCCTGCCTTGTAGGTGAATCTGCCAGTTGTTACTCGCCGGGTATTATTTTTAAACTAAAAACTAAAAATCTATAGTAGAACAATTATTAAGGGGAAAATACCACCGGAGATGATTGTGAGGTCGTAGAAAAAATATTTGGGGCCGTTGGAATAATACTAAAGGCATTTTATATGAACTTTAAGTAATTTATAATTAAATAATCCACGAATTCAGGTCCCCGAAAGCAAAATGGATGGGGTGACCGGCCTCAGTGGCTCTGGCCCTGCTTATGTTTATATGTTTATCGAGGCCTTAGCCGATGCTGGAGTTCGCGAGGTTTCTAGCAAGAGTTTATTATAAGAATGACTACTACCTGCCAGAATTTAGGGACTTCCTAGGGAACTCGCACTGAAATTGGCAGCGCAGACTGTCTATGGCGCCTCCAAGATGGTCCTCTGCGGGGACACTCACCCTGCAGCCCTCAGAAATGACGTGGAGAGCCCCGGAGGAACGACGATAGAGGCCACAACCACCCTGGAAAAATGCGGCTTCCGCTCAGCTGTGATTAGCGCCGTGCGGGCCGCCACGCAAAGAGTCAAGTCTTTAACAAAATAATAAAGCCATCACAATGTAAAAAAGTTTTTTCTAATTTAATTTTTTTTTATCTGAACCATCCCTTCGACTCTGCCGGTTTACTGCATTTAAATCTCAATGTCCCATCTTCAACGTAAAGCTCGACCTTCGACCCTTTAGTTACGGCTCCTAATATTGTTATTACTTAATATAATTATCACTAGAATAAAAAAAATTTACTTATAATTATTATTATGTAAAGTTGTTTTATTATTAAAATAAAGTTATTCTCTTTTATTTATAACTATTATACTGTAAATCTCTATTACTTATTATATATTGTTATAATTTAATGCACGTGCACCACTGACCTTGCTCCCATAAGGCCGCCAGCTGATTTACAACCGCTCGATCCACTTCAAATTTCAAACTTCTGGCTCCTTTGATGACGCTTATCTTTAATTAGCAGCTAATAACCGATCAAAAGCGGGCAACCGTAGTGCACGTCGTAGCCGGCCGTCAGCAATTTGTTAACGTCTTTAGTCCAGGAAATCTCAAGATTGTTCCTGGCTTTGGCCTGATCAGTAGTAAAAAAATGATCAGCATCCATCAAGGAATCGTAAATGATTTTATAAACTTTTTCTTTCCACTTTTGCAATTCCTTTTCCACAAGCTCTTCAAGCTCTTTTTCGCTGAACGGCAAGAAGTACACAATCTCATTAATTCGCCCTAGTTTTGATTCTAGTACTCATAATAAATTTAAAAATGAAAGAAGCAACCAAGAAATTCATTCCGCCTAAAATGGCTAATAAGAATCGGTCTGACCACGCGATCCCTGAAGTCCTTGGAGACTTGCAAGAGCGCAGGAGTAGCAATATCCGCTTAATTAAGAATTGATATCAGCAGTAGAAACAGGAAAAGGGTGACTTTCTGTAGTAACTTTGATTCGTTGAAAAAAATTCTGCAGAGTTAATGTTTTTCAAAGCATCCACATTTTTTAATTGCGCTTCTTCTCTCAACTGGAGACCTTTAATTTAATGAGTAACTCGAATTAAAATTAATTATTATTATAATTAACAGTGAGCAGCGATCTCTTCTTGAGCTAAATTGGAAGTCATAATAAAAATTGCATCTTTGCAAACGACCGTCTAAATCGAGTAAAAATTATAAAGTTAATTTCAATAATAATAATAATAATAAAAAGACACACTTTCCCTCGCCCGTCCGTCAGGCGGCCCTCATCAAATAATTGCAGCATAATTGTGAGGATGTCGGGATGGGCCTGCAAAGAGTGATATAAAAATACACAAGAAAACAGATTTTCCGCAAGAAATTTACTTTTTCAACTTCATCTGAAAATGATTACAATTATGAAATTACACTTTTTTAAAAAAAAAAAATACCAAAGAGGACTACAGCGTTCGGGTATTTCCGAAGTTTTTCAGTAAGCTGACCGCCCTCTTCATAACCAACATAGCCGGGCGGTGAGCTTGATCAAATCACATTAATTAAATTTTTTTAAAAAATTAAGCCAGTTGAACCCGATAAATTTGGAAACTTCGTGTTTCGTCTGAAACTCCGACATGTCGATTCTAAAAAATTTTATAATTAATTATAAAAATTAATATAAAAACTGCTACAAAAAAAACCTAATAAATGCCTCCGGCTTGCTTTTATGAATATACTCGGCGAGTCTCTTTGCCAACTCCGTTTTACCAATTCCTAATTATAAAATTATAAATAAATAAATCTTAAAGATTTGATTATATTATAAATTTCAACATTCCTGAGGAACCAAGGAAAAGAAAAACAAGAGGACGATCTTCATCCTGCCATCCATTTTCTTTTCTGCGGATCGTTGCGGCCACAATCCCGATGGCTCCCTCCTGGCCAACTATATAATTCTTTGAATCCTTAATTAAATAGAAATTTATTAAAGATTTAGAATTGATTTACTTTTAATCTCATCTCCAGAGGAAATTTTTTTCTTAATTCTAAATCTTCCTGTTCCTGACGAAGGGCGTACACAGTAGCGGCAGATTCTAACAACTTTAAAATTTCTACGCCATTTTTAGATGCTTTTAAAACAAAGTAAATTATTTTTAGATAAAAAAATTTATAAAGAAATTAAAATAATTACAGTGCGGATCCACATATTCTACAGCTAAGTGGCCGCTGGCAGTTCGAATAAGCGGATTAGCTCCCCTCTCTAACAAAAGTTTTACAATCTTGAAATTAAAATTAACTAGCGGAAGAGTTCAACCAAAAAACTTCATTATAAATGAATTAATTATTTTATAAAAATTTATATAAATATAATTTATTAATATTATTTTTATAAACATAAACAAAACCTCGAGATGATGCAATAACGCAGCAAAATGCAAGGCTGTAAAGCCTTTTGTGTTGCTTTTCGGAGAAATTTCTGAACTAAATTCAGAAAGACGTACACGTAAAATACCTTAAAGATAAAAAAAAAGGATATATCCCAATTAAACGTTTAAATGGGAGTACTAGTCAAAGTTTTCATATCTCTAATAAAATTTGGTAAAAAAAAATTGTCCTCCGCGTTAACATCAGCGCCCTTGTCGAGTAAAAGTTTCACAAGACTATAAAAAATAATAAATATAGAAGAAATTTAATTTTAGGAATATAAATTTTTACTCAATATTTCCAATTGCTACGGCCACCATAAGAGGCGTCCAGCCCAACTCGTGCCTTTCGTTGGGATCATGGCCTTTAATGCAAACAAAAAGTTTACAACGCACATTAAATGTTTTCAATTTTAAAAGTTTAAATAAAAAACATAAAAATATGTTATACCAGATTCCAAAAGTTTTTTTACCATCTGGTAGTCGTTGCGTTTAACAGAATAACATAACGTCGGTGTCAGAACTAAACAAAGATTTTTAAAAAATTAAAGTACCGCAAATTAATTATAAAACCGTATGAGTCGCACTTTACTTCATTAGCTTCAAACAGATATGCAATTAACGCCAAAAAACCACCATATTTTAAAAAAGTAATAACTTTACTGTTGTACTTTTTAAACAAAAAAGATTTAAACGTTCGGTAAGGTAAAAAAATTTTGCGGTTAAATAATATAACAGGAAATGTTTTGTTAAGAAGCTTTGACTTGTGAAAATTAGAAAAAAGGGTCCTCAAAGGTGCTATGATCATATAAGTTATAAATAAAAAATCTTTTTTTTCTACTGAAACTGAAGTAACTTCAATAACGTTTTGTGGCATGTGACCCTTTGACCACTTTTTGTAGGAGACAACGAAGGGACGGCCCACTTAGTTAAAGCTGTAAAAGTAGTTGTGTCGGTTTTTTGTAGGGCGTATAGAAGCCCGGGTTGTTTTGTTTCTAAAGTTTTTAGAAACGGACTTACAAATTTTTAAAAAGCTAATTTATTTTTTTTAATTAAAAGTCTCTCTGTAACGATTAAAGCATGATTTTTTTTTTTTAAAATAATAGTTTTGTAAACTTTGCGAAAACTTTTGCTTTACGTTTACTTGGAAAACAAAAAATTCCTCTTGCACTTTTTATATTTCCAACCATTTTTTATTTCTTTATTTAAAAATTTCTGTGGTTCGATAAATATTTTGTGTCTACAATCTTCCGGGTCTCCTAGAAGTTTTTACTCAATTGCAAGGCGCCTAATTTCGGTTTAGGGTTCACTTATAAAAAAAATTCTTTTCTCTATGCTGCATTGTTTAAATAATCTTATCATAACAAAAAAAACTTGATTTGAATAACTACCTTCTTTTACTACGGTAAATCACTTATAAACTGAGTAAGGGACCGGGGGAAAGATAAACTTTTCATCCCCCATTTCATAAATACTATAACCATTTCCTGGTCTTAAAAAAGACTTCTTTTTTTATAAATAATATATGTCTGTAATGAGACAAGGACTGAAAAAAGTTTTACATATTCTCTTTTTTTGCACACCGTACTTAAAAAAAATTCTCCTCCCCACTTTTAGCTTCCGCATCACCCTTTTCCAGAGATAGAAAAGGAGACAATAAAAAGAAACAGAAGTACTAAAAAAAAATTCTCCTCCCCACTTTTAGCTTCCGCATCACCCTTTTCCAGAGATAGAAAAGGAGACAATAAAAAGAAACAGAAGTACTAAAAAAAGTCCGAGCCGCACACAGTTTTAATTTGGTCCATATTAACTTTAACATAAACTTATAAAAGCATAACTCTAACTGCCACCACCGGGAGTAAAACTATATTTGAAACAATAAATCTTGTAGGTACCCCCCCCCCCCTACCCCGCGCCTCCGACAATTAACTGAGGGGAACAGCAACAAAGGCTTGTACCGAGCGCCCGACGGAGTAGTCCCACATAGACGAAATCACTCCTTCCTATAAGGGCCCGGCCACGAAATAAACTGTCATCACTCTTGACTATGCACTGACCAGATCAACGGGTAGGAACCACCGAGAATCCGTGGCAGAGCGCACGTCGAGCGTTGCTTGACCCCTGCAGGGGATAACAGGGCTGTATATTATACTCTTTGTGGCTTGAAAAGCGCTGTTCGTCATTGTGGGAAGAGTTTACTACAGGGCCAGTGGTGGCTGTAGCCAGTGCAGTAGTATTATAGTTTGAAGTAAAAGCCATGGAGGAGGGCTTACAGGTATAGAAATTACTTTAAATCTCCACGAGTTAGTGTATGAAAATAATATGGTAAAGCTTTGTTGTACAGGCTTGTTTTACCACTATTTTTTTTTCAGGAAGCTCAAGAGTTTATAAAAACTTATTCTGAACAGAAAGAAGTTTCTGCTAGTAAGAGCGATGTTTTGTAATCTTAATAAAGATGTGTACCAATTCCTTTTACTTGTTGTTCAGAAGTAAAACGGGCGCCGTTGCTTGCTTGCTGTGGAATTGTTTGTGGTTTCTGCCTTCTTATCAGCCCGTTTATAACTCCAGCCTTCAGAAAACATTGTCTTCCTTATGTTCCTGCTACACGTCGGCAAATTGATCTCGTTTTAAATTTACGTAAAAAGTATACTATATTATTTTAATATTATATTTTTAATAGCTTATACTTACCTTTATCTTTCACTTCCTTTTGAGTACAACTGGGCTATTAGTTGATGTTGGCTCTGGTGACGGACGTCTAGTCATACAATCAGCCAAACGTGGCTGGAAAAGTCACGGTATTGAACTTAATAGATGGTTTGATTTTTATATTCTATATCCATAAATTCAACAATAATTTTGTCTCAGAAGTTTAGAAATCCTCTTTACCAATTTAATCTATAGCAACTAATTTTATATAATTTTTTTTTAATGTTAACTATTATGCAGGTTAGTGTACTATTCACGTTTTCTTGCTTGGAAGGAAGGAGTTTCACACTTGACAACATTTTTTCGCCAAGATTTGTGGAAGACTGATCTTTCTCCGTACGACACAGTAGTTATATTTGGGACTTCAGGCACTATTTAATTTCTAGATCTCTTCAATCCAATTATAATTCTTATGCCGAGTGGTTATATTAATTAACAAAAATATCTTAAACTACACAGAGATGATGCTAGATTTTGAAAAAAAACTGGAAAAAGAGCTTAAGTTTGTGAGAGAAATCTGCTTGTTTTTACACAACTTTATATTCGATATTTGTTTCTAAAAATTCTCATAATTTGTTTTTATATCATTTATTATTATATAGAAGCAACGCCGAAGTAATTGCCGGAAGGTTTGGGCTTTCTAAGTGGGTTCCTTATAAACAAGTGCTTCTGTTATTTTTTGTTTTAATTTTAATTGTTCATTTGAAAATTTTAAAGTTTTTGGATCCTAAAAGGAATATGGGCCTTTATAATGTCTTTGCATATAAAAAGCAGTTCAAGCATAGAAGTTAAAAAATGTGGTGGAAACGACTTTGTTGTTTTAATTGAATTTAATAATTGTTTACAGGTGTCCTCCATGGCGGCTCTTATAAAGTAAAGATTCGCTGTGAGTAGATTCTCCGCTGTCCTCGCTTTCCCGCTTTAGCGAGTTTTCCATGCCAGTGGGCAGGCTCTGTGTCGCTTTTTCAAGGTCCTCGTATGCATGCCATGGGTCGCACGTGCTTCCTTTAGGGCACTGGAGCGTTAGTATATGTAGTACTTTTCTTTGGAGGCGCATTTCTTGGGAGAAAGTCACCTTTTCCTTCGCCTTTTTGGTTGTCTTTTCCAGAAGAATTAGATCTTCCTTCGACTTAATAAGTTCTGCCAATGTTTCAATGGCGACATACTATAAAGACAGGCAGTAATTAGAGGTAAGGAACCCGAACAGGTGGCTTTGTACCGTTGCTTCTTTAATGGCTTCCTCGCCCGTCGTTTTGCACGTGTTCAAAGTCGCGTGCTCTCCGCTCGCTTGCCTTCTTCTGGAAACCTTAGACCCATTATCGCTGTTGTCTTCCTCCTCATTTCGGAATCGCTTCTTGGCTGCGGATTTAAATTGTCTCTTGCGAGGATACACGTAGTGATGGACCATCTGCGAAAGCTCCCAGTCATCGCACTGCAAAGCAGCAATCCACAGTAGCTGCTCGTGCTGCCGCAAATAACGGGAGATGGGGAACACCTATAGGGGTTACTCTCGCAACTTTTATTTGCGGGGCCAGTGGCCATTCATTATATTTACTCTGTAAACCCTGGACCTTAACATTAAGCCTAAGTGCCGCCGCTTCGCTTTGATAAGAGGATCCATCATTCTTCTCAACATGGCGTCTGCTCACCGGAACGGTTTTACAGGCTAGTTATTATAGAACAAGAGCGGTAGTAACCTGGATCTTGCTTAAGTTTCTCAAGGGAAACGACATTGTTACAGTTTTTATCTACAATTTTTTCCATGCCGTTAGTCATTGTCATAATTTCCAATTGGGCGACTGCCAGATCTGAGGGCGAGCGCGGAGGTACAAGACCTTTAAAATGTTTTATTACAAAAAAGCTGTCTGTTTTCTTATTGTATATTTACGGCCGTAAGTTAGCGTAGGATCGATGGGCTCCCCCGGCGGTGCATCAGAAAATACTTCCCGCGAACCGCCCACGTCCGTGCACACCACAGGCAAGCCACACAACCCTGCCTCCCCAATGGCAAGCGGTAATCCTAAAAGCGCAGGTTATAGAAGTGATTTAAGGGGAAAAGATGCGAGAGACCTTCCGAAATACTGCTGTTTATAAACAGCCATCCCTCGGGAAGGGCAACGCTCGGGTTGGCCAAGCCGCATAAAAACACATGCTCTGTGAGATTGAGAGCAACGATGGCATTGGCGCACGAGTTGGCGTAAATAGGGTCAGATTCTTTGCTTCCGTAGATTAGCAGCCTTAAGTGTAGGGCTGAGTACGCGAGAGTTCGCATACATTTTTCTAGCTGCCCACCTGTATTCCTTTAGACCATAGCCGTGAATTATAATAGCTGCAGCCTCTATAGCGTTCATGACGTCTTTAATGCGGTTGACATGCGAAAGCATTACAGACGTTGGAAGTTTGGCCTCTCTAGCTTTGTTCACTCGAAACCTTTGATATGCGTATCCGTTTGATATAACGATCTAGTTTAAAGTATATATAAAAATATAGTCCACCTGTTTACGTCCATCCCGTTCAGTATGGGAGAGATGTTTCGGCGGATTCTCGTATAGGCCCCGTTGTCTTGGAATTTTCGTCCTCCTAGCCAACACTCCCACTGCACGTTTTGAATGGACGTACACGGGCAAACACAATTAGCGTGACCATAAACAAGAGCACAGACCAATCTAGGAATAGCAGTCTTTGTTTCCATAGGGTAGCAAAAGTTTAGTAAATATATTACCTAGTTAGTCCTACAAAGCCAAATTGTACAAACTTTGACATAATAGAAGGGTCGAGTGTAGATAATGCTAGGAGTCTTTCCCTCCATAAGATTCCTTTCGTTATAATAACTCCTTTATGTATCTATGCCTCGTTGACACACAACACCCCTTACCGTGGTCCCACACAATTAATGAAGATCCGTACAAGACCTTGGAAATAACGCCAAGGATGGCTTGAATTCCATGGTGGCTTGCATGCGTAACGGAAAGTCTGGGGAGGTATGCTGCCAGGGGAAAAAGCAGCTGCCCAAGACAGGAGGTTAAGGTATGCCCACATGCATTATTATAATATAAGCACTCTAGTCAAAAGTTCATAAAGTGAATCCAAATCCTCCAAGGTGGGCATTTCTGACTGCAGTAGTCTCACTTCCAAGTTTTGAGAGGCCCAGGAAGAGTTTAGGATATTAAACCAGGTTTTGTACCTTTCACAAAAACATGATAGCTTAAACTAAGTGGCCAAAGTGGCTTTACTAAATAGCTGTATAGCATTCACCAAGTAATGCGGGTTGCTTCATGGTTCCATGATGACAGCCAGTCGAATTCTTGAAAATATAAGTGCATCTTCACAAACATTTCTCCGTATCGCGTAATCTGCAAGGTGCAAGGTCAGGATTATTTTATTTTTTGCTCCTCGGGTCAGGCATGTCTCGTAAACCTCGTATTTTTTGAAGCGCACTGCACAACAGCCTTTAATAAATTCTTTAAGAAGGGGAAGAAAGTGCCTATGGACTACAAGGTCAGTGGTTCTCTGTCGCTTGAGATCTAATACGCCGTAAGGGATGCCTAATATACAGGAAACAAATGGCATTTATAAACCTGTGAGAGTACAAAAAGTCTTAGAAAGTTAAACACCTGAAAGCACATGTTGATTTGGTGTGCCCAGATCTAGTCCCCAAAGGGGAATGTAGTGTATAGCGTTAACGTAGCGCTCGGCTTGGTAGCCCTTTTGCACCATTTCGCTATCTGTGCCAATTTCTTGTTATGGGAGAAGGTGGCACGGTTAGAGGCTCAAAGGCCAGTTAAAATTAACTCCACATGTGGTACCCGCCATGGCTGTCCACCTCGCCCTAGAAAGGTTGTCAATCAGGTCTCTACGGCAGGAGCCGACCCCGCCGCCCCCAGTTGGCCAAGTACCCGAGTCTACGCTTAGTATCTGAAGGATTTCGCTGTTAAGTTCGGTGGCGCGATCTAAAATGTGCGCCACGTGAGTAACGCAATCTTTCCAACTCCCCAGGCAGAAAAGCTATACAAACCATCCGTCATGATCTGGCTGGCATCTCCTCCGCAGCCCAATTCCACCAAGTCAGACACTTTCATTTGAAGATGAGTCCTCGTATTGGGTGTGTCCTGGACAACCAAATTGCTTATTTGCACAAACTTGCTGCTAATTATCAACTTCGCTTCCCTCTTGCGGCCTATAGAGAATAATAAAAAGGCAGGCCATGGAGCAACTGTAGTTTGCTACCTCTGTCTCTAGCTAGCCAATAATCTTTAAGAATAGGCTCTTCTCTCAAAAATAATTCGTCTATATCCATAGCATGAACCCCTTTCCACGGGGTAGAGTTAGTCAGCTGAAGTAATGTACTTGAAAAAAATATTTATAATAAAAAACCTTCTATGTAGCCGGAACGCCAGAGAGTCCACAAGTCGACCCGTTTCCTCTGAGTTGTGGCCGGTCGCGAGTAGAACTGTATCCATTTTTGATTGATAAATCCGCCATGCTTTCTGCTTGTCTGCAGCGGAAACGGTAAGAGTTGTTCTACATATTAGATAAAAAGTAAGCAGACAACCATTTTGAATGTCAAGAGCAAATCATCATGATGTATAGAACGTCGTGGCACCGACTCAATCAGTTTAAAGGGGTCGCTTTTAACAATTTCAGGTGTGGCAATTTTTATTTTTCTGTGCATGATATTGCCGGTAGAGAGCAGCATTGTCTGCATAGTTGGATGCAAGGGATGCGTGTATAAAAAGTGAGTGCGTGACTTGACGCCCTGAGTAACGTTTTATTTTGGCATACTGTAGAAGTTTTAAAAAATAATCTCAATTTACCCGTTTATCAATGTAGTCGACATAAGAAATATGCGGCATGTCTTCCCCGCAAACTCCACCAGCATACACGATATGAAGCTGCCAGCCCTTCATCACGTGGTAATAACTCACAGCAATCATTGGAGACTCGATTTCTTTTACGTAAAAAAAAAACTTTAATAGCCACGTGGGCAAATGACGAGCCTCCATTTTAATAGTGCACCCGTATCCTGGTACTGATAGCGGGCCTCGATCTCCTGTAAGCCTTTAAGGGGTTTCAATAAGTTTTCACGCTTTAAAGTGGCCTTACAAAAAGTGTTAATATCCCTGCAGGCTGATAAAATAAAAAAGCAAAAAAACTTCAATAACGTTGCCAGACTTCCTTCCGTATGTCAGCGAAGCGATGAGATCCTTTTCATTAGCCGTGTCAATGGACTCTATTTCAACGATCATATATATGTTAGAAGTTATAACTTTTACGATTGCTGTAAAGCCTCTGCGCCTACCAACAATGCCCTTATACATAAATCCAGCTGCCGGATAATGACGGCTGTACTTGCTATCGTAGTGATAAAAAGTGGTATGTGGCGCGTCTTGTCCCTGCATTAGTTAACGTTGCTTTGCATTTTCTTTAAATTTTTATTATTACCTTACCTGCAAGACTATCTGCTTTACTAATTTATACTGGCCTCGTCTTTCGTTAGAGTAATACGATTCGATGGTTGGGTTGCTAGAGGGTGGGAGCGAATGAAAACCTTTTTAGAGCAAACATTAAGTGGCGCTTAGCAAGCTTTAAACAAGACAAAGCAATAAAAAAACCTTCGTATTGAAAAAGTGCAAATGGTTCTCCTGTAGGAACCAACTGAATTGTATTATCGTTTTGAACGGTAAGTTTCATGTTGTTCAAGTCTTTTTTGGCGGTGGTGTTTTCTACTGCTGAGGAACAGCCGTCTGTTGCAGCCCATTCGATCCTGAACCGAGAAACCTTTTATTTTAAAAACCAACGCAATCTTTTAAAGTCGTACCGCTTTACGAAAGCAGTGATTGGGTGCGAGCTATCATAGTATTTTATATTAATTAAGCTGTTGTTTTCAAAAAAAAACTCTCTGTTTAAGCCTTGCCGAGTTCTAGAAGATTTTAATAAATGAGAGTTTCTCAAGTAGCAATCCAACTTGTTCACCGTGAAAGAAGATGAACCACTTCTTTCGACTTCCACAAAAAGCTTAAACAAAAGTGAACTTGCAGAAATTTTGCTAGCCAAAATAAATAAGGAAGCAGAGGGCAAAGAAAGCTTGGTGAAGCTTTTCCGTAGCAAAGCTCCCGCCCGAATCTACAGTTTTGCAAAATTATAGAAAAGCTTTAAGGCACATAAGTTGCAAGACATGCCGGGAATCTGCTGTGAGAGCCATAAAAAGTAGACGAAGAAACGATTTGTATTTGAAAAGAAGCCACGACCAATAGGACATGGCTATAGCTTCTGAGTAAGTTCTCTCCAAGATCAGTCGACTAAATAAAAATTAGTGAATGATGTCTATTCTGCGAAAACTAGAAGACAGGAAAATTCTACTTATCGAGGAGATCACTATTCTCGCTGTTGGCTAGTCGCATGTCGACAAACTCATTAATACTGTGATAGATATCCCAACTTAAACAAGCCCTCGCAGCGTACTCTTTGAAGAGTTTCTGTGGGTCAATATATTTTTCCGTCCAAGGACTTCCCAGTACGGACAGAAACCCTAAAGTAGAGCAATTATAAGGAGTGGTATTTCTAGCTTACTAGTATTGTCTACCGCGCATGTGCTCTGCCGACACATGACTTACGGGCAGGAAATTAACCATCGGCTTGCTTTCAATCAAACTTTGCTGGACGTAAAAATAAAATACTTCCATGAACTGGCAGATGTAAATCCTTATTTCATGCGGTACTACAATGAAGAGAGCTTCAATTTATTTAAAAAAAATTATAAACAACTTCAATACCGGCTGCCCATTGCATATCGATGTCTAAAAGCATCGCCGCATCTCTGCGTATTAAAAGGCCAAGTTTGACTTTTAAATAACAAAGTCCTACAAGTTCCATTCTTGTAAGCTGATAGGATACTCGCATGGGCAAGCGCAAGTTTGGTTGCAGGATAAGCTCGGCCACGCAAGCATGGTAATGTGACATGCCGCGATTTTCGAAATGCTCATGGACGAGCGCCTCAAAGAATTATTAGCCGCCTTAAAAAGTGGTGTGTTTTACTATAACCCGGTTGTTAATAGGTACCTCTGCAACTATATGGCTCATGACCTGAGCGTCGCAGTTAACTGGCGTTCCAAGGTAAATGTCCATTGTAGTTTTGTCTGGGTCACACTCAGAGAGCGCCTATAGGCCGCTGTTAATTGGAAGGAAAGTACTGCTGGCAAGTGATCCTCTTACAGCGTAACCCTGATTAAAATCTATTTTGAAGGACTCTTCCACGACAAAGTAGAGGTTGGTTCTCCCCTCTGGGGAAAAATTAGACACGGACAAAGGCCCCCCCCAAAGGGCCTATGTACCGACAAAATTCTTAACAATGTCCATAAGCTCGTGTTTCCCCTCTGGAAAGGCCGCTTTGGTCACTTCAGAAAGTCTATCAAAACCTGACTAAAATGTAAGCTTTCAACTTCTTTAGCTTTAAAAAGTTTCCCTAACCAGACACCGCAGCGTTCAGCAAGTTTGTCACGGTCTTGCCGATTATATCAGTAGGTTCCAGCTTTAGTTTAGGAAGATGCTTGGCGGCGAGCAGCATTTTGTCTTTGGTAGACTACCAAAAAAGACTCAGCAATGCAAGAGTCCGAGATATATAAGATTTTAAAAAAAACCTTTTCCATTGCAACTTCATCAGCACCAATCCAGTTTTGCCCAGAGGAAAGTAATGCTGGTGCCAGACTTACTCCTATACAAAAAAATTAACGTAAAGAATTTGCTAGCAAAAAAATAGATAATTGAAAACCTTTGTGGACTTTTAAATTGTGTTTCTGTGCAAGTATACAGGCAAGCCCAAAAACCCACGATCCCGTTATTAATGAAGAGAGAGCCCATGTAGGTGAGCGCAAAACTGGTATTATAAAGAATCACAGTAACAATCTAAAAAGAAATTGGCATAAAGTAACAGATTACTTGTTACTAGCAATATCCCAATTAGTAGACCTAGAGTGTTACTAATGGCCAAAATAGCGTTGACCACGTGATCCTACAGTCAAAATAGAGCATTTTTAAGCCTTTTTTTGAGCGCTTATTATCTTTGATACCTTTTCGACTAAAAAAAGCTTATGGAAAAGCCCGAGCAAAAGCCCAAAGTAGCCTGCAGAGCCCATTAAATAAAACTTAATGGAAGTGACCCCTCGTTCTAAAGTCAGCCCCGCCACACACGAACTACACGTATTATAGTGAATTACACTTTGATAAAGAAACTAATGACTAAAGAAGGAGGCAAAAATAATTCACCTTGTCACTAAAAATGTGATGCAAAACGAAGTAAGAAAACGTCGGAGTTCTAAAAAGTAGTGCCTGGCATTTTGTTTCTTTCGCGAGTCTACCAGCTTGGAAAAAAAAATATTTTCTAAATAAATTACAAGTTGGTGACAGTAAAATGAAAGTGTAACTCTATCTGAATCGCGGACGCCCAACCGATAACTTTTCCACTTTTCCTTTCCCCTAAAAATGTTGGCGAGGTTGAGCTCAAAGGTACCGGCGCACAACAGCATCATCACCGTCGCCCATCCCACACCTTGTAAGCGTTTGAACAGTAGTTCTCTTTTATCAGTCCGTATATATACCATATACCAAACGAGTACTCGTCCGTCTGTGTCCCATCGGGAAGGAAAACATACACACCATTTCCTGTGAAAAAAGTGGTCCAACGGTCGATAAATATCATAAAGAAGTACATCCACCTGTTTGTTAGTATTAATACATAGAAAGCCGACATTGTTAGATAAATGAATTAAAAAAAACCCGAAAACAATAGCAGGAGCTTCAAACTCAAAAAGCAAGCCGCCTCTGTTTAACTTTTCAACTGAAAATTTCTTTTGTACTATTAAATAACTTTCTTTCTTTAATAACAAGCATCAAGGCTGACCCTCTTGAGATCATTAATAGCCTGTTTAAGAAGAACTTCCCATTGGAAGGAAGCGTAGCCGGGGTCCGTCTGCCCTGTCCTCTTAAGATACCAGTCCTGTAGTAGACGCTAAAAAGGGAAACAAAAACTGTACTATTAAGTAAAAGACCATTAAAAGTATTTCTTTTTCGTACTGAAGAACACGAACTTTAACCATTTCTTCGCTGCTACCTATAAAGTGTTGATAAATATATTTTTTTATTTTTTATTTATTTAATATACCCGGTTCAGGCCTTTTTTCTGAACTAAAAGAAGCTTGAATGCGAGAAAAAAGTGAAGTCCGCTGCTTTATTCGTTCAAGAAGCTTTTATTATATATAAAATAATAATCATTTGCCAACTTTAGTTTGTTTACTAAAACAATTCGCGTAACCAAATGCATGAAGTGCGTGCAAGAGCATTTTTCCCATTGCTTTAGCCTTTTTCCGTAATCCGTGAGCGATTCGCCCTCCCTTCGCACTTAGAAGATAAAAATTTACAACGTTACTATGTAGACCAGCTTTTATAGTTTTCTGGGAAAAATAAACCTGGTTTTTTTACTTTGCGTTGGTAAAGTTCTTCTATTTTTTCTTTGGGGCTGCACAGAATGCAGCAATAAGATTCTGTAATTAAAAGGCTATTCTCCACAAAAAATTTTTACGTTACAACGAGAGAGTCAGGCCAGGAAGACCACTCTTGTGCAACGCGTTTAAATTTTAATATTAGAAGACACGTAGAAGTGACCATGGCTCCTATAGGAAAATAAACAAAGTGTTTAAAATCGAAAGCTAATACTCTCGTTTTAAAAAAGTTACCGAAATATATGAGTGCGATATCAAACGGAAGGATTACTTTTGCATACGTAAAACAAAGAGCAATACAACAGGGTATTAAAAGCACGGATAATGAAAGGGCAACAGAACGAGGCCCAGAGCTGCTCAGAATAGTCTGCGAGTCGACTTTCATCACAAAAAGCGCTAGCAAGGTTGTCACGTGGTATATTTTGACAGTATAATAATGAAAACGTAGGAACTCACCCGACATGAACATAAGAAAAACAGAGAAGGTGAGACAATAAGCAAAAGACATGAGCCCATAAAGAAGGCCGTGAAGCACCGAAATAATAGACCCAGAGACCATAGCAAAAAAAAAACTTAAGAGAGTGCCGCCCACAATTCTGGAGAAACGAGTTTGTTTGTGAAAAAGGTGTGATTGCTTTACCGCTTTACCTCTTAGCGGCTGTGGCAAGCATCAGTGGTATAGAATACTGACTAAAATAGTAGGCGCACACTTTTGAAATTGAATTCATGACTCCTCCCATTGTAGAAAACACAATAAGAAATGATAAATTCACGGCATCCACAGCGCCCTTCGACATAAACTGGCTGCTAAAGATGCCCGATTTGAGAAATAAAATGGCAAGGACGTCAAGTAGAGCTGGCAAACACATGGAAGTTATCAGCTCGGTGCTCAAAAGTTTTAAGAAAGGATGTAGAAAAAGGGAACTCACCTGGTATTGAAAAGAACATGCCGGTGGCTAACCGCTTCATTTTATCGTTTGCGCCTATGATTAGACTGAAAGTCACGAGGCAAGTCATAAAATAAATAGCTCGCAGAGACACCTTCTTCTTTAGGCTCGAACTTATTATACTTTTTACTTTCGTCTAACACCTCCGACTTGACAAGTTTCGAACGTAAAAAGTCAAATATTATTTTTCCGAGATCGTTTCTTTAAAAAAATATATGGCTAGGCAAGCAGCAGGGAAGCTTCTAAATTAGTAACACACGTGGACATCTCAAAAACAGAATCCACTAGATCGCGCGAGAGCGACATTTCTAGCCGAACAGTCATCTGATCCGGCTCTGGTAGAGGCGAAGGGACATTTTGCATAACCTTTAGACTCAGTTCCTTTGCGTACAAAAAGAAAGTTAGAGTAAAAAAAAAATTTTAAAAATAATAAGTACAAACCTTTAAAAGAGCTCTCCGCACCGAATTATGGAAAGCTTTAAATATAAAATATAGAAGCTGCTTAGTTTTTACGTCGAAGAAGCCTCCAAAGATTTCTTTGTAGCGCGTGTTTAAACATTTTAGAGAATGGATCATGGTGTGGTAAGTCGGTTTACTTATCATGCAAAGCCCTTTAAAATAAAGCTAATGAAGCTGCGACAAAATTAGAGGTTTTGGCAAGCTACCAAACAGAAAAGAAAGCTGGTTTTCGAGGGCAAAAGACCGGTTTCTTAGGAGCTTCGCTAGGGTTAATTTTATTTCGTTCTGCTTAGAAACTTCAAAAACCAGTCGTTCTCTACAATAATTCCGAACTTTTATTGCAATAAGTAGGAGAATTCCGTGTTCTACACGGTAGTTAAAAGTAACTACTGTGAACTTATAAGATGCATGTTATGAGCCTACCTGTGGGAGTAACGGACCGGTCGTTTCTTATTTCATTTACTGTTTGATAAGTATTTAGAAGAAACTCAGTAAGTTCGGAATATGAAGCCTTTGCATAATAGCAACGTATGTTAAAAATAAGTATGGGGAGTACATATGCATCTTGTGACTGATTTTAGTAGTACATACAATGTCCAGCTGCCACTTAATGGTTTTAGAAAGGCATGTGCTTTCTTCAATCCTCTGGGCGTTACTCTGCTGCCAGGAGATAAGCACCTGTAGCACCAGACAGAGGCGGTGGGCATACCCTTTTCGAAGATAATAAAATTAAACAACAGCACTTATGGGTGTATCACCTTTACTAGCAAAAAAGCAGTAAATGACTGCCTCGACGAAAGAGGGATGGTCTCTTCTAATGTAGATATGTAACTGCCCATCCCTAAAAACACCGTTTAATTGTACCAAACGCTTTTTTCATTTCATTGTTCGAACCTTTCTTCGTAAAGTGCAAAGTAGTGGATGGGCCCGTATAACTTAGTGTGTTGAATCTGTAGACAATCCTCAATTTTGCTTTCGCTGGCCTCCCAGGAAAATGCCTTTTGATCAGCTACCCAAATCTGTGTTTAGCACTCAGTCTCCTGAAACGCAAATTTCTTCGACTATAAACAACCTTTATTATCCCTTTCTCGATCTTTTTAAGCAGTTCAGAAAGATCCTTTTTACAATTATCTAAATAAATAAGGATATTAATATTATAAATTATTTTTTATTTTTTTTTTAAAAAAACCCGTTAACTTTTGCAGAACCGAATGCACCAAGGTGGTGGGTTGTAAAAGAAATTTTTTTAAAATTTGCTTCAACTGTGAAAAATAAAATTTTACTTTATGATAAAAATTTGTTTAATGCAACACACCTCAACATAACAACTGTCCCAATCTTCAATCTGTTTATTTTCAAATTCGTCAAAAGACTGGGGTACAATCTAAATATAATATATAGTGAAATTTACTAAATAAATCTCTTTTGATAGTTAACTAAGAATTTTCCGTAGATTGTGATGCATTTCAGGAGTCTTACAAGTATAAATTATTCTATATACAAAAAAAGGTTTTCATAAAGTTATGACAAATAACCTTTAATTTCTACATTATGATAAAATATACTTTACTTTACAAAGTTTTAAAAGTGCTATAAGGAAAAGTAATAATACTTTTTATTAGTACCAGGTTTTAGTTAAATGAATTCCCTATTAACTTAGAAATTACGGTATAGTATTAGTTTTTTAATAACTTAAAAAAAAAAGTTAAAGGCAGCCTTCCGTCGCCAAAAAAAAGGTATTGAAATAGATATAAATCTTCTTCAAGTGCAAAAAAAAAAAAATTTGACATAAAAATGAAACAGCTATTATGAACAATTTATTACTTCGAAAGATACTGGCTGAGCGATATTCCGTAAGTGTCCCTCCTCTTGTAAGAAAGTCTATTGTAAAAATTACTTGTTAGTAAAAAATTTCGCTAAAAGTATTAATAAATATTATATTTATATTGAAAATTAAAAAATTGTATCATTTAAAAATGTTAAAAAAGATTTTCATGAGATTGTAGCTGGTCGTTAAGAATATATATTTGTAGAATTTAATGGAAAAAACACTACAGCGATATGATTATATAATTAGCCTACAGGAAACACAAAACTTGCACATAAACTAATTCTGTATATTAAAACTAATCGCCACTATGTAAGATAAACTGCATAGATGTTAAGAAATAAAGTTTTAACTGAACTGGCTGATCTCTATTTTTCTGTTGCGCAAAGTGGTTATATAAAAAGGCGATGCATCCCTCCCCCTCCTCGGAATTTTTTTTTTTCAATTTAAAACTTTTTCAAACAAAGCAACTATCAAAAAAACTAGGCATTACCTTGTCAAGGGGACATTAGTAACTTAACAAGTACAGAAAAAAATGTTAAAGAAGGGATCTTTTTCCATAACATTTTTAAAATATACGCAAACGCAAAATTAATTATAAGCTAAACTTGTTATAAACAGTTCTGTAATCTCTGACAAATTATTAGCTTTACGAGATGAGGTGTATATTCCTTTTCTTTTAAAATTTTTAAAAGAAGTAACAAAGAATGAAAAGAGTAAAAGCGAAATGTACGCAATTTATAATATCTCGCAAAAGCTACTTAGGATGGACGTAAATATTTGATTATCCCCTCCTAAAAATGCTAGCTCACAATAAAAGTCCGTGTGATGAAAAAAGTTTTGATTCGTTTTCATCATACGGGCTTTCCCATAATTTTTGTGATCCATCCCTCCCTAAGTTGTTGGACAAGCGAAATACGAAATGCTAAGGGTATTAATTAATTTTGTGACTTCTGTTCTCCCTTATTTTTACATACACATGGCCAAGTGTGTTTAAAGAGTCAAAACTACATATTGATTTTGACTTCATATCACTGCTAGTAATAAAGTACTTCTTGTATAAGCTTTTAAAAATAATATAAAAAATATAATTTTAAAAAAAACTTCACCTACTTTTGAATATTTACGAGCTTTTAAATAGCAGTAAAAAGAAAAATAGTTTACCAATGTTAGAAGCAACTGTTCTTCGCGGTTGGGGTTATAATGGCAGGTCCCTAAAAATCTTTGACCTCGATGAACACAATTTTTACTACTAAACTATTAGTTAATTAACGCTTAACAATGATTTTATTAATGCTGGTAACCTTTCGACTTTATTTGTATTAAATCTTGGAATAGCCTCTAAATCCAAACCTTGGAGAAATTTTGGATCTTTAAATACTGTAGAGAAGATTTCTTTCCAGTACTCCGAGTCTAATAACTACTTAACTTAATAATAAAAGCACATATATGTTTTTAAAGATTTTGTACGCCGGTATTTTGGATGGCAGAAAACATGACCTCATCAAAATTAAAGAGTTGAAGAAACTTTTGGTACTCTTCATAGGTTGGATAACTGTCTTGGACGTTTTGTGCAAAAGAAGGGAAATCTGAATTGGAAGTTGTTTCAAAATAGTGTTATATTATTTAGGATTGTTTAAAATTTATTAATTTGTCCAAAATATGACCAACGATTTGAAAAATATCATCCTCTTTAGCTAAAATGCTAATAAATATATCAGTTACCTATTTTCTCCAGTTTTCTACAGTTCTTTATAAACAAACTTGCCTCTTCATGTTCCAAGAAACCAGAAATACCTCCCTTTAAAAGTTCTACCCGCGGAGGTTTTATGTCCTCAACGTTTAAAAAGTTTGGATCTGCGCACAATATTTAAAGCGGATAATAACTCTTTATTCTACAGCTAATTGTAAAACGAAGCATTTCGTTGAAGTTCAATTAAAATTTTTAATCGTCAATGACATAACAATGTTTCTTTAACCCTAATCTAACTTCAATCCGATTTTATAAAACAAAATATTTTGAACTTTAAAAAAAAATTTGGTTTTAATTATATTTTCGTAGCTATTAATAATTTATAATCGTAATAATTTTTCTCATAATTTTGGTTAGTCTTGTAACGATATGCAGCTATAATACCGTTGCATATGCAAGTAACAAATCCAGATCCTGCTGCCCACTCATAGCTATGAGCGTAAAGCTCAGGAGATAGCGAGTCGGAAACCACTTCTAACGCGAAAACAACAAAATCATTGCGTAGCGCTATTTCACGATTTAGTTTTGCGACGTAATCTTCAAAATCTGATGTCTCTGGGCTGTTAAAAATCATGTTACTTGTAGATTAGTGTAAAATAATAGATTTTTTAATTTAAGTTATAAATTATAATAAAAAACTTTTAGGCAATAATTAATATAATATGCAAGCTCGAACAGGCCAAAGTCGTTAACTGATAAAATATAAAGAATGTTGGTACCCTGGAGGATAAAGTTTTAGTTTCCCTTTTGCGGTTATGGTTGGATTTCGTAGGCAGACACCATTTATAAAGTCAGATATTTGGTCAAAAATTGCAAACCCTTTACAAACGTCATTAACATATAGTGGCATAACTGGGGAAATTAAAAGATTTATTAACCTTCTTCTAAAAAAAATACGTGAGAAGGAAATGATTGTATTATTGAAATAATGACTTTGCAAAGGGTGGATGCACTGACCCTTTCTAATACCTCCTCGATTCCAGAAAACATTACTTAGGTAGTTCACAGTGTAATATTAATTTACATATTTGTAATAAAAGTAAGAATAATATTTTACTTCCTGCTAATTCCTTATCAGCGTTAAGTATATCTCTAGCAAATTTCCGACACTTATCTTCGAAAGGTTTTGAGTGGTAAGATGCTAGTATTTCTTTAAAATCTAAATAAATTATGTAGGCGGAATTCGTCGTCTGGTCCTCTCTAAGTTTGTATTTAGTTTCTAATAACCAGTTATTAGAACCTACCGCAATTTATTAGCAACAAACTGTACGAGTTACCTTGCGGACAAACCGTTTTTAAGTAGTGAATTGCTTCAAAATACTCTTTGCACGCTTGATCACTAACTGTGCTGCACATTATAGCGTTCTCATTGAAAATCTCCACAGTCTATGTTATAAAAGTAAGCACATTTTTTTTACGAAAACTGCATTTTTATTTAGCACGTTTATTATCGTTTCCAGGGAATCTTTTTTTTTGCTTGATTTTTTTAAGCGTGAACTTTTTTTGAAATTTTCCATGACAGGTTTTATTACTAAGATATCTACCTTTCCGTCCAAAGTTTTCTAAAATTAATAGAATATAAGGTAATAAGTAATAATATTATATGAAAGCTAATCGGATTTCGTTACTTTATCATTTAATTCTCCAAAGTAGTAGGCAAAAGATGTAAATTTTGGAAGTTTTCTTGGTAAAGGTTTTTCGTCATTAGGATCATAGTTTGCAGGGTTTACATAGTGCTTTTTAACCGTGCTAGGGACTCTTTTCTTAAAGGAAGACTTCTAATCAACCATTAAAATATTAGCAATATTTAATATACGCTTTTATTTCCCCTTACCTTTTTATTGTAGCCCAAGAGGCCCTTCACATTTAACACACATAGTAAAAGAGCTCCGAATCCCATAATACCAAATAAAATAAAATGCAGTACACCTAGCTTAATCATAGTGACTTCCGTAAGTTATATTACTCTTCCTTTAGTAAAGTTTATTAAATATGAAATAATAAACCTAAATAGGCATCTATATTTGTTATAAAAGATAATAAAACAGAAATTTGAAATTATGAATTAAAAAGACAAATTATGTATGCATTTGAAATTTGGCCATCTTACCAAGGTTAAGCTTTTTAAGGTAATAATTTTTACTTACTGCGACCAATAATGTAAGTCCGTTCGAACTTGTGTCACCTGAAATAATTTAATAACATTATCTTTTTATTAAATATATTTTTATTACAAAAAAATTAGTAAG